GGTATTGAGCATTGGCCACTCTTGAACCTGGTTCAATTCCAAGCAGCCACACTGTGGCTCACAACTGTCTCCAGTTCCAGGAGATCTCCAGGCGCTTCACAGACATACGTGCAGGCAAAACATGCATACACATGCATAAAAAATTAAGGAGGGAGATGGAGAGATGGTGTTCCCTTGCTCAGCTGCCAGCTCCCTATTCAGGCAGCTCAAACTATATGGAACTGCAGCTCTGGGGGCTGTGACTCTTTTTCTGGCTCCCTTGGACACCAGTGTACATAGGTGTACATAATCCCAGACAGACACACAAATCATTTAAAGTAAAAATAAAATCTTAACTGAAAGACCAGAAGAGGATAGATTGATTTAACCCTTGCAGGACACTTTCTTGTGGATGTCCCACTAATGTTCAGGGGATTTTTTTTTTTTTTTGGTTGTTTTTGTTTTGGTTAGACAGGGTTTCTCTGTGTAGCTCTAGCAGTCCTGGAACTCCCTCTGTAGACAAGGCTGGCCTCAAACTCACAGAGATCCACCTGCTTCTGCCTCTGCCTCCCAAGTGCTGGAACCGAAGGAGTGTATCACCACACCCAGCATTATTTTTAATCATTTAATTAATTAATTATGCAACCCAGCCACAATTTCCCCTACCTCCTCTCCTCCCAGGCCCTCCTTCCCATCCCTCCTCTTCCCATATCCCCCAATCCACTCCTCCATTTCTGTTTAGGAAAGGGCAGGTCTCATGTGAATATCATGCATTAAGACTGGGCAAGGCGGCACAGAGTGAGGAATGGGGTCCCAAAAGCCAGCAAAAGGGTCAGAGACAGCCCCTCTCCCCACCATTAGGAGTCATACAAGGAGACCAGGCTACACGAGCATAAGATGTGCAGAGTACCTAGATGAGTCCCACACAGGCTCCCTGGTCGTCGGTTCAGTCCCTGTGAGCCCCTAGGAGCCCAGGTTAGTTGATTCTAGTTGATTCTGTGGGTTTTCTTGTGGTTTCTTTGATCCCTCTGGCTCCTATAGTCTTCCCCTCGCCCCTCCAGCAGGAATCCCCGAGCTCCACCTAACGTTGGGCTGTGGGTCCACACCTGTTTCGATCAGTTCTGGATGAAGCCTCTGAGATGATTGGACCAGGCGCCTATTTCCGTGTGTGGCAGAATATCGTTAGGCACCAGTACGTGGACTTTTCCTCTAGTCATGCCTGGTTCTATTCTAGGTCACTGGCTCATCCCACCCCTGGGTCCTGGTGCTCCAGGCAGAATCAAGGATGGGCTTACTATCCTGGCATGGGTTTAGGCTGGACCAGTCATTGGCTGGCCACCCCCACGATCTCTGTACCACCCCTACCCCAGCCCGTGCCATAGTCGGGACAGACTGTAGGGTAGAAGGTTATGTGGCTGGGTTGGTGCTCCACGCCCTATACTAGAAGTCTTGCCTGGTCACAGGAGATGGGCGGTTCAGACTGTGTGTCTGCTATTGCTAGGAGTCTTTCGTTTTTAAAGCCACCTATTCTGCATGTCTCGTATTAATAGAATCATACTATACATAGCATTTTTATTTTATTCATTTTATCAGGGAAGAGGGTGAGGCAGATTCTCACATAGGCCAAACCCACTTGATATATAGATGAAGTCGACTTTGAACTGGTAATCCTCCTGCCTCCACTTCCCAAGTGCCTTCACCCACTGAGCTATCTCGAGACCCCAACTTTTTTCTTTCCCTTTGTTGATTATTGCTATTATTGTGGAGGGTTGGATGAGAATGGCTTCCATAGACGGATATATTTGAGTGTTTGGTCCCCGGATGGCGAACTGTTTGGAAAGATTGGGGATTTGTTAAAGGAGGCGTGTCCTTGTTGGAGGAGGTGTCTCACGGGAGTGGGCTTTGAGGATTCAAAAGCCCAGCCCAGGCCGTGTCTCTCTCTACTTGCTGCCCGTGGATCAGGATGTAAAGCTCTCAGCTACTGCTCCAGCATCGTGCCCATCTGCTTTCTGCCAGCGTGATGAGAATGGACCAAGCCTCTGAAACTGTACGCCCCAATTAAATGCTTTCTTTTGTAAGACTTCTCTTGGTCATGTGCTGCTCTGTGTGTGTGTGTGTTTGCGCGCGCGCGCTAACGTGCAGAGGCCATGGACTTCAGACCCTCCTGGAGCTGAAGTTGCAGGCATTGCAAGCCACCTGATGCCAGGTGTGGGAGCTGGAATCAAACTCAAGTCCTATGGGAGAGCAGTGTGCATTCTCTCTCTCTCTCCTAAGATTTATTTATTTTTATTCTATGTGTATGGAGTTTTTGTCTGCAGGCGTGGCTGTGTACTGTGTGTGTGCAGTGCCCAAGGAGGCCAGAAGAGGGAACTGGAACTGGATTCCCTGGAACTGGAGTCAGATGGTGTGAGCCACCCTGTGGGTATTGAGAACTGAATCTGCAAGGCCAGACAATGCTCTTAACTGCTGAGCCATCTCTCCAGTTCTCAGTAGGAAGTGCTTAACTGCTGGCTTGTCTGTTCAGTGCACACACACACACACACACACACACACACACACACACACACACTTCATTCTAAGGACATCATCACAGTAGATTCTAAGACCACCCTAATCTGTCTTCGCCTGAACACTTCTCAGAGCCTCTAATTACACATCCTGTCTCCACATATTCCAATGGGTAGGTTTGGAGGTGAGCAAACTCTGCCTCCAGTGCATTCGTATACACCTAGAGGCAGCTCTAGGGCAGAGATCAGGGCTTCAGGCAAGCCAGGCACACTCTACCACTGAACAATGGACCCAGCGTGGGATTATTTTTTATTTTTAAAAGTGTAGTAGTGTATGTGTCTGTGCCATGAGATATGTGTGCACTGTCTAAAGCAACCAGAGGAGGGCACTGGGTCCCCTGGAGCTGGAGTTACAGACAGTTGTGGGCTGCCATGTGGGTGCTGGGAATCGAACCATGGTCCTTTGGAAGAGCAGCCAGCGCCCTTACACACTGTCATTTCTACAGCCCCCAGGCAAATTTTTGCTTTTTCTTTTGAGACAAGGTCTTGCCAAGTTGTCCAGGCTGCTCTTGAACTCATTCTGTAGCCCAGGCTGGCCTCAGGCTTCACTTTTATGCCTGCCTTGGCATTTGTGGGGGTCCATCATCTTCACTGTCTCTCAGATATTCACGGTAAGAGAACCACAGGTCCCCTGTCCCCTCTCCTCCTGCAGGTCTTTCCTTTCTTTCCATTACTTTCTATTTCCTTCTCTGAACATCTCTTGGAATTTTCCCTATTGCCTAACAGGATTCATTAACCACTTGTGAAATCAATTTGGTGGATTGAAAACATGATTTTTCCATTAATGAAATGTAATTAAATAGAAAGTAAGGCATGGATGCAGAGTTGAGGTGAGGACTGTGCTGTGAGATTTTGTAGAAATACATTTATTTGTGTGTGTGTGTGTGTGTGTGTGTGTGTGTGTGTGTGTGTGTGTACCAATGTATACACCAGAGACAACTTTCAAAAGTCTGTTCTCTCCATCTATCATGTAGGACCTGGAGATCAAATTCAGTCACTCTTGGTGGCAAGCTGATGAGTTATCTCATCAACCCAGTTCTTAAGTTTATTTTATTATTTTTAAATTATGCCAGACATAGTGATGAACGCCTTTAGTCCCAGTTCTCAGGAGGCATGGGCAGGCAGATCTCTGTGAGATTGAAACCATGTAGTCTACATGGGGAGTTCCCAGGACAGCCAGGGTTACGTGATGAGACCCTGTCTAAAAAAACAAAACAAAAGGCCGGGCAGTGGTGGTGCATGCCTTTAATTCCAGCATTCAGGAGGCAGAGGCAGAGGCAGGCAGAACTCCATGAGTTTGAGGCCAGCTTGGTCTACACAGTGAGTTCCAGGACAACCAGGACTGCACAGAGACACCCTGTCTCAAAAAACAAACAACAACAACAAAGAACAACAAAATGTGTAGCTGTGTGTGTGTGTGTGTGTGTGTGTGTCCCTGGGTCTGGAGTTATTGTCCAATGTTGGTGAACATGCTGGGAACTGAACCCTGGTCCCCTGAACACACAGCAGGTCCCCTTAACCATTGAAGCATCTCTCCAGCCCAGGTCTTTTGTTGAGATAGGGCCTTAGTATCCAATCCCAGCAGAATCAGGGCAACTTTGGGGCCAGCCGGGGCTACTCAGTGAGTTTAAGGCCAGCTTGAGCCATTTAGGAAGAGACCCAAGTTCAAAAGAAGAGGGGGAAAAGAGGAGGAGGAAGGAAGAAGAGGGAGGAGGGGGAGCAGGAGGAGGAGGGAGAGGAGGAGAAGAAGAAGAAGAAAATGCAGGGTGGAGAGAAGTCAGCACCCCAAGCCTGCCTTGTAGATGCCCTGGGGTGGAGAGAACCATGTTCGCTGCGCCCCCTAGCGGTTGCTCAGAGCACAGTCGGAGCGGACCCTACAGGTCTGGCAGGTTGGGGTGCAAACCTGTCCTGCAACCTCTCCCTACAGCCCAGTGCATTCCTGAACCTCACTTTCTGCCACGCCCCTTTCAGCTCTTTTGAAAATCTGGGTACTTAAACTGCAACCCACTTCCCCTTACCCGCCATGGGACCCAGAGCTCACTTTCTGTTCTTAGAAGACTGAAACCTTCAGGAAGGGGCGCTGTGTCCCTGCGGGGTGTGAAGGACCCAACTTCCAACACCCCTCCCCCTCTGCTTGCCACCTTTACACACGCTAAGGAGCCCAGGCCCAGCCTCCTCCCTCAGACCCAGAGTCCAGGCCCAGCCTCCTCCCTCAGACCCAGGGTCCAGGCCCAGCCTCCTCCCTCGGACCCAGGGTCCAGGCCCAGCCTCCTCCCTCAGACCCAGGGTCCAGCCCCAGCCTCCTCCCTCAGACTCTGCAATCCGGCCCCTTTAGGGAAGCAGTTACCTGCAGTCCCCTCCCTTTTTCCGGGACACACGGCTCCCTCCTGGTTCCGCCCCAGCCTGGAACCTCACCCCGCCTCACCCCTCCACCCCAGGCCACCCGAGAGAGCCATGGCTGCGGCGGCATCCCCGCGAGGGAAGCAGTGGGGAGAACCCCGCGCGCTCGGCCGGGCGGTGAAGTTGCTCCAGCGCCTGGAAGAGCAATGCAGGGACCCCAGGCTGGACATGGGGCCCCCGTCGCTGCGGCACCTGCTGCCCCGCACCGCTCAGCTACTTCGAGATGTGGCAAAAGCCCGGCGCGAGACCCCGGGAGACCCCGAGGGTCCCGGTGGCGCTGGGGATTTTCTGGTCATCTACCTGGCCAACCTGGAGGCCAAAGGCAGGAAGGTAGCAGAGCTGCTGCCGCCCCGAGGCAGAAAGGGTGCGGACGAGGAGGTTTTCCGGGAGAGCTCCAGATTCAGGTGAGCACTACCTGCCGCGCAGGCAAGTCTTCTGGTTCCCAGCCACCTCTTCCCTCAGACCCAGGGGTCCAGCCCCCCCTCCCTCAGACCCAGGAAAGGTGAGTGACCCCATGCTCTTCCTTTAAGCACCCATACCGCCAGTCTTCCTTTCTTCCTTTTGGGAGTCACCTTGCACCCGGGGTCCAGGCGTGCCTCTCTCCTGGGGACCTCAGATACATAACCGCCTTGCGAACGTAGGGATCCCAGAGACTTGTTGTTGAGGGGGTGAGTGTACCTGTGTGGGAGACATCGTGGACTTCCGTACCTGAAGCCAAGGCTAAGGACCTTGGACTTGCCTGCCTGCTCTCTCTCCTAAGCACCAGGTGCACGGGAGGCTGGGAGCCCGGACTCCAGGTCTAAACCGGTGTTTGGGCCTGCCTCGCTAGCCCTTGCTCACACCCTGGCTTACAGTATTGCCTCGATTCATGAGGACATGAAATAAGTCACCTGCCTGTCCATTAATGTTTAAATTCCCATTACCCCCCAATTATAACCGATGAAAGAAATACTACTCAAAATGTATTTATATATACTGCATGCAATATGCAAATTTAATTTTTAGGACATCAATTTAATTTACTTCAGAAGACTGCAGGGCCAGGGTGCTTAACAAAATTGTTACAATTGTTGCTTTGCTTTGGTCTACCTTGTTGCAATCTGTTAAAAACTACAAGCACTTGCTGGGGGCAAGGGCGGGATGGAGTGGGGCGGGAGCTTAGAACAGCTGTTCTCAACCCGCCATGTCCACACTCTGGGATTGACTGGCCCTTTTACAGGGGTTGCTTAAGAATATGGAAAACACAGATATTTGCATTTCGATCCATAACAGTAGCAAAATTACAGTTTTGAAGTAGCAATAAAAATAATTTTATGGTTGGGGGTCACCACAACATGGGGAACTGTATTTAAGGGTCACAGTATTAGGAAGGGTGAGAACCACTGGCTTAGAGGTTAAGAGGGTCCTCTCTCAGAAGACTTAGGTTTGCAGAACTTGGGATGGATGGCTCACAATCACTGTAACTCTAGTTCCAAGGGACCCGGGGGCCTCCTCAGAAATCCACTTCATGTACACATACCTACACACACACAATTAAAAATAGAAGTAAGGAAAGAAAGGAAGGGAGGGAGGGAGAGAGGGAGGGAGGGAGGGAGGCTGGGCTGATTGTAGTAGCAAAGACCTTTGAACCCAGTACTCAGAAGGCAGAGACAGGTGGAGCTCTGTGAGTTCCAGGCCAGCCTGGTCTATAAAGTGAGTTCTAGGCCAGCTGTGACTACATAATGGGACCCTGTCTCAAGAAAAGAAAACTGTACCTTCCTGTCTAAACCAGCTAGAGTTGCAGGTGACTCACCAGGCTACACAGCTCTACATTTTGGGAAGCAAAGTTGAGAAGAAACTGCCAGGAGTCCTGCAGATCTGGCCAAGGAAGCTATTAATATAAATGAGAAATATAATAAAATCTGTATGCACTATGGTATGCAGGTTTTGTTTGATTTTGAGATGCTGGGAATGGAGCATGATAACCAGAGGCTGTACCACTGAGCCACACCCCAGCCCCTCACTGGGGGATTCTAGGCAGGGGTTCTACCACTGAGCCACACCCCAGCCCCTCACTGGGGGATTCTAGGCAGGGGCTCCACCACTGAGCCACGCCCCCAGCCCCTCACTGGGGGATTCTAGGCAGGGGCTCCACCACTGAGCCACACCCCAGCCCTCACTGGGGGATTCTAGGCAGGGGCTCTACTGCTGAACCATGCCCAAAGCTTTGCCCTCTCTAGTCATAAAGCATGACCAAGTTCCTCACTGCTCCCCAGTGATTCAGAAGCTATACTCACCCATTTATTTTCACTTCACAGGTGAGAAACTGAGGAGACTTGGAAAAATATTGTTTAATGACTTTTCAATACTTTCATAGCTGTTAAGTGTCAGAAAATGCATTACTGCGTTCTGTGTCCTGATCTAAAACCCAAGGCAGCCAATGCACCCACTGGTGTGGAAGGCAGTACTGGGCATGCGCTGAACACAGACTGCTAATACTTTGTCCCCACCGTCTCAGTAGGAAAGGCTTCTCCAGCCACAACAGTCTTTGGGCCTGGGTTGGATATTAGCTTCCACACTTCTTTCATAGAAACTGAGGCTCAGAAAGAACGGCCTTGGGACGGAGCGGGGCGCCTTTGGCGCACTGACTCATTACAGGGAATCCCGGGGCCCTGTGCCTGTAGCGACTCTCCCTGCATCCAGCGTGATGCTCACAGATTTTTTTTTTTTTTTTCCTGCAGGAGACAGCTGGCCAAGCTGGCCCTCATCTTCAGTCACATGCACACGGAACTGAACACACTCTTCCCTGGAGGGAAATACTGTGGACACCTATACCAGGTCACTACGGGCTCTGCCCACACCTTCTGGAGGGAGCACTGTGGAGCCCGGTGAGTGAGTGGCCTTCGCCAGGGAAAGATGGGTTGCAAGTCAGTCAACCGCCCTACCCAAGGCCCCCGAAGTGTGTGTGGTCCGGGGAGCCTCCTGTTACAGACACTCCTGCCATCCGCAGCTGCAACCTCGCCCTTTCCCATCCAGGTGCGTGCTTCCCTGGGCAGAGTTCCAGTCCCTTCTATGTGCCTGCCACCCTGTGGAACCTGGCCCCACCGTGCAGGCCTTGCGTTCCACCATGGACCTCACCTGTAACGGCCACGTGTCTGTCTTTGAGTTTGACATCTTCACAAGGCTCTTCCAGGTCAGAAAACGTCAAGGCTGGACCTAGTACCCTGTGGTACGCTGGGTCTGAAGGAGGAGGGCTGGATTTGGACCACTGAGTCCCCAGGAAGAAAGGGTGTAGTGTGCTTTCCTATGTGAAGTGTTCAGGGCCACCTTGGGTGTGAGCAAGGTGGTGGATTCTAGCAGATCCTAGCCCATAGGCTACTTCCTTAACCCCTTAGTGACGTCTCTGTCCCTGCTAGCCGTGGCCCACCCTGCTCAGGAACTGGCAACTCCTGGCTGTCAACCATCCTGGCTACATGGCCTTCTTGACCTACAACGAGGTCCAAACACGCCTGCAGGCCTTCAGGGACAAACCAGGCAGGTGAGCAAAGCTGGGTGCCGCGGGACGGGACTGGGTAGCTCTGGCTAGTGTGTGGGAAAAATCCCTGAGGTTGTGAGAGACCAGGAACTGAGGTTCCTGGGAACCCAGAGGCCTGTGGTGTGCTCCTGTAAGCACTCGGGAGGCAGAGGCAGGAGGATCTCTATGAGGTCAGAGGCCAGCCTGGTCTACAGATCGAGCTCTAGGACAGCCAGGTGCACACGGAGAAACTATCTCAAAACAAAACATAACAAACAATGCTGAGTTTTGATGCCCATCGTCTTTTCCTGGGGCCTCCTGGGTCATGCCACTGCGCAACAACTAAAGCAACAATGCCTGGTTCACCAAGGCATCCTGAAGGCTCTACCCGAGATTCGGTCTGTTTCTGATAAGTCAGAGGCTATACTGTAAACCCATTAAACGGTTTTGTTTTGAGACAGGGCTTACTTCATATATAGCTCAGGCTGGCCTCAAACCTGCCATGTAGCTAAGGATGACCCTTGAAATTCTGATCATCCTTCCTTTACCTCCCAAATGCTGGGGTTACAGATGTCACCTCTACACTCAGCATTTTGCTGGGCCTTGTTTACTTTGGGGACAGGGTCCCCCTGGCTGGGAGCCTCTTGCCTTGGCTTTCTGAATGCCGGGATTACAGGTGGGTTCCGCTTGCCACCTCTTAAGTATTTTGAATGTGAGCCCTTGTAGGTTAGAGGAGGAGACTGTGAAGCTTGACATCGGAGATTTACATTCTTTCAAGGCAGGAGCTTGGAGTCATTGGAGCTCCTTGATGGGCTAAGGATGAGCTGAGGGTAGTATATAGCAGCTCTACGTCCACCGTGAGCTGGGGGGAGAGGAAGGAAGGGAAAGGGGAGGGTCTGTCTGTCTCTATCTCATACCGGACATGCTTCTCAGTGGTAACATCTTTGACTAGATGGGTCCCTAGACAAGGTCTCTGGTAGCCCAGGCTAGCCTTGAAGCTGCTGTCCAAGGCAGGGAGGGATGGGAAAATTATAAAACTGAAAGAAAGAACCAGAATATGGGCTTCCGGAATGGAGGGATACAAACGTTCAAGCCCATCATCTGGGTCAGTGTCTGGCTGTAGGTTGCCCTGTTTTCCTGTGCATTAGGCTCATTCTCAGACGCGACCAGTCCCTATGGTGAGCTACAGCTAAAGCAATAGCCACGCAGCCTTCCAGTGTACAGTTGTGGATGGAGAGCAAAGCCCCCTAGCCACGAAGAGTGAAGACGTGAGGATGAGGACTGAGACACTTGGACCCCGGGGGGGCAGGCAGCTGGGTGTTCCCAGCAGGGACCACTCTCTCACTCCATCTGTCTTCCCACAGCTACATCTTTAGACCCAGCTGTACTCGCCTAGGGCAGTGGGCTATCGGGTACGTGAGTCCCGATGGAAGCATCCTCCAGACCATTCCTCTCAACAAGCCCCTGTCCCAGGTGCTCCTGAAAGGACAAAGGGATGGCATGTGAGTCCTCAACACGAAAGGGAAAGGGTATCAGCAAAATCCAGATTATGCACAAGTCATGGCTGGAGGGTGCAGGATGCTCAGACACCAAGCTGCAACGCCACAGGAACCCAGCAGGGGGCGGCCGCGATCTCGAAGCCGGGAATGTCTGCTTCCACGCAGCGGGTGGGGTTGCAGAGCGCAGGATTTTTTTTTCCCCAACGGGTAGGGCGCCAGACCCTGTGCTTACGGAGGCCGTATCCTGCTCTAGGATCTAGATTGGCGGGGCAGGGCGGAGAAACAGCCAGTCTAGTGGTTTTCCACCTGTAACCTCAGCTGCATCTGGTTTCCTGCAGGAAGTTGCCCGCAGTGGGGTGGGGAAGGGAGGGGCCGGCTGCTCTCCTGTGCTCTCTCTCTCTCAGATCTTCTGTGGTTTGCGCTGCTGGGAACGTGACCCAGCTAGGCAAGGTGCTACCAAAGAGCTGAAGGGCTGGCTAATGTGAGATAAGACGAGAAACAGATGGACAGACAGACAAGAGACATGCTGCTTCTCATTATGCACTGGGATTGTTCTATAAAATGGCAAAGGCTTAATCACCACACACAGAGCTGTTTGTTACTTGGGGAAGAGGCAGGCTCGTGTCACCCTCATGAGTGGTCACATTGCTTTTGTTACATCTTGAGAACTGCATTCTAAGCAACATGGTGAGATCTAGTTTCAGCAAGAAAAAGAAAAAACGTGTATATATGTTCCGAGCAGTTTCCCACCAGCCTGGTCCCAGAGTGACGCCGATTTAACACACAGAGACTCTATTAGTTATAAGGCTGTTGGCCAATGACTAGAGCTTCTTACTGGCTACCTCTGTCTTAAATATTAACTCATTTCTATCCATCTAAGTGTTTCCTTGTGGTCTTATCTTACCAGGGACAGGGTCTGGACCTCTTCACTCACGTCCTACATCTTGACTTCTCTCTACTACATCTTCCAGAATCCTCCTTGTTTCCTAGTCCTGCCTATTTTGCTTTCCTATTGGCCAACAGTGCTTTATTCATTAACCAATAAGAGAAACATATTTACAGAATGACATCTACCATCATCTCTCTTATGTCTAAAATAAAAAGAAGAGTTTTTAACTTTGACATAGTAAAATATATAACAAAACAGTTATCAAATAAGAACTACAGTTAACAATATTTAGTCCATCAACATTTAGTAAGATTTAAAGAAAATATTCTATCATCTATCCTATCTTTGTGAGTCTACAGTCTTACATTAACTTATCTTTAATCCTAACTAAGGAAAACTATAACCATAATTCTCTGTCTTCAACTCCATCAAAGACCACAGAAGGATAGTATATAAACTCTAGAAATGACAGAGGCATCTCGCTACCTGGATATATAGATCATTCTGTGGGTATGGTTCCTGCCTAGAATCCCCCAATGAGGGGCTGGGGGTGTGGCTTGGTGGAAGAGCATCCTTCAGGCTAGGTTCAACTCTGCAAAATAGCAGTATTAATCATCACAATAACAACCTTCCAGGACTGTGTCTGAGGAGCCATGGGATCCTGCATGGGCTGAGATTTGGATTCCTTTCTTGGTTCCCAGGCCAGAGGCCAAGGTTTCCATGCGATGATCAAGTAGACAGTTCTGCTCCAGGGGTTAGAAGAGTATACTTGCTCTGGGGAGTCCCAGTGTGGGCTTGTGGTAGGTGGCAAGTCCCAGCACACAGGCACACATGTACGCACGCATGCACCAGATAGGTGAGGTAGCCAGGTCCTTGGGAGTCCTGCCGCTCATAGCCCAACTCTTCTCTCTCTCAGCTACCTCTACCCTGATGGAAAGAACCACAACCCAGACCTGACTGAGCTGTGCCAGGCAGAACCCTACCAGCGCATTGAAGTGTCGGAGGTGAGGCTCATAGCTACACCTACTGCCCACTCCCTCTCCTAGCCCCGACTTGCCTCAGCTCACAGAAAGGTAGAGCCTGCTTGGGGCTCTGTGACCTTGAGCCAATCCTGGCCTCTCTCAGGCTGAGTTCTTCCGCTGGGAGCCATAGCCTCTGCAGCCTCCTTCCCAGGGGTGTTTCTTGGATATGAAATAAAGAGAAGAGCTTCTGAGATCATCAAAATAGCTGATGCAGTTGAGTGTTTATCAGCTCTGAGTCTGAACAGATACCCAGCAGCAGCAGGAGAAGAGCCAAGATGTTTTTCTCTTAGTGTTTAGGATAGAACCCAGGAACTTGTGCATATTAGGCAGGGGCTCCACCAGTGAGCCACGCCCCAGCCCCTCACTAGGGGGTTCTAGGCAGGGGCTCTACCACTGAGCCAAACCCTAGCCCCTCACTGGGGGATTCTAGGCAAGGGCTCTACCACTGAGCCACACCCCCAGCCCCTCACTGGGGGATTCTAGGCAGGGGCTCTACCACTGAGCCACACCCCCAACCCCTCACTGGGGAATTCTAGGCAGGGGCTCTACCACTGAGCCACACCCCCTACTTGTTTGTTTGAGATAGGATTTTTTTGTTTGTTTTGTTTTTTATATGTAGCCCTGACTGTCCTGGAACCCACTCTGTAGACCAGGCTGGCCTCAAACTCACAGAGATCCACCTGCCTTTGCTTCCTGAATGCTGGCATTAAAGGCATGTACCACCACCGCCTCGCCCGACTAAATAAAAGAATCTTTAAAAGTAAATAGCTAAAAAGCTAGCATTCCCAAGTGAAGACAAGTCCAGAAAATGAGTGTCTTGCTTGGGTTTGAAGACACGCTTGGCCTGATGGTGACATGTGGCTGTAATTCCACTGCCTGGTAGGCTCGGGCCTGCCTCTGGGCTACTTAGTGAGATGTTGTGGCCAGAGAAGGTGATGTCACCTGGGAGGGCCTGAGGTGCACTGGCCTTCAAACTGGTTGGTGGTCTTGTGAGGATTTCATTTTGTTGATTTTGTTCGGAGACAAAGTTTCATGAAGCACAGGCTGGGCTCAGAGTTCTCATGAAATCTAAGGTGACCTTGAACTTCTGACCCTCCTGTCTGTACCCCACCCCCAATGCTGGAGCTGGGGATGGAACACAGGGCTCCCTGTTCATCAGGCAAACACGACCAACAGTCTCCATCCCCAGCTCGGCCTTGGACTTGGGACAGTGTTCAGGCCGGCACAGATACTGGGGGCTTTCCTCCCGTGCCTCTCTCCCCCATCCATTTACCGTACCCACCCCCACCCCCAGGAGCAACTGCAGCTCTACGAAGCCATGAACTCCACATTCGAGCTGTGCAAGATCTGCGCTGAGAGGGACAAAGACGTGAAGATCCAGCCTTGTGGACATCTTCTCTGCAGCCACTGCCTGGCTGCCTGGCAGGTGGGGCTGCCGGCGGCTCTCTTTCCGCCCCCATCCGCCCCATCCCTCCCTTAAAAGCCCCATCTGGACCTCCCTGGGGCCTCATTGAGCATATGAGGAAACAAAGTTCGAGCGAGAAGAGAGGTCTGGGCAGGCACTCAGGGCCCCAGCTCTGGGCCTTTGACGCCTCTGGACCCGTCTCACCCTGAGTCCCAGCCTCTGTTTCTCCCCGAGCAGCTACATAATGGGTTTTAGAAAGGGCTCCTTTCTCCCTCGCAGCAGGCTCTGTGGAGTCAATAGCTTTCCCTTATTGGATCATGACCTCAGCCTCTAAAGGCTAGAACTAAACATTCCATCACCAGCGGTGCAATGAGGGCTCCTTCGAAGACCTCAGATGCTGAGGTCCCTCCTGGATTCAGAGCAGCCCAACCCCATCCCAACCCTCTGCCCGCTACACATTCCAGAGCTCGGCTCTCTCCAGCCTTCCCTCCCCACATCACTTTGTTAGAGGTCGTTTGAAGTCAGAAGGGACAACAGGGTAATTGACATCTTCCTTCTTTGTCCCCAGCAGTCGGACAGCCAGACCTGTCCCTTCTGCCGTCGGCAGATCAAAGGCTTTGAGGCTGTGAGTATCTGTCAGGCACAAGAGAGGTCAGTGGAGGTCAGGAAGACTGCAGAGGACTCAAGAGACAACTATCCCCAGGGGACTGCACACTGGGAGCTGGAGCCGGTGAGCAGGGCCAGGCAAGACCAGGAAATCACTGTTGCCAGGGGCTTATGGAGGAAGGCTTGGGTCTGGATCCCTGGGTCTGATGGAGGGACTAAAGCCTGAAATCTTGGTCTAAGGTCGGGGGCTGGGACCTGGACTCTGGGTGTGAGAGAGGAGGGTCTAGAACAGGATTCTTAGATGCTGAAGTTGGGAGTGTCTGCTCCCCTACAGCTGACCTGACTTTCCCCAGCACAGTGTAGCCTCCGGGTGAAAGCCTGTACCTGATGCTTGTACAGTCTTGCACAGCACCTCCTGCTGGCCACTGGTAAAAATCACATGTAGGTGTAAGGAAAATAACTTCCAGTTTATTTCTGTCTCCTCCAGGTGACTCCCTCTGAGCCTCCACTGCCCCCTGAAGATCGGTCCCCTAGGAGACCCCAAGACAAAGGCTGGCTGGCAGTGGTGAGTGAGATCTGAAGTGAGTGTGGCCACAGTCTGGAGCCGCAGGGATGGGCTGATCCTCACCACCCCTCCCCACTTCCTCTATTTCTTTAAGATTTGTTTATTTTATGTATGAGTACTCTGTCTGCCTCTACTCCAGAGGGAGGCATCAGATCTCATCACAGATGGTAGTGAGCTGCCATGTGGGAGCTGGGAATTGAACCGGGGTCTTCCTCTGGAAGAGCAGCCAGTGCTCTTAACCACTGAGCCATCTCTCCAGCCCACCTCTGTTTTCTGTTCCTCGCCTCTTCCACCTCTACATCCTCCTCACCCTCCTCCTCCCTCTTAGTATGACACCCATGCATGCTGCCTTAAACTCTCCATCTTATCTTCCTGCCTCAGCCTCCGGAGTGCTGGCGTGGATGCCAGATTCCCTCGGCCCACCTCCCATAGGCTCATTCCTTAGGGAGGACTATTTTGCTCTCTTCTCCTCCCACTCCACTCCCCTGGACCTTCTGAGACCCTCCCCAAAGGGGAGGGCAGCTGCCCCAGCAGCCTAGCTGAGCGCACAGTGGCTCCTTCAAACAAATAGCTCAGGAAATCCGGGAACGTTATTCTACCACAGCAAGCGAGAGCCAGCAGGAAGGGGGGCCGGAGAGCCCGGGCAGGGAAGCTAAAAACAGATCTGAACCCATGGCCAAAGATAAATGGAAACATTAGGAGGCACTCAGCGGGCTCCCTGGGGATGAGGAGGGGCCACAGCCAGGACCGGCAGCTTGCCGGTCACCTCCAGCCAGATGGGTGCACCTTGGCCGGGGCCACGCCCTCTGCCTGGCATGAATCTCCCCGGCTCCTGTTAACATTCCTGCCTCCTCCTACTCCTCCCCATACACCGGGGAAGGGAAAGCCCTGAGCTTGCCTGGTACAGGAAATGTGACTGTACTTCTGAGAGAAGTTCAAATGTGTGTGGCTTTGTTATGCTCTTCACCCCCCTCTTATTATTATCTTTTTTTTTTTTTAAGATTTATTTATTTTTAGGCCAGACAGGGTGGTACCGGGTCTTTAATTCCAGCACTTGGAAGGCAGAGGCAGTCAGATCTCTTGCGAGTTTCAGGCCAGCCTGATCTACATAGCAAGTTCCAGGACAGCCAGGGCTACATAGAGAGATCCTGTTTAAAAAAAAAAAAAATTATTTTAGTGTATGATTTTTTGCCTAGATGTATGTATGTGTGCATGCCTGGTACCCAGAAGAGGGTGTTGGAAGCCTCAGAACTGAAGTTGCAGACAGTCCTCAGGCCACCCTGTGGGTGCTGGGAACTGGCTGCTCAGCCACCCAGCCATCTTTGCAGCCCGGTTACTTTCTTTTGAGACAGGGTCTCACACTGTAGACCAGGTTGGTCTAGAACTCAGAGAGATCCACCTGCCTCTGTCTCCTGAGTACTGGTATCTCTCATCTACCTGAATGTATATTGTGTAGTATGTACGTATAGGTGTGTACAGGGTCTGCAAAAGCCAGAGGAGGCCGTCAGAGCCCCTGGAATTGTAGTTACAATGGTTGTGAGCCACCTTGTGGGTTCTGAGAACCGAATCTGGCTCTAAATCCCTGGACCATCTCTCCAGCACCGCTCCCATCTTTATTTTGAGGTTCTAAGAATTGAACCCAGAGTCTTATATATTTCGGGCAAGTACTCCACTGAGCCCCGCCCTCACTGATGCACTCTGGGCAGGCACTGAACCACACCCACAGCCCCTCCCTCCCTCTCTTTTAAAGGGGGCGCTCCTGGTTTCTTCACATACTCCATTAGGGTGACAGCCACGTATCCAGAGGAGACACGGAGACTCAGGTCACAGGGGACGGATTTAGAACTGGGACCCAGATCCCTGGCTGCAGTATACAAAGCCTATGAACCAATGTTCCTTGGTCTGTACAGTGTAAGAAGCACCTGTCCTTGCCACGGAGGGCCACTGCAGGCGCTGGATGCTGGATTCGTGGCTGTAGTTATTTTAGTGGAGATTAGTATACAGTCCTTTTGCATGTGTCCTTCCCAGGCAGGGTCTTGCTACGTAAAGCCAGGGCTGTGTCTGACCCGAGATCCTCTTGCCTTGGCTTTCCGGACCCTGTTATTGTGGGTCTAAGCCCCCAAGTCTTGTCCTTCCAATAGGCCAGCAGGCCCCGCCCACCGCAGCACCTCCTACCTTGGAACCTTTCCGCTTGGCTTCTGGCCTGTCATTCCGGTCTCCCAGGGGCCTTTGCAGCTGCCATCCTCTCTCTGGCCAACATCACTCTGCTCTACTTGAAAGGACTCAGAACATCTGATCTGTTTCCTCGCTTGGAAGCCACCAGGCAGTCGGTCTCTCCTCCACCTCACCCCCACCCCACTGCCAGAGCCACGGATGTCAGCTCTGCAAGAACAGAGATGTTTTTCTCATCCGTGGCTGTGTCCCCAAAGCCCAGAACACTGCTCCAGAAATGTTTGCGGCATGAGTGTATAAGTATTTTGAGACAGGGCCTCATGTAGTTCAGGCTTGCTTCAAACTGGCTATGTAGCCAAGGATAGCTTTCCACTTCCTCTTTTTGGTTTTGGGGGTTTTGGTGGTGGTGGTGGTGGTTTGTTTATTGTTTTTGTTTTGATCATTTGTTTTTCAAAAACAGAGTTTCTCAAGGTAGCACTAACTGTCCTGGAACTCCTTTTATACACCTGGCTGGACTCGAACTCACAGAGATCTGCCTGCCTCTGCCTCCTGAGGGCTGGGCTTAAAGTTGTTACTGCCCTCACCCAGCTGGCTTTGGTTTTTGAGACAGTTTTTCTCTGGCCCTGGCTTTCCTGAAACCAAGCTCCTCCTGCCTCAGCCTCCCTTACCGTGCCCAGCCTCACTTAGGGAATTTCTGTTTTCTTTTAAAATGTACTATTACTCTGTGTATGTGTGTGTGAGAGACAGACAGAGAGACAGAGAGACAGAGAGAGATGTGTGTGAGGTGTGTGTGTGAGAGACAGAGAGACAGAGGTGTGTGTGTGTGTATGTGTGTGTGTGTGTATGTGTGTGTGTATGTGTGTGTGTGAGTGTGTGTGTGTATGTGTGTGTGTGTATGTGTGTGTGTGTGTATGTGTGTGTGTATGTGTGTGTGTGTATGTGTGTGTGTGTGTGTATGTGTGTATGTGTGTGTGTATGTGTGTGTGTGTGTATGTGTGTATGTGTGTGTGTGTGAGAGTGTGTGTGTGTGTGTATGTGTGTGTGTGTATGTGTGTGTGTGTGTGTGTGTGTGTATGTGTGTGTGTGTGTGTGCGCCTCAGCGTACTTATAGAGGTCAGGAAACAGCTTACATGACTAGTTCTCTCCTTCTACCATGTGGGTCCCAGGGATGGATCTCAGGTCTTGAGATTTGACAGCAAGCCCCTTTAGGCACCGAGCCATCTCACTGGCCCAATGAAACATTTCCTAATTCTTTCTTTCCAGGCGCCCATCACCCTGCCCAGACTCCGAGCTCCACTCCCTTTACCGAAAATAGCCTCTGTCCTGTGGGAAGTCACCGACAGGCCCCAGGCCAGGCAGGGGGACACAGAGTAAGTAGAGGGACCCTTCATGTTGCTGTGAGACCTCAGGGTCTTGGAGGGGTGAGCCGAGGAAACCGATTGACTCTCACAAAACCAAGCGGACTAACGTCTCTCCGTGACAGAAGCTCCTGAGTGGGAACGCACCCCTCCCTCCAGCTGGCCCTCGCCGCCCCTAGTTGTGTCCAAGATCCAGAGGCCAGGTGAGCCCCGCTTCCCTCCCCCAGCTCTGCTCTGTCCCAGATGTGACTGGATCTGATGCCACTATCAGCACAGCCTCAAAATAAAGGAGCAGGGGTCAGGGGTGTTCAGCAATGTGGTTCTTGGCTGAAGTCCTGGGTTCAAATCCTCAGCACTTTGTGAAATGAATGGTGATAAATTTCTGTAATCACAGCACTCAGAGGTGTGGAAGCTGGAGGGTCAGGAGTTCAAGGTCATCTTCAGCTATATAATGAGTTCCAGGTCAGCCTGGGCTGTACAAGACTTGGCATTATTATTATTATTATTATTATTATTATTATTATTATTGAGACAGGGTTTCTCTGTGTAGCTTTGGAGATTGTCCTGGAACTAGCTCTGCAAACCAGGCTGGCCTTGAACTCACAGAGATCCACCTGCTTCTGCCTCCCGAGTGCTGGGATAGTATTTATTATTATTATTATTATTATTATTATTATTATTATTATTGCTATTAGTCTTCTTCTAATTCTTAGTCTTTTTTTTTTAAATAATTTATTATACTTTGTGTTTTGCCTGCATGTATGTCTGTTTGAGGACGCCAGGTCCCCTAGAACTGGAGTCAGACAGGTGTGAGCTGCCGTGTGGGTGCTGGGAATTGAACCCAGGTCCCCTGGAAGAACAGTCAGTGCTCTACACTGCTGAGCCATCTCTCCAGCCCCCTAATTCTTACTCTTTTCACATTACATGCGTGTGTTTACCTTGTGGTGGGGGGTATGGCACGTGCCACAGCACATGTAGGCCGTGGAAGTGCATCCTCCCCTTTAAAAACAACGACAGCAGCAAACATGGTCTGGGAGAGATAGTTCAGCAGTTCAGGGCGGGTACTGCTCTCACAGAAGACCTGCCTGCCCCAGTTGCCAGCTCCTATGTAGCGTGCTCACAATCTCTTATAACTCCAGCTGCAGGGGAATCCATCGCCTCCCTCTGGCCTCCTCCGGCATTGCACTCAGGAGCACATGCACATATACACAAATTAATTTAAAATAAACTACTTTTTCTTCCCCCTTTCCAGACAGGGTTTCTCTATGTACCCTTAGCTGTCCTAGAACTCACTCTGTAGACCAGGCTGGCCTCAAAGTCAGAGAAATGCTTGCCTCTGCCTCCTGAGAGCTGGGATCGAATGTTCCTCCACCACCACCTGGCTAATAAACTACTTTTAAAAAACAAGTAAGCCAGGCAGAGGTGGTCTTTAATCTCAGCGCTTGGGAGGCAGAAACAGGCAGATGTCTGTGAGTTTGAGGCCGGTCTGATCTACAGAGAGAGTTCCAGGAGAGCAAGGGAACTGACCGAGTATCAAAAACAAATAATAAATAAAAACTCTAACACCGTTTTCTTCTGCTTGACAGGGCACCTGGACTGGAGGAAGAGAGCCCTGGGGCTGGGAGGGGTGACGAGCGGAAATAAACTGAATCCTGGCCCTTTAATCCTCCTGTGTGTGACGGAAGCCAGCAATGCCATGGGCTGAGTAGGAGAGCTTTGTCCCTGGGGTAGGGTAATCTCCAGTCCTGACCACCGCCTTCCCCCATTAACTCAGGAACCTGGGCCCTTCTACTCTCAGATCATCCCACCCAGAGGAGTCCCAGGCTCCCCTGTCAGAATGTGGTTCTGCATCGAGTCCCAAGCTAATCGCATATCCAGCCCTGTCCCCCATCCTGTGACCACCTCATGGGACCAGATACCCAAATCCAAGAATCCCATGTTTGTTTGGGACCTGGGCTGCCACAGCCTGTTGCATCCCTATATAGCCCAAACTGGACTCGACCATGCAGTAATCCCCCTGCCTCTCCCTCCCCGGTTCGGGGATCACAGATGAGCAGCGCCACAGCCAGCTGCCCCCCTCCCCTCCTTCCCTCTCGCCCCTTCTCCCAAACTAATGTGCCCACTGGTGTCAACCAGCACTGTCACCGACTGTGGAGGGACTCCGCCCACTGGCCTTAGGTTCAAGCAGCCAAGGCTGAGCCCCTGCCGTGTGTCCATCATTCCACAGCCCCTCTCTAACCCATTCTCCACTGGGCCACGCGCACTGTGCGCACACAGCCCACTAGGGGAGGCAGACCCCGGCTGGCCTAAGGTGGGCAAAGGGGTTACCAGAACACTTAAACCAGAGGGAGCAGACTTGCCTGACCAAGGTAATCAGGGGAGGCTTCCAGGAAGAGGGATGTCGAAATTGAGATTGTAGAGAATCAGTGTCCCAGGGGACAGGTGCCAGAAAGCTTGACTCACAGATAAGTAACTAATAATATTGAATAACAAAAGCCACCACGGGAAGACAAGGGGATTTATTGAGAGGAGGTTTTTTTTTTTTTTTTTTTTTTGTTTTTTTTTTTTTTTTTTTTTTTTTTTTGGGTCAGTCGCGAAATCCCAGGAGCAGCCTGGAGAACTGTGAGACTAGTGGCCACTAGCCAGCAACAACGGTCACCAATGGAAACCTCTCCACAGAACCGGTTTGATGAGGACACCTCAGGTTCCCCAGTGACTGGGCCATGCTACCTTCACCAGCTGCCTGGTAGAGGGGCTCTACCACTGAGCCACACCCCAGCCCCTCACTGGGGGATTCTAGGCAGGGGCTCTACCACTGAGCCACGCCCCCAGCCCCTCACTGGGGGATTCTAGGCAGGGGCTCTACCACTGAGCCACGCCCCCAGCCCCTCACTGGGGGATTCTAGGGAAACACTCTACTGCTGAACCCACTTCTTCATGCAGGTAATGTCAAGATATGATAATGATGGTCTTGTAGGATGAGAAATTGTTTCCTCCGTCGCTAGAAAATAGGATATCCTCCAGCTGCCATGGCTGGAAACCCTCGCCAGAGCTGGCTTCCTCTGCAGCATTCACTCCTAATTCAAAAGCCTGGCATGGTTTTTCGAGCTGAGATCACTTTGGCTCCTGGAGACAGTAGAGCCAACACCTGTCTCTGTCAGTTTCCACAGAGGGTGTGGACCTTCCAGAGACGGCAGGAATGGGGCAGATGGCAGGTAACTGGCGCCTATAAACCGCCACCTCAATTACATGTTTTCTGTGTAGGAGTTGCCATGGTCATGGTGTCTCTTCACAGCAACAGAAACGCTAACTAATACAGTCATACTTCAGGCTCTCTGCCCAGCAAGCGCCAGCCATCCACCTGGGCTCTGCCTGTTGTGCAGCAGTTAAAGCTCCCGGTTTGTTAAGACTCAGGAAGGAAGTCCGTGAACCTGACCGACTACACAAGACCCCCTCAGTCCCCAAGGTTACCCAGTCAGCAGGGAGTGCCTGGCAGAGGGGACTCCCGACCCGCTGAGCTGCCTGCCGGCTCCCGCTCCAGGGTCCCAGCTTTGCGAAGCCAGCACCCATGCCAAGGTGGGCTTTTGGAGACACGGCTGTCTTTGAGTCATCCCTGCTCCTGTTAAGTGATCCCGATACACTCATTTGTTCACTTTTCTGTCATTGGTTCTCTGTCAGGGATGGTTAGACATTTTTACATATTTCCCCAGAAATAGCGTCACGCAACACTGACCTATAGTGCTAGGATCACAGACGCAAACTACCAGCCCTGGTTTTTACATGAGTGGATGCGGGGAATTCAAAGTCAGGTCCTTACGCTTGCGTAGCAAGCAATTTACTAACGGAGCCTCCTTCCTGTTTGTTTTGCTTTTGTTTTATTTTTATTTATTTTATTTATTTTTTCAGACAGGGTTTCTCTGTGTAGCTTTGGAGCCTGTCCTGGAACTCTCTTTAGACCACGCTGGCCTCAAACTCACAGAGATCCACCTGCCTCTGCCTCCCGAGTGGTTTTTTTTTTTTTTTATTTAATCTGTTATTTATGTATATTGGTGCTTTGCCTGTAAGTACGTCTGCATGAGGGGATCAGATCCCCTGGACCAGAAGTTACAGGCAGCTGTCATATGGGTGCTAGGCATTGAACCCTGGTCCTTGAAGGAGCAGTCAATGCTTTTAACCACTGAGCCATCTCTCCAGTGCCTCCTGCGTGTTTCTTATTGCTTTATCTGTTGTTGCTTGAGACAGTCTTACCATGTAGTTCCCTTTCTCAGTCCAGAACTATTTAGATCAGGCTGGCTTTGAATGTTTGGTGTTCCTCCAGCCTCTGCCTTCACTGTATGGTGTTATTGAACACACAGGCACACACACGCACACCACACTACACACACAGAATAGTAGTAATAGTAGTAGTAATAATAATAATAATAGCCAGATGCGGTAGCCCACACTTTTAGTCCCAGCACTCAGAGGCAGACAGATCTCTGTGATTTCAACCCAGCCTGATCTACAGAGTATGTTCCTGGCCAGCCAAAGCTCCACAGTAAGACCATCTCAAAATAATGGTGATGATGACTAAAAGGTAAATTAAGGATGCTGGAGAAATGGCTCAGAGGTTAAAAGCATTGACTGCTCTTCCAGAGGTTCTGAGTTCAATTCCCAGCAACCACATGGTGACTCAAACCATCTGTAATGAGATCTGGTGCCCTCTTCTGATATGCAGGCAGAGCAGTGTGTGCATAGTAAATAAATCTTAAAAAAAAAAAAAAGTTTATTTAAACTGGGTGGTGGTAGCAAACACCTTTAATCCAAGCAGAGGCAGAGGCAGACAGATCTCAGTGAGTTTGAGGCCATCCTGGTCTACAGAGTGAGCTCCAGGACAGCTAGGACTGTTACATAGAGAAACCTTGTCTCAAAGAGAGAGAGAGAATTAAAATACAGCCAGACCTAGGCACAGTGATACAGATCTGTAACCCTTCACTTCACTTGCGAAGAGATGGAGGGAAAATTAGAATTGTATGGTCGTCCTTGGCTACTCAGCAAGTTCTAACCCAGCCTTGGCTACATAAGACTAAGACCATGTCTCAAACAAAACAGAAATGCATTCTGGTAAGCAGTGTTTGCGCCTACCTGTGATCCAGCTCTCAGGAGACATAAATAAAGCTTGGGGCTGGAGAGAGGGCTGTGGTCACCCGGGGACAGAACTGTTTGAGAAGGGTTAGGAGGCGTGGCCTTGAGGAGGAGGTGTGTCCCTGGAGGCGGGCTCTGAGGGGTCAAGGGCTGCACAACAGGTCCAGTATCTTTTTCTCCCAGCCTGAGGTTCCAGATGTGGCTCTCGGCTACTGTCCAGCACCATTGCAGCCACCATGGACTAAACCTCAGACACTATAAGCCAGCCCCCGAGTAGATGCTTCTGTCTGTAAGAGCCGCCTTGGTCACAGTGTCTCTTCACAGCAGCGAAACAGTGACAAAGCAATGGCTTAGTGGTAGAGACATGTGTTGCTCTTCCAGAGGACCAGAGTTCAGTTCCAAGCGTCTGCATGGAGTGTCCCACAGTAGTCTCAGCCCCAGCGCCCTCTTGTGGCCTCTGCAGGCAGCTGCATGCATATGCAGACAGACAAGCACATTAATTCATAACCATTATAAAGTCGTCTGTGGAGAGATGGCGTAGCTAATTAGCAGTTTCTCTGCTTTTTATTTAAGGGACAGTGAGATAGAGCGATCTCCTGTGCCACAGTGGCCCCTAAGATTCTATAACCCGATGAGGTCCTCTATGTGGCTTCACTTGTGGAGGTGGAGCGAGCTACTTCATGATGCTCACACGAGGGCACAATTGCCTAGCAACGCCTTTATCTGAACGGATGTCCATTGTTAAGTGACACGTGACTGTCGATTTATACACACGGGACAACAGGACAGAGTCGGAATATGACTTCATTCTGCACACAGGCACTTTCTTGTCTCGAGTCAGGCCCCTGTCCTAGGCACTAGAGATTCAGTGAGTTCCTGTCCCCTTGGGGCATGGCTCCTGTGCCAGACAATGCAAGGCAAACAGAATTTACCCCACCATGATTAAGGTGATAGGAAGGGAAACATGAGGCAGCTGGTAACTGGTATCTGGAGCTCTCTAATGAGGCGAGTCACCCGAGAGACTAGAAGCCAGCCAGGAGGAAGCCACTCCGTGAAAGGGTGCCCTGGGCGGGGAGGGGGGCAGGAAGTGCAAAGGTCCTGGGGTTGATGGGATTGCACATCAGCAGAGAGATCAGTGTGACCAAAATACTGCTTGAGAGGGAGAGAGAATGGCAGATGGGGTCAGGGAAGGGAAAAGGTCAGATCTAGGACCTCACAAACCACAGAGAGAACACTGGCTTTTACTTTCGTCAAGATGGAGCCGTGGGCGGATTCTAACAGAACGGCGGCCTGGGCTGACTCACATCTCCTCTGGATTCTTCTGGCTGTTGAGTAGGTCCTAATTGTAGGGGACAATGGGAGGTGACATTATACTAGTTTCTACAAGGCCAGGGCTAATGCCTTTCTTCTGTCCTGTGCCCTTGCCTCGTGCTCTGATCCTTCTAGCACGGTGGCCTGCTGACTTCTCAGAGGTACAAAAGAGGGTGGCTGATGCCAGCTCCCCATCCGGGTCCAGACCCAGTAATCTGATACACAGGGCAGGGCCAGAACAGGAGAGCCGCGACTGAGGTCCCAGTGAGGAAGACCTCCCAGGGGGCACTTATGAGAAGGACGTCTGGGAGTATGGATGGCACCCTGTGGTGGCGACTCTGACTTGAGCTGTTTTTAAAGATTTATTTTTATGTGGTTTTTAGTATGTATTTATCTTTAGGGGTTTATTTTATTTCACACGTACACGTCTTTGCATACATGTGCCTGTATGCACCACATGCACATTTGCCTGGTGCTCGTAGAAATCAGAGAAGGCATCAAATCTCCCCGGAAATGGAGTTACAGGCTGTTATGAGCAACCTGATTGGACATGGGTACCAGGATCCAAACTTGGGTCCTCTGCAAGCACTCTTTACCGCTGAGCCAACTTTCCAGCACCTTTGGTTTTTATTTTTTGCTTCATTTTTTGTTTTCGAGACAAGACCTTATGTAGCATAGGCTCCTCAGACTCTTGGTTTTATTTATTTATTTATTTATTTTTATTTATTTATTTATTTATTTATTTATTTTTGAGGCAGGTCTTTCTATTTTGAGACAGGTCCTGGAACTGGATATGGACACCGGACCAGGCTGGCCTGGAACCCAGAGATCCTCCTTCCTCTGTCTCCAGAGCACTAGGATCAAAGGCGTTTGCCACTGCACCCGGCTGTCCTAAAACTCGATGTAGCCAAGGATGACTAACTCCTGATCCTCCTGCCTTTGCCTCTCAGTGCAGGGATAGCTGGTGTGTGTCAGGATGCCAGGTTAATGAGGTGCTGGGGGTGGAGGCCCAGGCTTCATGAAAGCTAAACACGCTTTGTACCAACCGTTTCCTGTTTCTGTTCCTGTGAGGCATGGCTGGTCTTGAACCCCTAATCACCCTGCTCCCACTTCTTTATGGGGTTATCAGAGTGGGCCACTATGCCCAGTTAGCTGGGGGGGCATTTCCCTGGAAGCCTCTGGGCCCTTGAGTGTGCACTGTTTTGCCTGCTGTGGAGCCGGGATGGGAGTCAGGTGGAGGAGGAGGATGGATACAGGCATCCCAGGGATTGGGGGGCTTACAGGGGTCCAGAGATTTGCAGGAGGCATGTGACAGGAGAGGACTTCCTGAAGAGAAGATAAAGTGCAGCCCCATGCAAAGGTCATTCTCCTGGTTTCACAATTACTGTCCGGTGTGACAGGAATGCTAAAACAGCTTTGAGAGTCAGGCCATATAAGCCTTTCTTCTGAGGCTGATGGGTAAAACCTTGGCTCCAGAGGCCCGGAAGATCACTGCAACCTCCTTCAGACTGGCCAGAGAAAGGGGGAGGAGGGCTGTCTCCCAGCATGACCAGTGGCACCCCCTCACCCCATCCCTACCCAGACTAGCCTCTACCCACTGGACAGTGGCAGAACCCTCCTTCCCCAGCCCCCACCCAGCATTCTTGGGATTTTGTTCCAGGCTGATTTGGCTTGTGAGGACCCTGGAGTAGTGATCTGTGATCCCTTACTTTGACCTGTGACCCTCTCTTCCACCCAGTGGCCCCAGTGGCCTGATCACCTTCCCTCCTCCACTCACCTGCCCCTAGCCAGCCCACGTCTCCTCCCCTCCCCCCAAGGTGGGCAGGGAATGGCGGGGAGAGAAGGGAGGAGGAAGGGGGGGTGACATTCCTTGGATTCCCTGGATGGGGGGATGTGAGGGAGTCAAGGAGAACACAGCAGATCCCATCACCAAAGAGGCCCAAGAGGACCTGGGAATTGAAAACCCATTACAGACAGGATTGACCCGACCAGTTCCAGGCCACTGCTCAGTCAGAGGAAAGACGCTTCCCAGCGTGGTGGCTCTAAAGGGAGGGCATCCTAGAGCACCCTGGGAAGAGCCAGTCATGCAGGACATACTACAGACAGAGGCCACACAGGCAACTAATTGTACCAGGAACCGCTGGTAAACAGCAACAGTTCACAAACCAGAGATGGTGGGCACCCTTGTAATCCCAGCACTTGGGAAACGGAGGCAGGAGGATTGCCACGAGTTCCAGGCCAGCCTGTCTCCAGCTACACCTGTCTCCGAAACGAAAACAAAGCAAACTAGCAAAAAGATCTACCTGCAGCTGGTGGGGGATGGGAGTGAGGGGTGGGGGTGGGCGGGGGACCCTTGCCACCATTGAAATGAGCCTCGAGGCCCTGAAGGGGGCCAGGAAGGAAGGGAGTGAGGGTCCCTGCGGTGTCCCTCAGATCCCAGCTCTGGGCACTGGCTAGACTGGCCGGTCAGGCCCCCGGGCCACGGAGGACAGCCGCGGGCGTGGGTTGGATAAGAGCGGCGCGCGCGGCGGTGCCGGCAGAGCCGGCGGGTCCCCGCGCGCGCGGGTGGGAGGTCCTCTCTGGGCAGTGGGAGGTCTTGGCCTTGCGCCCAGCCTGGGGATGGGGGGTGGTGTGGGCGTGGCCCTGGGCGTGGCCTCCGCTGCCAGCCTCACGGCGGCCGAGAGCCTCACCCGGGCTCAGTCACCGCCGCCACCGCCACCGCCGCCGCAGGGAACATGGAGCCCCCAGATGCCCGCGCAGGGCTGCTGTGGCTCGCCCTCCTCCTGGCCGGCCACTCAGGTATGGCTTGGAACTGAGAGCAGAGCTGAGACTTGGCGCTGGGATTTGTGGGGCTGGCTCCTGGGGTCCCCGGGAAGACGTGGGAACAAGCTCCCATCTCCCTAGGGAGAACAATCTAGGGATTCCCCACCCGAGAGGAAGGCGGGGAGGCCTTGGGATGTACCCGACTCGAGAGATGAGGACACCCCGACGCTGGAGCAGCGACCTGAAAACGCTGTCCCTTCCTGGCTCTCTGGGAAGTGTGCAATCTAAGCCCTGCGACCCCTAATAACCTTGGGTACCTGGCATCTGGGCTCTTAGTCCCTCAGACTCGAGTCCAGCCCAGCCGCCCCCCCATCCCCGCCCGTCCCGTCTCCTGCTTAGTGGAAGTAGTTTCTAGTAGCATACTGAAGATCAACATCCCAGAGCTGTCCTCTAAGTGATTAAGTTTGAGCTTCCTCGGGTAAACTGGGTCCTCTCCGGCTACAGCACTTCCTATAACGTGGGGTTTCCCCTCAATTCAGAGTTCAGGCTGCTTCTAGAGGACCCACCCTCTCTCAGAAAGGGAGTGTGAGCCTGGAGAGAACGTGGAACAGTGTTTCCGACTGAAAGGGCCCCTCTCCTGGGGCCTCTGATAAATCCACACACCTGCGTGTGGTGACAGGGGGAAGGAACAGGGGCTGGGGGACGCTGGGGACAGGGCGGAGAGGGATCAGGGAGGACAGAGGATAGCTATCTGCTTGCCTTGGGTGTTTGCAGCTCACATTAAGCCCTGGGTACCAGCCTGGCTCCACATCAGCTCCCCTGGGACGGGCTGGGGCCAGAGGTGGGTGCCTGAGAACCCAGGCTTCTGGCACAAGTGTGGAATATAGTTGGGGGGGTGGTGGGAAAGGAATACTGCCAAAATGCTATCCCAGAGGGTAGATTCCCATTGAGAACTATGCTACTACCCACCAGACCCTGCCAGGAGTCCAAGACCCAAACTTCCAGATCCCTAGGACCCAGAGGTCCATGTTTCCGGCATCCAGGCTCCGCTGCCCCAGGCTACTGGAGCCCTTTCTCCCTCAGGACCCAGGTTCAGTCCCTGCCCAGGTGACTCACTACCCTTTTCAAGCATCTCTTGTACAGAGATGGGAGGGGGGACATGGCCGGGAGCAGGTAGGGGGCTCTGGCGCCAAGCCGGGCAGGTCTCAGCCAGCCTGGCCCTCCCACATTCCTGAAACCTGCCCAGCCCTGTCCCCCCCCCTTGCCACTCCCACACACCCATTCAGCTCCTAGCCCAGCTGCAGCCCATACCCCAGCCCCCCACACATCAGAGAGCAGAAGGGCCCCAGGAGCAACCGGAAAAATTGGATGGGACTGAGAGCAAAGATAGCAAAAGACTTCTTCAGCCCCAGGCCACGTTCTGTCCTGGGTGCTGGCGGCCAAGGGGAGAGTCCGCCAAGGCCCTGGCTTGAGGGGATGTTTGCTATGCTGGGCAGGTGAGAAAAACAGGGCTTTCGCTTAGAGTGCTGGGGTAGGCTTGGCCTTAACCCTTGGAAGTCTCAGAGGCTGGGCCAGTGGCACAGGACTTTAATCCCAGCATTCAGGAAGCAGAGACGGCTGTTGTAGATCTCTGAGTTCAAAGCCAGCCCCTGCTTCACATAACTCAAACGTTATGGAGAAACACTGATGGGGCCCAGACTCTGGGAACCCAAGGAGGGAGAGAGGAGCTGCATCCGAGGGAGGAGGTTGGAGCCTAGACTCCTGTCTGAGGATGGAGGCAAGGATCTGGACCTCTGTCTAAAGGAGGAGAGCTGTGAGCAAAATCTTTCCAGTCTGCAGTCTGGAGGGCTCCCCCTGTTGGTAGCATTGGGTGGACACCTGACGCCTCCACTCCATCCTGCAGGTGCCCAGGCTGAGGTGCATGTGTCGGTGCCCCCTCTGGTGGAGGCGTTGCAAGGAGAGCTCATCACCCTGGACTGCAAGCCTCGCGAGCATCCTGACCATTATGTGCTGGAGTGGCTCCTTGTGAGTGCTCTTGGGGATCGGGATAATTCCGGGAGGAGGGAGGTAAGGACCCAGTGGCCTGGCCACATCAGTCCCACTTAGCTCTGCCTACGAAGAGCTGGAAGACCCCCTCAGGGAGCCGTCAAGAGCCCCGTTTCCACTGCACAGGTGAACAAGCCGAAAGCTAGGAAGGCACGGGACTCTGCCTGGTGCAAAGCCTAGCCCGAGGAAATGGTTCTCCTTCAGAGCTGGGCTCAGGAGAGGAAACCAGAGACAAGAGCAAGAGACAGCGAGACACAAGAGGAGGGCGGAGGAGGGACACGGGGAAGATGGGGAATAGGCCGGGACTTAGCAGAGGAAGATTGGCAGCAGAGAGATGAGAAAAATGGCAGGTGACAGGTGGCCGGGGCCTGTGAGCCCCGCAGGTCAGGACCGAAGAAAGGTCAGGTCTGTCTGCACTATGAAGTTAGACCTCATCGCTATATCCAAATTAAAGAGAAGGTTGAGGGGCTGGAGTGAATGCTTACCCCACATGGAGTCATCAAAACCCGAGCATTCTTTAGCACTTGGTTCTTTTCCTGAGGACCTGAGTTCAGTTCTCAGCACTCACAGGCTCCCAGCAGCCAATAATTCTAGCTCCAGAGGATCCGATGCCTTCTTCCGGCTGCCATGGATATGCGCACTCATGCGCGCGCACACACACACACACACACACACACACACACATATACATGCATATACACGTGTATAAATGATAAATACTTTCTTTTTTAAAAAAGATGGCTAGTCAAGGTGGTACACATTTTGAATCCCAGCACTCGGGATGCAGAAGCAGGTGAATTCCTGAGAGGCCCTCCTGGTCTACAGAATTCCGGGAGAACCAGGGCTACACAGAGAGAAACCGCGTCTCCAAAAACAAAAAATAAAAAGGATGAGAGTGTAGCTGGTAGAATGCTGGCCTAGAATCCCCAGTGAGGGGTTGGGGGTGTGGCTCAGTGGTAGAGCCCCTGTCTAGAATCCCCCAGTGAGGGGCTGGGGTGTGGCTCAGTGGTAGAGCCCCTGCCTAGAATCCCCCAGTGAGGGGCTGGGGGTGTGGCTCAGTGGTAGAGTGATGCTTAGCGTGTGGGAGCCACTAGGTTCTTTCCCTAGGCCCAGAGGATAAAAGTCTTGGAGGAAGACAGTAGTAAAGGGGGCTCACAACCCAAGCTAACCCTGTCCCCTGTACACACCCACAGGTTGATGCTTCCGGGTCCCGACATCACCTGGCTTCCGTGGAGCCGCAGGGCTCAGAGCTCCTGCGCACAGTTCACAACTCTCGGGGCCGCAGTCCCCCGTACCAGCTGGACTCCCGCGGTCGCCTGGTGATAGACAACGCCCAGGTGGGCGATGAGCGGGACTACGTGTGCGTAGTGAAGGCCGGGTCCGAGGGCACCTCCGAGGCCACCTCAAGTGTCCGCGTCTTTGGTAAGCGTCCCCAAAACTATACGGAGGAGCCACGGGGTAATCCGAGAAGGACCTCCTGACATGAACATCTCCCCAACAGCGATCCCCGAGGCTACGGAGGTGATGCCCAACAAAGGGACGCTGTCTGTGATGGACGAGTTTGCCCAGGAGGTAACGTGGGCTGGATGGAGACTCAGGGCTTTAAGTACGCCAGGCAGGTGCTCCCTGTCGTTGGGTATTTTCCTTGCTCTGTTTTTGTTTATGTTTGAAGGGTGACCTTATTATGTAGCACAGGCTACCCTGGAACTTTCTCTGTCGCGCTTGTACCTCCCAAGTACTGAGGTCCCAGGCGTGTGCCATCGTACCCATCTGTTTTTCCCTTGGTTTTGTTTCGTTTGCAACACTGGTCTCGTAACCAAGCAGGACCTCAGACCTGCTGTGTGGCTCTGAACTCCCGATCCTCCTGCTTGATTCGACTGCTAGCATTACACTCCTAGCTTGGGCTTGGGGTTGTGTGAAGTAGGGTGGCATGAGGCTCAGGCTAGTGTCGAACTGACGTTCCTATCTCAGCCTCTTGAGAGATGGGGTCACATTTGTGTGTCAACACGCCTGATCCGGGTTTATAATTAATTATTGGGGTGGGGCATGCCACAGCGTAAGTCAGAGGTCAGTTTTTAAGAACCCTTCCCTCCCATACCTCTACGCGGCTCCTAGGATCTGGCTCGGCTCTCCCATTCCTCCATGAGCACGCTTAGTGGCTGAGCCGTCTCACAGACCCGGGCTTTCTAGTGGAAGGAAGGGGAGCCAGTGAGTTCAGTGTCCTCTCCCGAGGAGAAAGAGCCCAGTGGACACGTCTGAAGGGGAGATCTGGGAAAGAGAACCAGGCTTCAGAGTCCTGGCACCAAGCCCAGGCCACGCCTGTCTCTTTCCCAGATCGCCACCTGCAGCAGCCGCAATGGAAACCCGGTGCCCCAGATCACGTGGTACCGGAACGGCCAGCGCCTGGATGTGCCGGTGGAGATGAACACAAGTGAGCCCGCAGTAGCCCGGGGAGGAAGGGGTTGGGGTGATGGCTGGCTTTGGAGGTTAGTCACCCCAACCTGCTGCCTTCTGCTCTCACAGAGGGCTACATGACCAGCCGCACCGTCCGGGAGGCCTCGGGCCTGTATTCCCTGACCAGCTCCCTCTACCTGAGGCTCTACAAGGAGGATCGAGATGCCAGATTCCACTGTGCCTCTCACTACAAGTTACCCTCGAACGAACACGGCCGCCTGGACAGCCCCACCTTCCACATCACTCTGCACTGTGAGTCCCCACGACCTCTGGCCCCGACCTAAGATCCTGTCCCAGCAAGGCCCAGCTCCAGTCTGTGGCCTCATCCTACCTTCTTACCTCATGCTGAAATGTAGCTGTGGTGGCCTGCTGACCTTTGGCCTCTGACCTCAAATAGTACCCCCAAACAATCGTACCGATTCTGACTTCAGCATAGGGCCCTGGACCCCATGGAATGCTCCATTCCTTCCCGCTGATTTGGGTCCCCATACAACACCTGGTCTTAAATCTCAAACTATACACTGACCTCTGACCCTTGAACCATCCTGTCAATTTACCTAGACCTCTGACCTTTGGTGTGTTCTGAGAGTGAGTCTGGACCTATCCGGTGAGGTGACATGTGTGCCCTGTCATCTCAGCACTGGGGAGGCTGAGACAGGAAGATGGAGAAGGCAAAACCTAGCTGAGCTACAGAGAAGGGGCCTGTGTCAAAATCAAACAGACGGAATAAGACATATACATCACACACACACAACATAAATCTAAATAAGACTTCTAAGTTTTAGAACTGTATCTCTTCCTTTAAAAGTAGAGCTAACAAGCCAGGTGGTAGTAGCGCACGCCTTTGATCCCAGCACTCAGGAGGCAGAGGCAGGTGGATGTCTGTGAGTTCAAGGCCAGCCTGGTCTACAGAGTGAGTTCCAGGACAGGCTCCAAAGCTACACAGAGAAACCCTGTCTTGGAAAAAATAAGTAGAACCGACCTTCCCCCTTGAAAGATGACCTTACTTCCTATCTTCCCACAGACCCAACAGAGAATGTAGAGTTCTGGTTGGGGAGTCCATCCACCACAGAAGGCTGGGTACGGGAGGGTGACGCCGTCCAGCTGCTCTGCCAGGGTGATGGCAGCCCCAGCCCAGAGTATTCCTTTTTCCGCATTCAGGTAACTTTGGACCCCACCTGATTCCGTGTCACAGTAACCTCGCCAACCTCTTATGTTTCATGGTGTGGGAGATGGACCCAGGGCCTACCTCACTGGGGGATTTTAGGCAGGGGCTCTGCCTCTGGCCCATACCACAGCCGCAACTGCTAATTTGACCCTGGGGATGCTTAGCTTCACAAGAACTCTTAATCTGAAGGATGTCTGACCCTGACTTAAGGTAGTTTGGAGGATATACCCACCTGGTATGACCCTTGACCTTTGGCTTGAACTGGCTCTAGCTAAGTATGACGCCAGCTTGGTGACCCCTGGGAGCCACCTCAGTTGCTCCCAGAACAGCGTCTAATTCTTGGGTCCATCCACTTACTCAGGGCCCCCAGGAGGAACAGCTAAATGTCAGCCTCAATGGGAGCTTCACCCTGGAGGGCGTGTACCGGAATCAGAGCGGAATCTACGGCTGCAGAGTAGAGGACTATGATGCCGGCGAGGATGTACAGCTTGTCAAGAAGCTGGAGCTGCATGTGGCCTGTGAGAGCTTTGTGGGGAGGGAGGGCAGGCTGGGGCAGGCTTCATCAGCCCAGGGTGCTCACCCTGGCTCCTCCAAGCGGCCTCACAGCTTCTCCAGAGTGCTAATTCCAGAGCACACACTTGGCTCTGCCCCCCTGTTTAGAACCTGCTGTGGCTCCCCCCAGCTTTACAGAGGAAGATCCAGATCCAGTCCCCTGTGCCCTGTGGAGGGAGGCTGAGGTCCCAGGCTCCTCTCTTCCTTGCTCATGCCTCCAGATTGTTACACCCGCTGGTTCTAACCTGGCTAGCCCCTGGGTTTTGTTTCGTTTCTTTTTTGATTTTTCAATACGGAGTTTCTCTGTGCAGCTTTGTAAGCCAGGCTGGCCTCAAACTCACAGAGATCCCTCTACGTCTCCCTCACAAGCGCTGGGATTAAAGGTGTGCGCCACCGCTGCCACCGGGCTGACCCGGCATTTCTAAGCACCTTCTGTGTTCACTCCTCTAGGAAGAAAGTGTTCTGTAGTGTGTGTGTGTGAGCTCATGTGCACACCTTCTGGGCTTGTGTGTGTCGGAGGCTAGAGGTCAATTTCTCTGGATTGACACTTTATTTTTTGAGAAGATCTCCTCATTGGCCTGGAGCTCTTTGATTAAGCTAGATTGGCTGGCCAGCCAGCATGCCCCAGAGATCTTTCTGCCTTTGCCTCCTTATTGCTAAGAATAAGCAACTACACCCAGCCCTTTATGTGGAATCTGGGGCTTCAGGGTGTACCTCACTGGGGGATTCTAGGCAGGGGCTCTACCACTGAGCCACACCCCCAGCCCCTCACTGGGGGATTCTAGGCAGGGGCTCTACCTCTGAGCCACACCCCCAGCCCCTCACTGGGGGATTCTAGGCAGGGGCTCTACCTCTGAGCCCACACCCCCAGCCCCTCACTGGGGGATTCTAGGCAGGGGCTCTACCACTGAGCCACACCCCTAGCCCCTCACTGGGGGATTCTAGGCAGGGGTTCTACAACTCTGGTTCCTATGTTTACACAGCAAGTACTATACCTGTTGAGCTGTCTCCACAACCTGGTGGTTGGTTTTAACTGAGGCAGCATCTCACGAAGCTAGCCTGGCCCTGACCTCATTATGTAGCCCCACTGCAGTAGCAGAGACGCACGGTAAGTGTTGAGCCAACCCCTTCTAGTCACATTAGTGACCACCATCGATAAGGTGGAGGTGGACTGTCACAGTCTGAGTTCCTGGAAGTGCCCGCAGCACCAGCTCTGCAGGGATTGTTTATGGAAAGTCTCCTGTGACCTGTGTGTTCAGAAGCAGCGGGAATGGGCAGAAGTGGGAGTTGGCTGTGATTTACACAAGGTCTTGGGGGGGGGGTGGCACTCCATAGTCATCTCCAGTTAGCATGAAGGACCTGTGCCTGTCATGCAGGGCAGGGGTATGACCTTGGGCAAGGGGTTCCTTGCAGTTGAGGGCATTCCCGAGGGCTGACAGCTGAAGGTTGACAGCTGCCAGCCCTTGCAGCAGCTGGGGGATTCAGTTGTTGGTGTTGGAAGGGAGATCCCCGAGATCCGGGTGTTCACAGCAGCGGGGGCTGGGAGGCCTCAGAGAGAGAGAAGGGGATAAGAAATGCAGTCAGAGAGCCGGAAGCCTCTGCTGCGGGCAGGGTGAGCCAGTGTGAAGGCCCTAGAGACGAACTTGGTTTTCTTGAGAAAGCTAAATCTAAAACCAGGGTCTCTGAGGCTAAGCAAATGCAGAAGTGTTCAAAGACTAGCTAGGCAGGCTCTTGTAGACTGTGGTAATTTGGCCATGGTGCCTAGGGTGCTGGGAGTCATAGCAGCATTTTTATGAGGAAGATGGACCAGTGCGTCCTCTGAAAACATCCTTTGGGATGCTCCGTGGAAGATGAACCGGGAAGACAAAAGTGAGGGTTGGGGCTGCCACCATGGCTCAGCCAGCCAAGGAGCTTGCCGCCAAGCCCAGTGGTCCAGCTGTGATTCTTGGGTCTCATGGGAAGGAGGGGGAGAATCAGCTGCAGCAGGTTGTCCTCTGACCTCCATCCACGTGCCATGGCACGCGTGTAGGCACTTGCATGCACACAATAAATGATAGGAATACAACTTTTAAAAAGTGAGGGATGGATAAGCCAGGCGTTGGTGGCGCACGATTTAATCCCAGCACTCGGGAAGCAGAGGCGGACAGAACTCTGAGTTCCAGGAGAGCCAGGGCTACACAGAGGAACATGGTTTTGGAGAACCAGAACGAGAGGGAGAGGGAATGAGTAGTGGAGAGATGGTAAGGATGGGGGGGGGGGGATGTGACAGATGAAGAGCAGTGGGCGAAACCCTTCTGGGGCAGAGACAGAAAAGTCGGGTCTTCTGGCCTCAGCTTGCCAAGGGCTGGGTTTACGGCCACAAACCACCAAACCCAGACAGAAGTTTGTGTTCTGAGGTGCTGGCATTTGGAACCATGCTAGACAAGCACTCTGCCTCTGGAGTTTACGCCCAGCCGTGCGCCCATCAAGTTGTCTGATCGTTTTGAATTATCCTTTCATTTTATTTATTTGTGCCATGCATGCATGTGTGGGTGTGAAGGTCAGACGATGGCTTGCAGGAGGGAGTCATGACCCTCTACCATGTGGGTCTAGAGGAGTAATACCAGGTTGTCTGGCTCAGTGGCAAGTGTCTAGTCACTGAGCCATCTTGCTGGTGCAAGCCCATCAAGGTTTATGGAGATGGCGTGAGGGTGGTACTGAGGAGAGAGAGAAAAATTGAGCTTAAGCTCAATGGTGGCATAGAGCTGAAGCAGAGCCCCTGCCTAGAATCCCCCAGTGAGGGGCTGGGGCATGGCTCAGTAGTGGAGCCCCTGCCTAGAATCCCCCAGTGAGGGGCTGGGGGCGTGGCTCAGTAGTGGAGCCCCTGCCTAGAATCCCCCAGTGAGGGGCTGGGGCGTGGCTCAGTAGTGGAGCCTGGCATGTGGCATCCTCAGCACTGTGAAGCCTCAAATAGCAGGTCTTTAGAGCAGCTCTCCTAGGTGTTGGCTGAAGGGCCTGGATGGAAAATGAGGATGTCACGGTATTGGGGAGGATTAGAAAGAGCAACACGGTGTGGTGTTGTCTGCCCCTGACTGGGCACTGGGCTGGGGAATGTGAGCGCGTTTTCTCCACTGCAGACCTGGACCCCTTGTTGCTGACCGTGCCCGAGGAGTTCTCCGTACCCCTGAACAGCAGTGGCACAGTGGTTAACTGCTCAGCCACAGGCCTGCCTGCTCCTGCTGTGCGCTGGACTAAGGTGACAGGGGACGGAGCTGTGGGGCCTGGGTGCTCCACCTCAGCCTCTCACGCACCACGCTCTTCCTTCCTGTCCCTTCCCTAGGATTCTGTGACCCTCACAAATGGCCCCAAGCTCTCTCTTGACTCTGTTACCTTTGACTCAGCTGGCACCTACACTTGTGAAGCCTCAACACCCATAGTCCCCCTCCTGAGCCGGACACGGAGTTTCCAGCTGATGGTCCAAGGTTTGGATTGTTGGGCGCCTTATGTGGGGACAGTGTCTGTCTTTAGTTTTCTTTTGTACGTGTGTGCATGTTTGGTGTGTGTGTGTGTGTGTGTGTGTGTGTGTGTGCGCGCGCGCGCGCATGCGTGCGCACCTGAGGCCAGAAGTTGACCCTAAGTGTCTTCTTCTATTTTTTGCTTGGGGTGGGGTGGAGGGGGTCGTGTTCTGAGACATGTTTTCTCGGGGTAACCCCTGGCTGTTCTGGAACTCACTCTGTAGACCAGGCTGGCCTCAAACTCACAAAAGATCTGCCTGCCTCTGCCTCCCGGGTGCTGGGATTCAAGGTGTGCACAGCTGTGTCTCGTGCTTATTTATTCCGGTTTGCAGTGACCAGAGAGCAATCGGCAGGTGCCAGTTCTCTCTCGTTCTGTCCTGTCAGTTCCAAGGATGGAACTCGGGTTGTCAGGCTTGGCAACCTGCACTTTTACCTGCTGAGCCTTCTTCTCCGCCTCCTCCACCTCTTTGAAAACCTGGACATCCCTGAACCGGAGTTCAGGGGACTCGGGGTGTCCTCCAGTCTCTGCATGTCCCCACCTGCGTGCTGCAGTGTGCACCCCAGATGTGCACTGCTGTGGATGCTCCTTAAGCTTGCACAGCAAGCCTTGTCCACGGATCCATCTCCCTAGCGCCCCCCCTTGGCAATCCTGTGTCTCTCCTTTCCCTGGAAGTCTGCTTCCTACTCACTCGGCTGTGGCCCCCCACCACCCACAGGGCCACCAGAGATAAAACCAAACGAGATAAAGCCTATATCGGGGAATAGCTGGACGGAAGGAGATGAAGTCATGCTGACCTGCTCTGCCCGAGGCTACCCGGAACCCAAACTCACCTGGAGTCAGCGAGGTGATACTGTAAGCGACATACCTTGCCACTCTGAGCCTATCCCAAGTTCCACAGGGGACCCTGACCCTCATCGATCCAAGCTTCGTATCCCCTATACTCTACCTCAGCCTACACCCCCAGCCCTTGATCCCTGGCCTGGCCTGATCCAAGCCTCCACAGCCAGCAGAGCCGCCCTTTGAGGGCAAAGGCTGGAGGAGCAGCTCGCTGATGGTGAAAGTTACCAGCGCCCTGAGCCGAGAGGGCGTGTCCTGTGAGGCCTCCAACATCCATGGCAAGATCGACCATGTCTTCCACTTCGGCTCTGGTGGGTAACGAAGAGGTGGGTGGACACGCAGGCCTCCCTGATCTAGTGAACTGAGTGTCTCCTTGCTGTCTTCTCCACACAGTGGCCCCCCAGACCGCCCAGGCTGGAGTGGCTGTCATGGCCGTAGCCGTCAGCGTGGGTCTCCTGCTGCTTGTGGTCGCTGCCTTCTATTGCATGAGACGCAAGGGGCGCCCCGCCTGCTGCCGGCGAGCAGAGAAGGGGGCTCCGTAAGTGTGGGCAGCCTTCGGGTCCTTCGACAGCCTCAGCCAAACCCTCCAGCTCTATTGCTAAAGGAGTCCCAAAGCCATCAGCTCCGCCCCCCACCTATCATCACCCATCTTCCCACCCAAGGATGGCTTTGCCTACCACCCAGAATCCCACCGAAGCCACCTTAAATCTCCTCCCCCCAGACCTAACTTCATCACGTCAACCCCGTGAGAAGTCTCTGTCTAACTGTAGCTCTATCCTTTTTTGTCTGAAGTATTGGAGCTGGAAACCAGACTTCACATCAGCTAAACAAAGCCTTTGTCCCTGAGCTATGCCCCTAGCAGGGTAGTGGTGCACTGTCTTTAATCCCAGCACTCGGGAGGCAGACGCAGGCAGATCTCTGAGTTTGAGGTCAGCCTGGGGCACCCAGGCCTACACAGAGACACCCTGTCTTGAAAAAACAAAAGAAAATGCCCTAGAGACTTGATCTTATGGAGGTATTTTCTCAGTTGAGGGTCCCTCCTCTCAACTATAACCTATGTTAAATTGACAGAACTAGACAGCACACTGGGGGATTCTAGGCAGGGGCTCTAACCACTGAGCCCCTCACTGGGGGATTCTAGGCAGGGGCTTTACATGAATCCCTAGTCTCTTTTTGACTATTCTGAGACAAGGTTACATTGAGTTGTCTAGGTTGGCCTTGATCTTCTTGCTTTAACCTCCCAAGTGCTGGGATTAGATCCCTGGTCCATGAAGCCCAGCTTCATCTCCAGTCTGTTTCTACCTCATTACTAGCCACACCCTGACCTGTTCCTTAAAGTCTCCTCCATCACAGATAGCCACATCCCAACAACCCATGTCTGCGTCTAGCCTCAAACCCAACTTCCTGAATGCAGCCTTCCCACGATTCACACCAGTAACCAACCATATCTATCCCCATCCTACCTCATCTCCAACCTCCCATAGCATCCTCAACTCTGCCCATAAGCATCAGGGACCTCTCTTTAAGGCTAGCCCGGCTTCTAACTCATCTCCAACCTCAGCAACCCTGCCCTTACCTCTTACCATAGAACCCAGGGCCATCACCACCCCTATGCCCACCCCAGTTCCATCTCTAACATTCTGCCATGCCACTGCCCTCCCCCAGGCCAGCCAGGGAGCCAGAAATGAGCCACTCTGGCTCCGACCGTCCAGAGCAGACAGGCCTCCTCATGGGTGGGCCCTCCGGAGGCAGAGGTGCCAGTGGGGGTTTTGGAGATGAGGTGAGTGATGCTCTGGGTGTCCACTGGGGAACCAGCTGAGTACAGAGTCAGCCTCGAGAGCTCAGCCTGAGCTGCCGGTTCTGTTACCAGTGCTGAGATGAAGACCTCCCAGAGGCCGTCTCTGGATCTGGAACTTGGAGCATCATCGGAGGACCGGCTCTGTGCACACGCCTCCGCCTCCTTCCTCCTCCAGCCTTGGCCCTCCCTTCCTTCCTCTGCCTGCTGCTGGATAGGGACCCATAGTGGCCAGCGGCCTCAGGGAGGGGGGCTGGGAGGGGGCCTTCCTCCAGGGAATGTAACTCTCCCAGGCCCCAGAATAGCTCCTGGACCCAAGCCCAGGGCCGGGCCTGGGACACAGCGCTGAGGGTCGGCAGGCCGGGTTATTTTTACCGCCTGCCTCCCTTGCTGGGCACTGCCCCCCACCTGGTAGCCTGCTGTGTAGTCGGACACTGGAATCCCCAGCCCACCCCCTCCCTGCCCATCTCCCCCAGCCCATCGTTTGTGGACACTGGATTCAGAAATAAATGCTGCCTGTCACATGGATACCTTCTTATGGTCAGGTGCTCTTCTGGGAGGGGTGGGGTAAAGAGAAAGGGAGGGTGTGAGCCATTTCCCCCTCCTCCTACTGCTGGCTGCCTGCCTCCTCACACACCCTCAGGAAAAGCCTGATGTCAAGGAGAAAGGCAACAGGCAGGAGCTAAGAGAGGGTGAGAGATGGCTGGCATGAGGCATAGCTGGCTGGTACTGAAAGAGTAACACAGGGGTCCAAGAACGAGCCTGGACTCTGTGGACCGTGCCCAGTGCCTGCGTAGGGGCGAGGTCCTGCCCCCTTAAGGAAAAATTCCCAGGTTCCCTAGGGAGCTGAAGCTAAGACTAGAAAAAACACTCCTGCCTTCCTGGAGGAGCTGGGGGCTCCCTGGGGAAGTAGGGTTCACAAAAGGAATGCAAAAAGGACCTGGGCAGAGTAGGGAAGCTGACAGGCTTGCTGTGGTCCAAAGAGATGGATTGGGGAGAAGGGCAGAGGCCTGGCATGGTGGCACGTGCCAGTCACCTGAGCGGTCTGGATGCTGAGGCTATGGCGCTGTGAGTTCCAGGCCAACCTGGGCTACATAGTGAGTTCCAGGCTGACTGGGACTGCAAAGCAAGAGCCGGTAAGATATCCTAGCGAGTAAGGGTACTTGCTACCGAGTCTGGTGACTCGAATGGGGTCATGCAGCCCAGGCTGGCTTTGAACTCACACTGTGTAGCTAAGATGGCCCTAAAATCCAGATCCTCTTGCCTCCACAAGTGGGCTGTGCCACCACACTTGGGCTTTTTGGTTGTTTGGTTTTTTCTTTTTTTGAGACAGGGCTTCTCTGTGTATCCCTGCTGTCCTAGAACTCACTCTGTGGACCAGGCTGGCCTCGAACTCAGAGATCCGCCTGCCTCAGCCTCCAGAGTGCTGGGATTAAAGGCATGCACCACCAACACCCAGCCTTTCAATTTTTTAATTTTGGGACAAGGGATTTGTCTCAAGATTCCAGTGAATTCCAGAAACATAGATACCACCAAGCATTATATACGCTGCACTTACACATATGCACTTACGGTAAGTCTCTCTTTACAAAGGTCAGTAAGAAATTAGTAGCTACTAAAAAAGCCAAGTGTGGTGGCTCACATCACAGGAAGCTGAGGCAGGAAGATTGCCATTAGTTCAAGCCCAGCCTGGGCTACAGTGTAAGAGCCTGTCTCACGAAGTTAAGGAAAGAAATAATAGAAAGAAAGGTGAACAATCATTGGTAAAAGCGGGGGGGGGGGGGCTGGGGAGACAGCTCAGTCAATAAAGTTTATTTTGCAAGCATGGCAATATGAATTCAGACCCTAGATCCCCACACAGAACACTAGATCCCCACACAGAACACTTTGGAAGTAGAGACAGGCTGGTTTGCTGGCCAGTTAGTCCAGCCTGTTTGGCAAGATTCCAGACCAGTGAGAAACCGTTTTTTAAAAAAGTTGGAACTAGAGAAGTGGCTCAATGCAATAGTTAAGGGTGTTTACTGCTCTTGCAGAGGTTTGGAGTTCTAGTACCAGTACCCACACGAGGCAGCTTACAACCTGCGGTAACTTCAGCTCCAAGGGATCTGGCACCCCCTTGTGGCCTCTGAAGTCATCTGCACTCATGTGCCCATACCCACACACAGACACATAAGTAATTACAAATAAAATATATTTTTAAAGTTTGATAGTGGCTGAGGCGCACCCGGGGTCCTCTGGCTTCCACACTCACACAGGCACACTATCACACACATGCACGCACACAGGTACACTATCACACACATGCACGCACACAGGTACACTATCACACACATGCACGCACACAGGTACAGTATCACACACATGCACGCACACAGGTACACTATCACACACATGCACGCACACAGGTACACTATCACACACATGCACGCACACAGGTACACTATCACACACATGCACGCACACAAATAGAATAAGTATGACACATAATGTACGGCATTGTTAAAAACAATGTTGTTTAAAATAAGTTATTTTAAACTTATGATTTATTTATATCTGGAATGTTCCATGAACATTTTTGAATGGAGGCTGACCATGGATAACTGAAACCATGGGAAGCGAAACTGGGTTAGGGAAGGACACCTCCTGTCAACAGACCCCAGGATTTGTTCCTGTCCCTCCCATGTCTGTCCCTGTTGGTAGAGCTCTCTTGTCCTCATTAGGGCAGAGTTGGAGATGGCAATTTTGCGCATTTGCTGGCTTGTTTGTTTGTGACAAGGTTTCAAGTAGCCCAATCTGGCCTCAAAGTCCATCCTCCTGCCTCACACTGCGGAATGCTGGGATAAACAAGCAAAGGAAGGTTGGGAGCTGCCCAGCAAGCAGGTAGGGATGCTTGTCCCCCAAGCTTGATGACCTGAGTTTGGTCCCCAAATCCCTCTTAGTAGAACAAGAACTACCTCATACAAGCTGCCTTTTATACAAGCACCTCGGCTCAATCACACACAATACTGAATAAACAAATACAGGGGGGAGTGGGATTTTCTTGTAGGTCCAGATAGGCGGCTGGAGAGATGGCTCAGTGGTTAAGAGCACTGGCTGCTCTTCCAGAGGACCTGGGTTCAATTCCCAGCACCCATGTGGCAGCTCACAACTGTCTGTAACTCCAGTTCCAGGGGAATCTGACACCTTCACACCAATGCACATAAAATAAGTTAAACAAACAAACAAAAAAAAAAAAACAGTCCAGATAGGCAACGATGGTTCACGCCTGTATTCTCAGTAGGACACAGAGTGAAGGCAGGACAACCACCTCAAGATTTGAACCAGACAGGGCTGTGATGCAGTGAGACCCAGTCTCAGGAAAAAAACAAACAAGGAAACACAGTGGTGCATGCTGGGAATCAAGCATTTGAGAGGCTAAGCAGGTGGTTCCCTGCAAATCCAAGGTTAGTCTGGACATGTCTGTAAGTGGAGTTCTTGGAGCTCCAGGCTAGCCAAGGCTACTGATTAAGACCCCCGTCTAAAAAGCACCCCCACCCCAATAAACTTTAAAAGTTAGATGTACAGCTGTGAGCTCAAAGGCAAACTATCTTCAGGCACAGTTGGATCCAGCAGCTCAAATCTACTTCCTTCCCTGAGACAATACCACTGATGGGGGTGTGGGGGGGGGTGTTGTTGCTGTGGAGCCTCAAATGCTTGCTTGACCAAAGGTAGATGGCTGCTGCTTCCTCTGTGCACAAAAGCAGGGTTGCTGGGCAGGTAAGTTACTTGGAACAGGAAGCCTTTGGCTTTGTGCCCAGCAGGCTTACCAGCTCTTGAGTGAAGCACTACCTCCGGGACTCCTTGACCCTGGAAGCTGACTTCATAGGCATGAGACCCACCCAGGCCTTTGTCAACAAACCAAGCTGATCTTAAGTTTTAAGTATGCCTCATAGGCATGTAATCTGGGAGCTCCACACTCCAGCCTGCACTCCACTGGCTTCCTGAGCCCGCCCTACCTACAAAGAGCAGCCAGGAGAGAGAGCCAAGCCCACTTGCTGGCAGACCAGAAGAGCAGGTGCAGAGGGGGTAAAAAAAGACCATCCAAAACACGGACTCTTTGACTCATGGGGGAAAGAGGGCAGGAGGAGGGAGTTTGCAAAGTCAATAGTGAAGCTGATGCTCACACCATAGACCTCCTGAATTCATCTTTAGCTGGGTTGGGATAAAACAGCCAGCGATGGTCAGCAAGGTAAAAGCTATGCCATGACCATCTTAGCTTGGTTTTTGGAATCATGATAGGAGACAATCAACTCCTTAAATCTGTCCTCTGAACCTCCAAGCATGCCCTCTCTACCATGAGAAGGAGAGAAGGAGTAAGAGAAGGGGAGGTATGAGGTATGGTCCGGACAGCTCAGCAGGTAAAGGAACTTACTGCCAAGCCCGACGGCCTGTGTTCAATCCCTGGGGATCAGAGACAACTGACTCCTGCAACCTGTTCACATGCTATGGCACAAAAACCCTTCCTAAACAAAAATTACTTAAAAATATAAATGCACATACACACACACACACACACACACACACACACAGACTCGATTGATGGTCAAGAGAACTCCAGGTTCAGAGGATCTGATGCTCTCTTCTGGCCTCCACAGGCACCAGGAACACATGTGGTGCACACACATACATGCAGGCAAGGCACTCTTATACATAAAATTAAATAAATCTCAAAAGTGGGGAAAAAATTATCAAGGCTCTGTGCATGGTTGCCCAGACTTTTAATCCCAGCACCCAAAGGCAGAGGCCGGCAGATCTCTGTGGGTTCAAAGCCAGTCTGAAGCTGCTGGTGGTGTCACATGCCTTTAATCCCAGCACTTGGAGGCAGCAGCAAGCAGATCTCTGTGAGTTCGAGGTCAGCCTGGTCTACAAAGCAAGTTTCAGGACAGCCAGGGCTACAAAGTGAGACTCTGTCTAATGGGGATGGGGGAGTAAATTCTTCATACAACTGACCTCTAGTCACACCTGTTCCAAGCCAGAGATGGCATCTGTCCAGGTTCATGCCTCATTCTGCTACTTCTTGGAAAGGTCCCATGCCTCAGTTTACCTTCCACCCACGGGGACCATTATAGTAGTGTCCCCTTATTGGGGCTCTTGTTTTGCTCCTTTTTTTTTTTTTTTTTTTTTTTAGACATAGTCTCTCTGTGCAGCCCTGGCTGATTGGAACTCACTCTGTAGACCATGCTGGCCTGGTTCTCAGAGATCCGCCTGCCTCTGCCTCCGGAGCTCTGGGATTAAAGGCGCCACCACCTCTTCCTGAGACTCTTGTGAGCGATGAATGAAGACACAGGGAGTTTTTGAATAGTGTCCATTCTGGACCTGCCTGTTTTGTAACTCTGACTTTGGGACCCAGTCACTTCCCCTCCCCATGACTCAGTTTCCCTACCTCCCCAAGTTTTGATGGGGGCATTATTTGCAGCAGGCTTAGTTGAGTGTCTGGTAGACAGAAAAGGTTTACAGCCTTTATAGTATCGTTAGTTAAAGGGATGTGAGGCAGCCCAGATTGGAGAGTGCTAGCTGGCCTCATAGTTCAATCCCAAACACTCCACATAGCCAGGAGTGTGACCCGGGCCTTGCCATCCTCGGCTTGATGGCTAGTTGCAAGCCAGCCAGGAGGACTACATGGGCCTCTATCTCATAAAAACCAAACCAACGTAGGCGGAATGAATGTCTTAGCAGGTAAAGGCGTTTGCCAGCAAGCCTGACCATCGGCACCCACTTCAGAAGCAGGCACAGCCTGCAAGCACACAAAATAATAAGCAAACAGACAAACGGTTTCCTTAACAAGGAGGTCAGAGGCAGCCTCCACTTCTTGGGCCGCTTGGGGGAGGCGATCCAGGTATGTTGCAGGCTGGAGAAGGGGCCCTGTTCCAGCCCAGGTTTCCCTCGGGTAGGAGCTGGATGTCAGGAAACCCCCGCAGCAGCTGAATCCCTTTCCTTTGCCTCCTGTACTCCTTCCTCACCCGGCCACAGGGACTTCACCAGCTCCCCTTAGCGGCTCTGGGAAAGTGAAGAGGCAGGTGGGTGGGGGGAGGGAGGACCGGAGCGTCCAGGAAGAGATAAAGGGGCCAAGTCAAAACCAGCCACTTAGAGGAGGCCGATGAGATAGAAAAAGTGGGACAAGGACATCGGGAGGGACTCATGGGGCCAGAGACCTGAATGACTGGTCCAGCCCCACCCAGCGGGGCTCGGCCTGTCGGGCTGGTCTGCGCTGCCCCCTGGCGGGAAGCTGCGATATAAAAAGGGATACTGGGTGGGAGGGATGCACGGACAGAATCGTTAAGAGTGACGCTTCGCTTCTATACAGAGAAAGCCACGAGGCAGAAAACAGAAAATGACTGGCGCCAAGAGAGATGCAGACAGACATTCAGACGCGCACAGTCAAAGGAACGCAACGAGACATAGGGACCAAGCGACACAGGCGCACGGACAAAGAAATACCCGAAGCAGAGCAACAGAGAAACACGGGGACTCAGAGATGATGGAGAGGGAGGTCAGAGGAGAAGGGCGGAAAGGAATGATGCGGAGGCACAAGAACCCAGCCGGGGCAGAGACCAGAAAGTGACCAAGTCCACTGAGAAGCGACCTCGACCGGCGACAGCAGCAAGGCTGGGGAAAGGCTGGGGGAAGTGGGTGTGGCCGCGCCGAGGGGCGGTGCCTCAGGAAGGGAAGCCCTATGAGAGCCCACATGCTCAGGCTAACCAGAGGGCAGGGGGGCGTGGTCTGGACGCGGAGGCGTGGCTTCTGCAGGTCGGAGCCGACCGGAAGTTTAGGAGGGGAGGGATGTGACCGCATCTCAGAAGAATGACCAGTAGGGGGCGCAGTGGGACTTTCCCGTGGCCTATGGGGGCGTGGTTCATTGACAGTGGGCGTGGCCGATTGCCGAAGGGGCGGTGCTTAATCCCAGGAGAGGGCGGAGATAGAATCGTGGGGACGGACAGGTGTGGGACTCGAGAGGGGTGGGGTCACAGCTCCGGGAGAGGGCGGGGCCTGAAGGCCAGGGTTGGCTTGGAGAAGAGGGGCGGGGCCGGTGACGTCACGAGTCCGGCCCGCTGGAGCTAAGCGAGGGGCCGGGGGGCGCGGATCCTGAGAGCCAGGCGGGGAAAGCTGGGCCAAAAGAGCTGATCCGGGGAGCCGTGATCGGCGGGAACCGGCCTGGAGCCGGGCACTTCAGGCCCCTGACCGCCCTCGCAGCCGATCGGTGAACGCGGAGTGGCCCCTAGGCACCCCCTGCCCGGGCCCAGTCCCTCCCCGGGCCCCCCATGGCCCGGGCCGCAGTCCTCCCGCCGTCCAGATTGTCACCGTCGCTGCCGTTGTTGTCGCTGCTTCTGCTCCTGCTCCAGGAAACAGGTGAAAACGCGCGGATGCCGTCCTCCGCCCTCAGAGTGGAGGGAGCCGGGGCATCGTCCCCCATCTCACTGCCATCTCCCCGAGGCCCCTTCCCTCGTGTCCCTTTCCAGGCTGGCCGTACTGACCCAGAGAGCCCCCCTTAACACACCCTGCTCCGACTCTGACTCTCCTAACCTCCCTCTCTGCACCCCCCTCGTAATCACAAGTGCCCATCCTAACCCGCGTTTCTCTGTCCCCCTCCACCTCCCTCGGGGTGGAAGGGGTTAAATCCTCACCACCCAGCGCCGATCACTTATCCGGAATCTGGATTTCCGTCTCTGCCCCCCCTCAGGAATGTGAAGAATGTTCCCCCCACTCACACTAGCTGGAGGGTCGTGACGGTGAGGAGGGGCGACACCCTCCCCTCTTTCTTTTCCTCTGGGTAGGCTGGGCGGCTGAGGCCCGGGGAGAATTGGGCGCGAGGGGGCCCACAGTCGAGGTCCCTTAGACCAAGGGTGGGGGTCTCGGGTCTTTGGGGGCCCTGGCAAGCCATTGGTGAGAGTTGGGGACACTGGGGGGGGTACTGAGTGCCAGCCTCAGGCCTCGGGGAGTTTACAGGCACTGACCACCCGTTTCTGGAAAAATTGAGAGCTGAGAGGTTCTGCCTCCAGAATCTCAGAAGACGATCCTAACCCGGATCGAGGTAGAACAGGGGGGAAAGGGGTTCAAACTTGTGGGTCTTGGGTTTAACTGTGCCCAAAGAGCTCTGTTCGCTGGGGGTCCAGGGACAGTTAGGGGCTGAGGCACTATCTTGGCAGCTTCAGATTTAACTGTAGGTAATGGAATTTAATCATCTTTGGCCTTCAAATAGAATCACAGGCTAAAAGGCTCTGCCTAGAACTGGGGACTTCGTCGGCTGTGTCCCAGGTAGAGTCGGAGTCTGGGAGGTTTGGGTTCTCCCCTTCCCCCTTCCCCCGTGAGCGCCTAGTGGCGACGTCCCTGGGGAAGTTTTCCGGGATCGCTTTCACCTAGTTTGGGAGGGGCGGGGCGGGGCTGGAGCGCTCCGAAGGTCCTACTCCCGGTTTCGGGACCTTATCTTTCCTCTGGTGACGCCTTTGTCCTCGAAGCACTTGGAGAGGTAAATGGGAGGAGTCTCCTCTCAGGCCCGCGCCCCTTCCCACCCCCAACTCCTGGAGGGGAAAGGCCCCCGGAGGAGGCTGGGGGTGGGGTGGCAGAACAGGTGTGCTAACCCCGCCCCGCCCCGCCCCTAGCAGGTGACCCAGCTGTTCCTTCCTCACTGCAAACTATGGTACTGGGTGATGGGAAGTTTCCCCGAGGGTTTCCTCAGGAAGTGGGGTCAGGGGGATCTTGGGAAGAATCGCTTCTTTGGCCTAGTTTTCCTTCCCTGATACCTTCGAGGTCATCAAACCTTGACCGCCATGCTCCCTGCCTGTCTCAGCGATAGATGGGATCAGAATCTGCCATTCTGGGTGAATTTTTCAAACCCGCCGTACCCTCCAGGCCAGGCTTTGATTTGAGTGAGCGTCTACAGAAGGTCCCACAGAACCCCAAAGCAAACTGTGCTCCTCTTCCTAGCCTGCAAAGTGGGGAACAGGAAACAAATAGTCTTTCCAAAGGTCCACTCTGTCCCTTGGAGGCCTTTGGAAGCCAGCAATGCAGTGGGCTTGCTAGGCAAGTTCCCTAAAGTACTTCCTGTTTCCTAGACCTAAGGCGATTGGATGGATTGAGCCCTGTCTGCAGGACCTCCAGGGGTTCCCATGCGCTGGGCAAACCCAGAGCAAGCTGTGAAGGGGACCTGGCTCTTCAGCGTCCCAACCTGCTCCAACCTCCTCTTCCTCATTCTCTCTCTCCCTCTTCCATTCACAACTCCTCTTCATCCCTTCCCATCTTAATCTCTCCTCTCCTTATCTCCCTCACCTTTCCCTCCATCTCTGGCCCCTGGCCGGAGCTCCTCAGCCTCCCCCTCCCTCCCCTCCCCTCCTGGCCTCCTCAGGGAATGGGGCTTTTCACCACCTGGACCTCTTGCCTGAGCGCCTCCCTCCCACCCCTCCCCATCTCTCCGCTCATCCACGGCTGCCCAGGCAGCCCCACACAGCGGCGGGGGAGGGGAGGCAAAGGGACTGCAGGCCTGGCTGTCTCTTCTTGTTAGGGAAGGGGGACTGAGCAGAAGAGAAATGGGGGGACAGGGACAGGATAGAGAGCAGGAGATAGGGACAGAAGCCAAGAGAGGGAGGGAGGGGACCGAGAGCCAGATCTGAGGACGGAGTCATGCACAAAGAATGAAGGAAGATCTGTGAGGGGGAGGGCAGAGGTGTAGGCAGGGGCACTGGTAGGGCCAAGAGGTTTGCTGACAGGAACGAAGGCCAAAAGACCCCCAGCCAAGGGACCGGAGATCCTGTGACCTGGAGAGGTCAGAGCACTGGCCAGTCTCAAGGCCAGCCTGTGTGGAGGGGCCACCGGGAGTTAAAGATGGGGAGCGACAGGGAGTCTGGCACAAGGGCCAGCTCCCCTGCCCCCGCCTGGGATGCTGTTACATTTTTAATGTCCCAGCAACGCTGAGACACGGAGCAGGAGGGGGAGGAGGAGAGGGACCCAGAGTGATGGCCCAGGCAGTGAGAAAGTGTGTCGGGAGATGTGGAGAGGTGTGGGTGCAGGACACGCGGGGACACGGAGATCCCAGGGTCACAGAAACAGAGACCTTAAGGTAGGAGTGCTGTCCGTTCACCTGTGACGCCAGCACGCGAAGAAGGCCGAGGCAGGGTTACAGCCCGTTCCAGGCCGGGCTGAGCCGCATCGAAAGACCCTGTCTCCAGAAATAGTGGTGGAGGCAGACCCGTAATCTTAGCGCCAGCACGGGGGAGGCTGAGGCTGCAGAATCTTGAGCCCCAGGGCCAGCCGTGGCCACAGAGCTGAGGAAGGAAGAGAAAGAAGAGAAGGAGGTGGGCTGGGTCGTGGTTCAGTTGTAGCCTGATCACCTAGCCCTGGGTTCCATCACCACTTCCTAAAGCAGGCCCGGTGGCCAAGACTGCAATCCAAACATGAGTTCAAGACTACATGGCTACATAGTGAGACTGAGGCCAGCCACAGCTACCTGAGACGTTCTCTCAGAAAAGCGGAGGGGGCGGAGGGGGCAGCGCTCGCCTAGCATGCCTGAAGCCTGGGGTTAGATCCCTAGCACCAAGTGAAACACCCTGTGGTGGTGTGCACCTGTAATCCCGGAAATGGAAGGTAGAGACCAGAACGTCAGAAGTTCAAGGTCATCTTTGGCTGCATTTGGCTACATTATTAAATTCAGGCCAACCTGTACGACAAGTGACCCTCTGTCAAAAAAGAAAAAAAGAGTCGTTATTTCGTGTTCTAGTGGCCTTTAATCCCAGTACTCGGGAGGCAGAGGCAGGCTGATCTCTCTGAGTTCAAAAGCAGTCTGGTCTAATCAGAGAATTCCAGGGCAGCTAGGCTCCCTGTGTGTGTGTGTGTGTGTGTGTGTGTGTGTGTGTGTGTTGTGCGTGCCCGCGCGTTCGCAGGAGTCTGGTACTATGGAGAATGAGAAGCCAAGAGAAAGGGACAGAATGCACAGATTCTGGAAGTAGGACCTGGACACAGGCGGAGACCGGAGTCCCCTGGGACTGATGGACGCTAAGGTGTCCACTCTCTTGGCAGGGTGTGGGAGTGCTCTGTCCCGAGGCCCATCCAGGAAGAGCCTTGGAGAGCTTCACCATGATGACTTTCCCCTTCACGAAGCGGTCCTCTGGAAGCTGAGCCCCTGTAGCCAAGGAAGGCTGTGCATCCAAGGGGCCAGAGGGACCCCGAGTAACCCCCAAGTGTTAAAAACCGAGGCCGCATGGAAATCCAGACACAGCCCAGGCCTTGTACATTCTCATGAGTGCTCCTATTCTCACCCCTCAGATAGGCTCCGGATGTCCGCCGTGGGGGTGGGAACCATGATTAATGTAATTAATTAATTAACCAGGTGGCTGAGGCAGCAGCTGATGCCAGTCTCAAATCACTCCGGCCTTGAAGGGCTTGTTCCAGGCCTGCCCCGCCCTGCCGCGGTTGGGGGTAGGACACACCAGGTTTTATAGGTGTGCAGGGACCAGCCGAGACTTGAGGAGCCAGCCAGGCGGGACTCAAAGAAGCCAGGGTCCAGACTCTTCACCTTACCCCTTCTGACCGGGCATATAGGACCCAGTCCTCCTCCCCCTAGGCTTTCCTTACGCTCTGACCTGCTGGAAGCCTGCTCTTCTAGTCCTTAGGGAGAGGAAGTGTGTTTGAGGACCCAGCTGACATCTCTGGAGCTGGGAGCTGTCACCAGTCAGCCCTGGAGGAAAGCAGAGAACCAAGTGTTCCCACGGGCCATTTTCTGGCCACTGTCTCTGGGGTGTGGTGTTGGCTGTGTCCCTACAAGGTCACGCCGCAGCCACCTGCCATGATGCCCTGTACGAGATGTTTCTCTTTGGTTTTTTGGAGACAGGATTTCTGTGTATTCTGCCAGGCTGTCATGGGACTCACTCTGTAGCCCAGGCTGGCCTTGAACTCGCAGAGATCTGTCTGCCTCCCCGTGCTGGGGTTAAAGGCGTGTGTCACCAACGCCCGGTCAGGAGATGCCTTTTTTTTTAGCCCCAGCCCTGGAATCTTCCTGCCTTCATAACTTCATCTCCCCTGCCTCCCCAGCGGACACAGAATCCCCACATGCCCCCACCCCACAGTCTTCAGACTCCCAGGCTCCACGAGTCTCTCTTCCTTCCCAAACCCAGTCTCACGCTCTCATTCCTGCTTGGGAAGAAATTTCCCGCCTAGATCCTTCCCCATCAACACAGCCCCTACACTGACCCAGGAACCTTTTCTTAAATGTCACTGATCTTTCTCAACTTTGGCCTGCCCCTTCCTCCCCCGTGTTTACGCTCCCGAGGCTCCCCACTAAAAGCCCATTCACTTCAATTCAGTCGAGGCCTGTGAGACCCAGCACAGTCTGCTGTTTGTAAGACGGATGTTCACTACGTAGCTCTTCCTGTATCAGTTACAGGTGTGTGTACCTCCATACCTGGTGGTCTAACACCGTTTTGACTGCCCATTCACATTTGCGCGTTTACAGAACACCTTCGGAGTACCAGGCACTGTTCCGGGCTCTGGGATGTAGGGATGATTGAAACAAAGACCTCTTGCCCTCGAGGCTCTGCTGGAGATAGGTGGTCGATGCTGTGTTGGGGTGAGGGAGCAAGTTAAGAATCCTTGTTATTACCGGGCAGTGGCGGTACACGTCTTTATCCCAGCCTGATCTACAGAGCTAGTTCCAGGACAGCCACAGTTGTTACACCTGTCTTGACCCCCGCCCCCATAAAGAATCCTTGTTATCAGTTATGGTGATCAGAGCTGACCTCGCTAACCAAGATAAGGAGGGAGTCTTGCTGAACTTCTGGGAAAGGGAAACAGTGCAGGGGCTAAGGTAGGACTTGTCCTCTGGGCCAGAGGACCAGAGAGGAGCCCCGATGGGAGGGGAGGGGCTACCGGCTACCGGAGTTCCTCTCTGGCTGTGTGTGGGGACACACCCAGGAGGTGACCCACGCAGGAAATGCTGGTCCAGCTGAAGATAAATTGTAAAGATGGATCCTACAGAGATGGGCTTCCTGGTGACTTTTACTCGGGAGATAGGAAACAATGAATCAAGCTTTCATCCTGTGCCTTCTACTGAGGTTTCAGATGGGCTACTCCTGGTGGTGGGAGTGTGGGTGAAACCACGTGACCCCAGGATCTCGAGTTCCTGGCCAACAGGGCCCCACCCATCTCCAAAAACAAAACTCTGGGCAGTGTCACCACGCGGCTCCAAGCCCCTCACTCAGGAGGCAGACGCTGTTCATCCCACAGACCCCATTCTTCCTTTTGTTTTGTTTTGTTTGTTTGTTACTGTTTTTTTCTGGGCAGGGTGTCTGTGTGGCCCTGGCTGCCCTGGAACTTGCTCTGTAGACCAGGCTAACCTCGATCTCAGAGATGCGCCTGCCTCTGCCTCCTCGTGAGTGCTGAGACTAAAGGCGTGTGCCACCACCGCCCTGCAGCCTGCCTGGTCTTTTACTTAGAATTAGAAACTTAGTCTGGAGGTCTCGAGGCAGGAAGATCTTTGTTATTTGTATTTTTTCCATTTATTACTGATTTGAGGAGACCTCCCTGTGTAATGCAGGCTAACTTGGAACTCTCTGGCCTTAAATTCAAATTCACCTTCCCCGTGTTTCTGCCTCCTTAGTGCTGGGATCGCAACTGAAGGCCTCGGACTAACTTTTAGCATTTATTTGGTGTGTGTGTGTGTGAGAGAGAGAGAGGTGTTTGCGAGAGAGCGCAACATGTGCAGTGGACAGAAGCCAACTTTCAGGAGTATGTTCTCTTCATCCGCTATGATGGTCTCGGGGTTCGTACTCAGGTTAGCAGTCTTGGCAGCAGTCACCTTTACCCACTGAGCCATCTCACCAGCCCCTCACTGACGCCGTTTCAAGGCCATTTTCTTGTCTTTAGTGTGCTTGCTGTCTAGCTCCCTGTTCCGCTATAATTCACGGTTGCAAGGATGTGTGATCCCGGTGCCTGGGAGGGTGAGGCAGGAGGATTGATGTGAATGCAAGGCCAACTGGACCTACACAGCGAGGCCCTGACTAAGTAAGCAAAGTAAAACCTCCGCCCTGGCTGAAACAAATGCAAACCCTGCCAGATGTGGCCGGTGGGGACAGGCACTGACCCCGTGACCTGGCCTGCAGAGTGTGTCAGGTCTTTTACTGGAATTGTCCCAGGGGACCCTGCAGGGTGGCTTAAATGTCTCCATTTTACACATGGAAGAACTTGGGCTTGAAAAGGTCATCCGGCCCAGAAGCAGCAAACAGCAGGAAGCTAGCCTCTATCTATGTTGGATTTCTGCTAAAAAGTACTTCTGCTCCAGCAGCCTGTCTGTGTTAGTGCTGAAACCCAGGGTTTCCTATATGTTATGCAGGGGCTCTACCCCTGACTCACACCCCCACCCCTAATGGGGGGATTCTAGGCAGGGGCTCTACCACTGAGCCACACCCCAGCCCCTCACTGGGGGATTCTAGGCAGGGGCTCTACCACTGAGCCACACCCCAGCCTCTCACTGGGGGATTCTAGGCAGGGGCTCTACCACTGAGCTACACCCTAGCCCCTCACTGGGGGATTCTAGGCAGGGGCTCTACCACTGAGCCATGCCCCCAGCCCCTCACTGGGGGATTCTAGGCAGGGGCTCTACCACTGAGCCACACCCCAGCCCCTCACTGGGAGATTCCAGCCAGGGGCTCTATTAACTAAGCTGTCCTCTCCTCAGCCTACATAGATCTGCTCTGCTGGAGAACATGGAGCCCTTTTGGTCGAGGTGGTCTGGGTTTGAGGGCATATTTGGAGATGGTGTGAGTCTTTTAAGCCTTCACTAGCTGCCACTTGTCCATCCTCCCTGGCACTGTGTATACACAGTATTGTGTTCTGCCAGATTCCCTCATCAGGCGTTCTTCATTAAAGGTTATTTTTTGAAGTGTTTTGGTGTCGTGCCTACACAGTGTCTGTACACCGGGTGCACCTAGCGTCTGAGGAAGAACCAGAGCGGTAGATGGTTGTGAGCCACCCTGCGGGCACTGGGAACCCAGCTCAGGTCCTCTGCAAGAGCAAGAGGTGCTCTTAACAGCTCTGAGCCATCTCTCTCCAGCCCCTGACACAGTCTCTCTCTCTCTCTCTCTCTCTCTCTCTCTCTCTCTCTCTCTCTCAAGCATTGGCTACCACACCTCGGTTCCCCTGGGCTCTTGTGTGTGAGGAGGGCCGGGACTGCACACACCCCTGCGTGAGGGCAGCTCTGCCCGGCTCTCTCCAGGTGGTTGTGAGCTGTTGCTCATGGAGACAAGTCATGAGCTGTGTCACTGAGTCCCCTACCCCCTGGCTCATTGTCAATGGCCGCTTGTAATTATCAGGCCTCTTTGTTTGTTTATCAAGGTCAAGTTTCCTGTGGACTTAGGCTAAAGTGCTCTTCGAGCATTCCTTGGTCCTCATAACACCCCTGGGGGTGCGGCACTGTCATTATGTCCTCGTTACACAGCTGGGAAACTGAGGCACAGGGATGTAAAGAGCCTGGATTTTAAGCCCACGTATTATTGTGCCCTGGGTCATCATGGAGTACTTCCTCCCAAAGCCAAGACACAGGCTTCCTTGTTTCTGTGTTTGTTCAAATTGGGGAGTAGGTACTGGCGAGATGGCTGGACAGTCAGAGAGGACTTGTTCCCTCTCCAGGACAACTGCCTGTAACTCGGGTTCCATAGGACTACTGCCCTCTTCAGGCCTCACTAGGTACCTGCACACACGCCACAGACACACACACACACACATAACGTGAGCATTTGGGGCTGGAGAGTTGGCTTGGTAGTTAAGAGCACTGGCTGCTCTTCCAGAGGACCTGAGTTCGAGTCTAAACACTCACATGGCAGCTCCGTTGTCTGTAACTCTAGTTCCAGGGGATCCAATGCCCTTCTCCGGACTCCACAGGAACCAGGCACACATGTAGTGTACAAACATACATGTAGGCAAAACACCCCGTACATGTCAAATGAATTTTTTGTTTGGCTTGGTTTTTTGAGACAGGGTTGCTCTGTGTAGCCTTGGCTGTCCTGGAACTTACTTTGTAGACCAGGCTGGCCTTGAACTCACAGAGATCCACCTGCCTCTGCCTCCCAAGTGCTGGGATTAAAGATGTGCACCACACAACATCAAATAATTAAAAAAATAAAATAAAAATAAAGTCAGGCACAGTGGCACACACCTTTAATCTCAGCATTTGCAGAGGCAGGTGGATCTCTGTGAGTTCAAGGCCAGCCTGGTCTACAAAGAGAGTTCTAGGACAGCCAAATCTATGTAGAGAGAGCCTGTCTCAAAAAGAACAAAAATGAATAAGTGGGAAAATAGGAGAAGGGTCTAGCAAGACCCCATTCTCAAGTTGATATTGGCAGTTAATGGTTGCTAAGGGAAGGGGAATCATTTTCTTGAGTGGTCTAACCTCAGACTTGTTACCTGTATCCGGGTAGATAACCCACTGCCCTGCTCATGCATGGAAATTAGACTTGATGGATCACAAAACAAAACACATCAATGTCATAGGAAGAGCCACAGGGGATGGGAATAGTTGCAGTAACCAAACTGCATTGTATACTCATGTGAAACCATCAGGGAGAAGGGACTGTAGCTCCAGGGATAAAACACTCACCTAGCATGTGAAGCCCTGCGTCAACTCTCCAGCAAAGCAAAAGTAGGCAGAGGGCAGCGCCGGGGAGACAAATCGATGGACATTTATGAAGAGTTTAATCTTCATAACCCGTGTCAAAAGCTAGGTACAGTGTTGGACATTGGGAATCCCAGCACTGGAGAGGCTGAGACTGGGGGATCGCTGGGATTTGTTGGCCAGTCTAGCTGAACCAGTGAGCTCAATTGTTAAGAGCACTGCCTGCTCTTCCAGAGGACACCTGTTGAATTCCCAGCAACCACGTAGAGGCTCAAAGCACCTGTAACCCCAGCTCCGTGAACTCTGTCGCCCCCTTCTGACCTCCACTGGCGCTGCATGCACATGGTGCACAGACAACACAGTGGCAAAACACCCATCAGATTAACTGGGAAAAAAATGTAAAATTTAAAAGACAAGGAGGGGGAGTCAGGTCTGGCGGCGTACAATTTTAATCTTAGTGCTAGGAGGCAGAGGCAGGCAGGTCTCTGAGTTTCAAGCAGTGTTGGGCTATAACATAATGAGACCCTGTCCTGGATGGATGGATGGATGGATGGATGGATGGATGGATGGATGGATGGAATCTCATCTCTGCTGCGGCACTTCGAGTCCAGGAGACTGCTGGCTCGTCCCCTCCCTCGGTAACTGACCTCTTTATTCTCTTCCCTAGGAGCCCAAGATGTGCGCGTTCGAGTGCTCCCAGAGGTTCGCGGCCGCCTGGGAGGCACCGTGGAGCTGCCGTGTCACCTGCTCCCACCCACGTCGGAACGCGTCTCTCAGGTGACCTGGCAGCGCCTGGATGCCACGGTCGTGGCCGCCTTCCACCCATCCTTCGGCGTGGACTTCCCCAATACTCAGTTCAACAAGGAGCGTCTGTCCTTCGTCAGAGCGAACCAGGAGACAAATGCAGACCTCCGGGATGCCACGCTGGCCTTCCGGGGACTGAGGGTGGAGGACGAGGGGAATTACACCTGCGAGTTTGCCACCTTTCCCAACGGTACCCGCAGGGGGGTGACGTGGCTCAGAGTCATAGGTGAGTGGGGGTCAGCATGAGAGCCCCTCCCCTGGCCCTTCCTCCTTGTCTCAGCTTCCATGTTGGCCGCCCCTGATGTGCAGTCAAATGGCTCTTGTTTCTGCTGATTGAGGTCTGTGTGTTTGTTTTATTGAGAATGGAAACTCTAATTAAGGCTGGCCTCAGACTTTCTGGTTTTTTCGAGACGGGGTCGGTTTCTCTGTGTAGCTTTGGAGGCTGTCCTGGAACTCCCTCTGTAGACCGGGCTGGCCTGGAACTCACAGAGATCCGCCTGCCTCTGCCTCCCGAGTGCTGGGATTAAAGGCGTGTGCCTGCCTGTGTGTGTCTGTCCTGCAGGGTGTGGCGGTCAGAAGACAACCTTTGGGAGTGTGTTCTCTCCTTATATCTTGGGGATCCTGGGGATCAGACTTGGGTTGTCCAGTGTCAGGTTCAGCAGCAATTTATGCTGAGGTGCTTGCTTTTGCCAGCCCCGGCCTCAAACGTCTATGTGATCGGGATGAGCTGGGGCTTTTGATTCTCTTGCCTCCATCTCTACCTCAGAGCCATGCAGGTAAGGACTTGAGCAAGCCAGATCAGTTCATTTGGTGCTGAGAACACAACCAGCACTTTGAGTGTGCTAGGCGAGTCCTCCATCAACTGACCTTAGCCCCAGTTGTCAACTGACCTTAGCCCCAATTTTATTATCCTTTGTTTTGTTTTGTTCTTTGTTTTGAGATAGGGTTTCTCTGTGTACCGCTGACTGCCCTGGAACTCGCTCTGAGGACCAGGCTAGCCTCTGCACCACCCCTGCCCGTCCCGTCTCCTCCCTTCCTTCCTTTTACGAAATGTAGCCCAGGTTGGCTTGAACTCTAGCCTGCATCTCCGAAGTGCTAGGATTACGGGAGCATGCCAAGGCTTTGATCAATGCTTATTTGTCACCTACTGCGCGGGACGTGCTTATTCTGTTTACCAAGGACAAGGCAGACAATAGCTTTTCTTTTTCTGCTTGAGTCAGGACTCAATGTATAGCTCAGGCTGAGACTGTGGGTCATTCCATTCTGCTCTGCCTTTGCCCTGAGAATGAGAGCTGTGGAGGTTCTTCTGAGCAAGCAGGGAGCTGTGATTTGGTGAGGTGTCGTCCTGAGCGTTGTAGACAGCTTTGGCTGCTGGGTGCAAGAAGTGGAGAGGTAAAATAGAGGAAGTTTTGTTTGTCCCCGGGATGGGGGACACCCATGGCGCTGAAAAGATGGCCTGGTGGAACAGAGCACTGGCTCCTATCTCATGGGACCTGGGTTTGATTCCCAGCACCCACATGGCAGATCAGTCATCAATAACTCCACCCCAGGGGACCCGTCACCCTCTCTTCTCCTCTGTGGAAACTGCAGACATGTAACACGCAGACACCACACCCATACGCACAAAGTAAAAGAGAGGGCTCCTCGCCTGCTGGCCTCGACAGCAGGCGACTGACACAGCCAGTTGGCACAATGGCAGAGATTTCTCACTAAAACTGGAAAATCCCCTGCACAGCACCATCCAACCCTCCAGACACCACGTAACCCCAGGTTACTTCCCCCTTTCTGGCTCCAGAGAGTTGGAAACCTCCCTGTACATTCTGGAACAGAAGGTTCCCTTTCCAAGGGAACACCAAAAGAGCTGCTTCCATAGTTCAAAACACAGCTCTTGCCAGTTCTCGGGAAGTAGGTCTGTCATCCCGTCACTCAGGGAGCTGAGGAAAGCCACAGACTGAGTGGAAGGCCAGCCTGGACAACTTGAGACCCATTCTCAAAATCACAGGATTTCACTGTGAGTTCCAAGATAGCCAGGGCTACACAAAAAAGGAAAATAAGTTCTTGCTAAGAATGAAGCTCTATCATCTGCCTAGAATCCCCCAGTGAGGGGCTGGGGTGTGGCTCAGTGGTGGAGCCCCTGCCTAGAATCCCCCAGTGAGGGGCTGGGGTGTGGCTCAGTGGTGGAGTCCCTGCCTATGATCCCCCAGTGAGGGGCTGGGGCGTGGCTCAGTGGTGGAGCCCCTGCCTAGAATCCCCCAGTGAGGGGCTGGGTGTGGCTCAGTGGTGGAGCCCCTGCCTAGAATCCCCCAGTGAGGGGCTGGGGTGTGGCTCAGTGGTGGAGTCCCTGCCTATGATCCCCCAGTGAGGGGCTGGGGCGTGGCTTTGTTAACAAAGTACCTGTCTGGCATGCAAAAGCAAGAAGAAGCAGGGCTGGAAACAGGCTTAGCTGATAGAGTGCTTTGTTTGATGTGATGTACAAAGCCCCGGGTTGGATCCCCAGCACCACACGAAACTAGGAATAAAGGCTCATGTCTGCACTCCTAACACTTGGAAGGTAGAATTAGGATAAAGAGAAATTGAAAGGCATCTTCAGGTGTATAAAGTGAGTTGAGGCCAGTGGGTCTACATGAGATCCTATCTCCCCCACCCACCCCTTCAAATAAAAAGGCACACACACTGCAAAGTCCTTCTCCCACAACTTATGAAGCTCTCTGTTCTTGTGCAGTAGGTTGAAGCTGGATCATGAGGCCGAGGCTAGCCTGGGCTACACAGCCAGACCCTGCTTCAATGCAGAAAATAAAATAAAAGGAAAGGAAAACTGGAGTTCTAGCTCTGGAGTTCTTGCTCAGCAGCTAGTACTTGCCTGGCATGCACAGGGTCCTCGGCTGTGTGTCCCAAGGCTGTGGAACTGAAATGACGGGCGAGGAGGGAGAGGAGTTTGGCTGTCATTAACAAGGTCCCAGGTTCCCTCGATAGTACTGAAAGATGGAGGAGGGGTCAGGCAAACTTTAGAATCAGTCAGAGCACAGGCGTCGTGGGAAGAGTAGCCTCTGTCTCTGTGGAAAGGCTGGGCCACAGAGCCCAGAAAAGCTCTATTGAGGAAGTTAGCCTCCATCTGCAGAAGAGATCTGGAGGGTATAGAACCCCCAACCTGGGGCCGTGCACCATAGTCAGGAGGATCTGGAACGGCCCTATGGCCACTGATGGACAGGTGCTCTCTGGTGGTCAGGGGAGGGGACTGATAGCTCAGGCAATACCTGTTCAGGTGGGTGGGTCCACTCGGATGCAGAAGACCCATGAGTCCCGGCTCCAGGGACAAAACTGGTTAAGAGACACGCAGGGAGTGTCCTTGCTGTCTCCTTGAGAGGTTTTCCCATGTTTTCTGGGCGGATAAGGTGAAAGGGAAAAAGTAATGAGCAACTGGGGAATCCCTGTTGTTGATGTGTCTTCATCCCGTTTAGGAAGCACAGTACAGTGGTGACCGCAGGGAACGAAATAGGACCCTTTGTCTTTTCCCTTCTAACCGAGCCCGCTCAGACCCTTACTGGGGGATTCTAGGCAGGAACTTTGCAACAGAGCCCAGCCTCTGTCTTTAGACTTTCCTCTCTCTCCCTCTCTCTCTGTGTTCTTTTGTTGTTGTTCTTTTTGAGACAGGTTTAACTGTGCTGGATCCTGATACTCACTCTTTAGACCAGGCTGGCCTCAAACTGAGAGACCCACCTGTCTCTGCCTCCCGAGTGCTGGGATTAAAATTGTGTGCCTGGCTCAAACTAGACTTTCTTATTTTTATTGTTCACATGAACCACCCACTACACTCCTCTCACTTCTTTTATTGATTCAAAGTCTGACTATGATGTAGCTTAAGCCAGCCCCAAACTCACCATCCTCCTGCCTCAGCCTTTCCGGTGGTGGGATCACAAGTATGGGCTACCACCCCTGGCCTGTGTCTCTTTCTGATGGGGCATTGTGGATACTGTAAAATGTCCTACACAGGGTTGGTGGTGCACACCTTTAATCTCAGCACTCGGGCAGAGGCAGGTGGATCTCTGGGAGTTCTAGGTCAGCCAAGCACACACGGTGAGACCCAGTCTCATCACAGGCTAGGATAATGTGTGCCAGCAGACAGGTCCTAACTAAGCACTGGGTATGTTCTTTGATCCATAATCAGTCCCGTGAGTGGGAACTTGGGCTACTCTGACACTAAAGAAAATGACTAAAATGGCCTGCCCAAAGTTGTGCACCTGCTAGACGTGGGAGCTGGGACCCCTACTGGGGCAGCAGAGCCTGACCGTGTCTCCATGCTCCATGGCCACTGCTCGGATCTTTGTTGAGTGACTGCAAGTCGTGAGTCACACGCTTCTTTGTTCCTCTCTGTAGCCCAACCTGAGAATCATGCTGAGGCTCAGGAGGTCACCATTAGCCCTGAGTCCGTGCCTGTCGCCCGCTGCGTCTCCACGGGAGGCCGCCCACCTGCCCGGATCACCTGGATCTCGTCTCTCGGTGGAGAGGCCCGAGATATTCAGGAGCCGGGGCCACAGACTGGCACGGTCAACGTCATCAGCCGATACTCCTTGGTGCCGGTGGGCCGAGCGGATGGCGTCAAGGTCACGTGCAGAGTGGAACACGAGAGCTTCGAGGAGCCGCTCCTGCTGCCGGTGACCCTCTCCGTGCTCTGTAAGTGTGCCAGGAGGTGGCTTTCCCTCGCCCGTGCTGGCCCAAGTACATCAGCTTGCACCAGCCAAATCTCTCCTGTTGCTTGTACTAGTTTCTGGGGGCCTCGTGTGTGTGCAGCCTCCATAGTCTACACTGGGATTCTTCTTTGTAAACCAGACTGGCTTGCAACACCACCTGCCTTCTGGCCTCCCAGGTATTGAGATTAAAGGTGTTCGCCATCACGCCAGGCCTACGCGGGCTTCTATGGGCTCCTGCCTTCCTGCCTGCCCGCCCCCGCGATCAAAGATAAGCTGAGAACCCTTAGGTTCACTTTGTTTCCAATCGCTGAGGTGTGAGGTCAAACGGGAAAACAGAAAAATGAGACGCATACGCTGTTCCACCTCCCAGACTGGGTTTGCCTGTAAACAGCCCCACCCCTCGCCCCATTGACTTCTGGTTACCAGGGACGCCAAGTGGCACACGGTCCCCTGATAGTCTTCATCAGCTATCCCGGGCCACGGGCCGCGTCCACGCTGACCACCGCAGCAATGTTGTCACACTGTTCGTCCATTGATTTACTTTTGGGGACAGAGTTTCACAGAACCGGGTTTATCCTCAAACCCCAGAGGGCTGAGGCTGACCTGCTCACCCGCAGCCTGCAGCCTGTGAGCTCCATCTCCGCCCCGCGGCTCGCCTGCCGAGTGCTGGGATCACAGGTGTGGAGCACAGGGCTTCCATAGGCGAGCATCATCCTCGTACCACCCCCACCTCCCCACCCCCGTTTAAACTGCCTCCCTGAAGCATTCCACTGACCCCTGCTCCGAAGTGTTATTTCCTTTGGGACCCTGGGGTTCCCCAGCCTTCCCAAAGTGTGCTGGGCTAGCTTCTTCAGAAACTGCCTACAATGACAACCCCAGGTTTATCTAGAGAGACACCCTAGCACTCTCCACACAATTCAAGTGGCTGGAAATCTACCTGCTTTGTTTTTGTTTTATTTCGAGTCAGGGTCTCGCTATGTAGCCCTGGCTGGTCCGGAACTTTCTGTGTAGACCAGGCTGGCCTCGAACTCACAGACAGATCCACCTGCCTCTGCCTGAGTGCTGGGATTAAAGGCATGCACCACTCAGCAAGGCTGTTTTGTTTCTTAAAGACTTATTTTACTACTTATAATTTTCTGTGTACCTGTCTGTGCATATGAGTGTAGGCCAGCGGTCTTAGATGCCCTGAGTTGGCAGTTGCCCGATGTGGGTGCTGGGAACAGAATTCTCAGTAAGAGCAGACCGTACAGTACCGAGTCACCTCTCCAGCCTTTGTTTTTTGAGAGGGGGTCACATACCTGAGGTTAACCTTGAGCTCCATGTAGCTCAGGATAGCTTTGCCCTCCCTCGACCCTCCTGCAGCCATCTCCTGGGTGCTAGGCTCTCCAGCACGAAGCGTCCCACAAAAACCTAGTATCTTCAGCTCTACTTTGTCTTCTCGGGGTGACAACTGACCCAGGGTTCCAGTGGAATAATTGTGCCCTCCACTATGAGGTAGAGTCCCCTGCCTCATCTGCAGTGACTCATTCCAGCCACATTTATAAGTGAGCCCCTGACTTCCCATCTGGATATACTGTCTCCGGTGCTGACCAATCTAGGCATGTTCAATCAGGAGCATGCGCATGCGCGCGCGCGATACCTGTAGTTGTTTTCTTGGCGACTTTCAAGTGGCTGCCTGGGTGGGGTCCACGCTGGTCAGAGCATACAGTGTGGCCTACTAACCTCAGTTCATTGTGACTGCTGGGTCTCCCGCCGCCTGTGCTGCTAACTTGTCCCCAGTTCCGGAGTCTATGTGTCTCTGAGTCAGCCGTCCCTTCCTCTCAGACCCTCCCGAAGTGTCCATCTCCGGCTATGATGACAACTGGTACCTCGGCCGCAGTGAAGCCATCCTGACCTGTGATGTGCGCAGCAACCCAGAGCCCACAGGCTACGATTGGAGCACGTGAGTGACGTGGGCCCAGGCTTGGGTGTGGGGAGAAAGCACTGGGGTCTGGACCCCTGGGTCTGAGGGGTGCAGTCTCCCGGGTGCCTGCAATGCTGCTGACCTCACCCCACACCCTCAGGACCTCGGGCGTCTTCCCAGCCTCTGCGGTCGTCCAGGGTTCTCAGCTACTTGTCCACTCTGTGGACCGGATGGTCAACACTACCTTCATCTGTACGGCTACCAACGCTGTGGGGACAGGCCGTGCTGAGCAGCTCATCCTGGTCCGAGGTAAGGAAGTCTTCGCATTTGAGTATCAAGCCCAGTGGTTTCTCCCTTTGGGGCTTGGGTCCACTTTGGGGTGTCGCTGATGCTGCCCTAGCATGGGAGGGAGTCAGACCGCCTCACTTGCGGCAGAGGAAGGTATACTGTAGCTTCTCCATTTTGGCCTGCAGGTGTAGGCTGTGAGCAGAGGCTGTAATGGGGGCAGAGGGGAGGGTTGGCAGAGGAGGCCTGCACTGGGGTATCTTAAAAGTCAAGGCCTAAGCTGGGTATGATGTGCGTCCATAGTCCCAGCATTTGTTCAAGAGACTGAGGCAGGAGGATTACAGTGAGTCTAGCCTGTGCTACACAGTGAGACCTTGTTTCAAAGCAAAAAAGCTCCTAAGTTCAGGGAGAGAAGGGAATCAGCCAGCAGGCTCGAGTCTGCGGTAGGATCAGGGTCTAATGATCTCTGTAGAACTTTGTCCCAGACTGCGTAGCATTAGTGTGCCTGGTTCTTGTGGCTGCTGATGTACAGACCCACACAGAGGGAAAAATAGCTTGCTCAGTCATGAGAACCACAGCCAAGACTCACAGGCTGGAGATGAACCCAAGGCTGGGAATTCTCTTGAAGTCACCCAGATGTAACCTTATATACTCACAACCATTGTCACCGAGACACACCCCAAGAAAGAATGGCACGGGCCAGGACCACAGGAACCAGGAAAGAGCTGTTCTTAGAAATACCCTTAGCCAGACCTGACGGAGGGTGAGGCAGGACAGTGACAAGTTCAGAGCCGAAATGGACTACAGAGTGAGTTCTGAGCTAGCCTGGGCTATAGAACAGAACCATAATCTCAAAAATAAGATAAACCAGAAAAGAAAAGAAAGCAAGAGGACTAAGGAAATGGCTCAATGGTAGAACACTTACTTAGAATCCCCCAGTGAGAGGCTGGGCGTGGCTCAGTGGTAGAACATCTGCCTAGAATCCCCCAGTGAGGGGCTGGGGCTTGGCTCAGTGGTAGAGCCCCTGATTAGCATGTTGGGAACCTTAAGTTCAATCTTTAATATCAAAACAGAAAAAGAAGCCTTAGAAGTAGGAGAGGAGACACCACATAGTTTGCCTATGCAAATACCCGAATCTGAAATAGTGACCCTACCAAGCAGAACTTGAGCCCCTCAGAAACACAACAAATGGCCTAGAGAGAAAATGAGCTAAGTAGCCCGATCCTGTGATGCAGTTGGACACACCCTTCTTGAGAACACACCCTTGCTGAGACACACACTTTTACCCCGACACCCAAAGGCAAACTGATTTGCCTGTAGGAAGAGAAGCTTGCCTTGCTCATCAGCTCTGAACCCTTGGGATATGTCCTTGGAGGAAAACACTTGTCAGACCACAGTTCACATACAGAAGCATACTTCCTTACACACCTAAAGAACATTCCAGAAGATGTCTCTGCATCTAGAAACTCCACTGCAGAGATTCTGAGTCACTGGGTCACCTGCTAAGCAATACATATTGAGGTTTCCTTAGTTCTTTAGTATCGGGGGTTTGATGGCCAACACAGAGGTGCAGTCTCCACTCTAAGTTTTACCCAGAGGACCCAGCTCTGCCCACTGGGAGACGTGCGTAGCTGGAAATACACCCTCAAGTCTCTACATAGACCCTCACACTCAGGAGGCTCAACCCAGGTTTGGGCCTGAGGAATACAGGGTACAGACGTTCTCTCTCTCTCTCTCTCTCTCTCTCTGTCTTACCCTTCAGATTTTTTTACATCAATTTTTCAGTTAGTTTTCATTGTTGTTATGAAGCAATGCTTGATGCAGTCTTCTTTACAAAAAGAGGTTTCTGTCAGCTCATGAAGCTCTTGCGGGTCTCACCTAGTCAGCCTTCTTGCTTAGACATTCAAAGACAGCTGGGCGTCACAAGGCAGAAATGAGGAACGAGGGTACATGTATGTTCCTTTCCCTCATGTTTTGCGACAGGGTCTGGGATGTAGCCCAGGCTATCTCTGAATCGCCCAGCCTCTGCCTCCAAAGTGCTGAGGTGAACTGCACCTGGCTTACTTAGGCCAGGCCTTGGTTAATAGATTGTCTGCTATATATATAGTGAGACACTCCTAAACCCCAAGCGCAGAGAGACGTACAGTTGGGTTCACGGCACCCATGTTGGGCGGCTAACCCCTGCTTCTGAACTGCAGCTACAGGGAGACCCTCCATTGGGTACTTGGCACACATGTGTTCATGCATCTGTATATACACGCACAGACACACACACAGTGTTAAAAATTAAAATCATTAGAAATCTCAAACAACCCAAGAAAAACTGCATTATAAATAAGTTACCCTTGTACAGGGAAACCCTGTCTCCAAAACAAAAACAAAAAAAAGTCACCCTTGACTCCCATAAAGGTAGCCATGGACCCACCTGTTGTGGGACACAAGAGCAAACATAGGGAATGGGCAGCACCACCACAGTCCAACCTGGTGAGCCCATGAGTGGTGCTGAGGTTACTTACAGGAGCAGCATTGACAGGGACAGACGCTGTGACATCCTACCTAGCCCACCGCAGCATGGGTGACAGCTCCCAAAGCTGGGGCCTGGAGCTCACTGCACAGCCCGAGGGCAGCTCAGCTCGCTCCGCGCAGCATGGGGAGCTCAGCAGGTCTGAGAGTCTCCCGGCCTTTCCTACCTCTTAAATATGCTTAGAGAGGGAGTGGGCGGCCTTTTCCCAACTTCCTGTAACCTTTGAGCAGTTTTTTTTACCGAGTCTAAGGCATTTCCCTGGGGATGGAATGCTCCGCCTCCTTTTTAACACTCAGCTGTGTGAGTCCAGAGCCTGTCTGTGCAGCCCGAGGCCCCTGTCTCAGAAAACCAAACAAGCTGGGTGTGGTGGGAAGGCCACCTGGGAGACACAGGCAGGAGGATTTCTTTGAGTTTGAGAACAGCCTAGTCAACATCGCAGGTTCCAAGCCAGCCATATCTTTTAAAAGGGGAAGAAAGGAAGGAAATAAAGCCATATGGCAGTCGTTGGAGGGGTCCACCGGCCGGGGGAAACCAGGCTTCTGGGCCCAGCTGCTCTCCAAGGTACTGACTTGTACAGCCTCAAAGCCCCGCCCCCCAGGCACGTACCCCATAGTTCCCACACACTCACGTTCTCACTATGGCATGGACTCTCTACAATGAAAACACAAATGGACCACGTGTGGCAGCAGCTCACATCTTTTGTTTTGCCTGGTTGGTTGGTTTTTGGAGACAGGGTGGATGCCCTGGAGCTCACTCTGTAGACCAGGCTGGCCTCAAACTCAGAGATCCGCCTGCCTCTGCCTCCCGAGGGCTGGGATCAAAGGTGTGCATTGCCACCGCCACCACCACTTTGCAGCTCTCAATCACTGAGTCACGTACAAGGGAGTAGATTCTGCCCGAGCTCCAAAGTTCCTCCCCACTTCATGGGTGCACCCACATTTCTGATGAAGACTGAGGGAGCGCACTGATCAGCACTCCGAGTTCTCTGTGCAGTGCTTAGAAACAGACATGGTGTCGGGGCCAGGGAGATCACTCAGCTGTTCTTCCAGAGGACCAAGGTTCAATCCCCAGCACCCACATGAGGGCTCACAACTTTCTAACTCCAGTACCAGGGCTTCTGACACCCTCATACAGATATACATTTAGGCAAAAGCACCAATACACATGAAATAAAAAGATTAAAAAAACAAAAAGAAGTCGTACTGTCAAAGTCTCCTTTCAAAGACCACCCCCACCCACTCACCCCTGCAGATGCCGGTCCTCATATAAAATAACATCCTGTTTGTGTAGAACTTCCACACAACCCCCCAAAACTGTTACTTTATTTGTATGTTTTTATTTTATTCAATATGGGGTTTTTTTTTTGTGCATGTGTGTTGTGTTGAGGCAGGGTTGTACTGTGTTGCCCTGGGTGGTGGGGAGCTCACTCTAGACCAGGCTGGCCTTGAACTAACAGCTCTGCCTGCCTCTGCCTATTGCATGCTGGAGTCAATAGCATGCAATAACTGCTTAGCATGACACCCTATTTGAAAACATTATTCAGAAACTGGGTGTGGTAACCCAGTCCTGTAATTTCAGCACTTGAGAGGATGATTTGAGATACATGGAACCCTCAAAAACCAAAACCAAATCCTGAAAGTAACCACACTGGCCAGGAGAGTAGCTAAGATGTAGAACCGCTGCCTAGAATCCCCCAGTAAGGAGTTGGGGTGTGGCTTAGTGGTAGAGCCCCTGCCTAGAATCCCCCAGTGAGGGGCTGGGGGTGAGGCTCAGTAGTAGACCCCTCTTCAGCATGAACAAGAGTGTGGATTCGATTCCTAGTGCTAGGAAAGAAAACCGGAAGTGTTGGCTGAAAAATCCAACTTGGTCAACACAGACTGGAGGTCTACTATGCAGCATCTGTCAGGGAAAGCTAATTGGTTACCTGGGAGCCAGCAGTTTTAACACCTGGCCACCAGCAGGCTCACTGGTCAGGAACCTTCAGGCCCCTGGTAGGTGGGCAGCAAGGCTTCCCACCCCCTGGACTGTTGATTTCCTGTGTGTTCCCCACCACGGTGGGGAGAGGACTATGGGAGGTGGGCACGAGGCTGCCAGAATGCAGGGAGCCCTGGGGAAAGCAGCGTGGGTGGGGGAGATGGCGCGAGACTCCCACACCAAGAAGATGCAGGGGTGGTCAGTGCCTCCTCCCATCTCCACGTTCTGGACCTAAGTGGGAGGGCGCAGAGAGGCTCTACTTACACCTGCCTCTCATCCTGCACCCCTGCATACAAGGGGCTGGGACCCCACTCCCCGACTATGCGTTATTGGTTTTTTTGTCTGTCGCTTGTTGTTTTGAGGGAGGGTTGGAGACAGCCTGACCTCAAATGTGTCATTTTACCTTGGTTTCCTCAGGTGCAGTTTCAGGTCACATAGACGTGGGTGGAACCCTTAGTGTTTCGTAATGGAATACGGGGCCTTGAACATGCTAAGCAAACAAAAGTTCTACCACTGAGTGTTACCTCCCTCACTGGAGGATTCTAGGCAGATGCTCTACCACTGAGCCACACCCCAGCCCCTCACTGAGGGATTCTAGGCAGGGGCTCCACCACTGAGCCACGCCCCAGCCCCTCACTGGGGGATTCTAGGCAGGGGCTCTACCACTGAGCCACGCCCCAGCCCCTCACTGGGGGATTCTAGGCAGGGGCTCCACCACTGAGCCTCTCACTGGGGGACTGTAGGTAAACATTTTACTGCTGACCACCATCCTCAGCCCAGCAACTTTTCCTTCTCAGAATTTTTAGATAGAGTCTCACTGTGTGGCCCAAGGTGACCGTGATGGCACCATCCTCTTGCCTCATCCTCCCAAGTGCTTGGATGGCAACCTTGTGCCACCACACCTTGCTGCGGTCTTCCAGGACACTGTGGGTGTAGATAGCTGTCCAGGCAGCATCAGCTGGCAGCGTCTCCTAAGTGAGGGTCATGCATACCCCTTGCTCTTCGTCCTTTCTCCTCCCTTCCCAGCCCGTCACCTCCTAAGTTCTGGTCACTAACCCGTGTCCTGGGTCTCCCCCATGCCCTTCCCCCCTGATGTGGCCTCTTGACTCCCTCTCTCTCTTTTTCTCTCTCCTTCCTTTCTCCTCAGACACCCCCCAGGCCTCCCGAGATGTGGGTCCGCTGGTGTGGGGGGCCGTGGGGGGAACATTGCTGGTGCTACTTCTGGCTGGGGGGTTCCTGGCCTTCATCTTGCTGAGGGGGAGGAGGAGGCGGAAGAGCCCTGGAGGAGGCGGAAATGATGCCGACAGAGGATCCTACGATACAAAGACTCAGGTGTTTGGGAACGGGGGTCCTGTCTTCTGGAGGTCATCATCTCCTGAGCCCATGAGGCCAGATGGCAGGGAAGAGGAAGAGGAGGAGGAGGAAGAGGCGAAGGCAGAGGAAGGCCTCATGCTGCCTCCACATGAGTCACCCAAGGACGACATGGAATCTCATTTGGATGGCTCCCTCATTTCTCGGCGGGCAGTTTACGTGTGACCCCCACGACATAGACACTGGACACGTAGAGAAGCCTATTCCCACCCCCACCGCCAACCACACCAGCGCCAGCCAGCAACGGGACGGCTAGGGACCGGTTGGACTGGTTCTTCTGGGGCACACTGGAGTTGGAAGGCCACCTCCCCCGTTTCTGGACTAAGGACAAGTGGAACCACACACCAGACTCCTGTCTCCAGGCCCTCGTGGATCCCCAGAGCGCCATGGTGCACACTCAGGACTCCTCAGAGCTTGCTTTCGGCCCCAGCCTGGCCCTGGCCCCGAAACACTCAGGAGCTAATAAATGCCTTGTCAGAAAAACTTGGGGGTGTTTTGTAATACATCAGGCCCCTTTCTTTGTGTCCTGGGGAGGAGTGGGTGGGACAGGGACCTCTGTCCTGAGGCTTGGAAAATTGGGACCCACACTGAGCTGTCACTCCACCTGTGCCCTAGATCTCTTGCAGCTTCCATAGCTTAGGGGGTCCCTGACTTTGAAGGGAAGGGGGACTTGAACTCTTGGGCCCCAGGACAGGTGGTTAGCAGACTAGCTTCAGATCTGAGCTCCTCAGGGAAAGGCTGTAACTACCTTGACCCTGGGTTCTAATGGTCTGTGGGGCGGAGGGAGCACACAGGTCTCGTTTCTGTGTGATGGAGGACCTCCAGGCTGTAGAGACCGGTGTGGGCAATACTCAGGTGACCCCACCTTGATGTCCTGTCCTGTGTGGCTGTCTGCCACCCTCTTATGAGGGTTTGGTCCCATGGGAGTTACCAGCAATTCTGATGGACCTCAGCACCCCCAAATCACACACACACACACCAAACATACATACATACACACACACGCACACACATGATCTTCCAGGTAGCAGTCTGATTCCAAGGGTCCTGAAGCATCAGCCCTGGGGAGAAGGCGGTGAGCTTCTGTGACTTCTCTGGACACTAGGATCAGATGGTGCCTTCTGGGTGGGTGGAGCAACTAGGAGGCCTGGATCCAGGCACTTCCTCAACCAGCATTTACAGATCCCAGAATGCCAAGCCTGCATCCACCATGCTGGGGACACACGAGTCACAACCCTGTCCTGTGGGAACATGGTCAGCCAGGAACAATGACAGGAAGGACTGAATGTTTGGGATGACCTTGTGTGGTGCACCCTAGCTAGTCACGCCTCCCCGGTGTGTGAGAGTGAGTGTGTGTGTGCGCACACACACTCACACACACTGGAACCTTCTGGAGAACACACCCAGCAGGAGAGCGGATTCTGACTGTATGCCCCGGGCAGCTTACCCTCCAAGAATGGGAAGCACACTAACCAACCTCACTGGTGACTCCTAGGGTTTTGCATCCTTGCCTATCCTGGGTGTTCGGGGTGAGGCCCACCATGTGCTCAGCCACGGAGGGTAGGGCGAGCAATTTGCTCGAATTCCGTCTGCACACAGATCCCCTCTAACATGCCAGCTGCGTGTCAGATCTGTGGCGATGGACGTAGAGAGGAAGCTGGTCTTTGCTCCAGGAACTCCGCCGTTAGAAGCACACTGGGCAACTGGGAAATAGGAAGCCGTGTGAGCTCTCGTGATAGGCCAGAAAGCATGACGTTCCCATAATAATAATGAGGGGTCCGCTCTTAACACCTCAGCCTGCCCTCCACTTCCTTCCCTCTTCACTCTGGCCCAGGATCACTGTCTCCTTGCTCTTCCTGTTTGTCTTTTCTTTTTAATGAAACAGTCCTCAAATGCTCACTGCCAAGGCTGAACTTCAACCTCTTCCTACTGCTTCCCCCCTGTGTGCAGAGGTTTTTGTTTTGTTTTGTTTTGTTTTAACAGTCAAAAAAAAAAACCCTGTAATGCTGACTGTCCTGGAACTCACTGTAGCCCAGGTCGGATTCATACTCTTTGGCAATCCTGCTTCAGCCTCCTGAGTGCTTTGGAATTATGAGTGTCTAAACTGTCACAACTGACTCTCCTTGTTCCTTAGAAATAGCCCGAGGCTGCCCCAGGACCTTTGCACTGCCTCTTTCTCTGCAGTACACCTAGAGGACTCAAAAAACGCCCCTTCACAGATAAGCCCTGGTGCCTGGCTTTGTAGGTCTGTCTTTCTGTCTCTCTGTCACTTCCTCGTCCCCTTCTCCACTCCGTACGTGTGTCTGTTCAGGCTTGACTTGGATAGGATCGAATCTGTTTGTTTGCTGTTAGCCAAGGCCAGCCTGTGCCACCGTAAGACCTGGAGCAGTGAACTTCTCAGCTCCATGAGGGTGGGGACTTGGTGCATGTATTTCATTTCCACATCTCTTCCCATCTGCACAGGACAGGTGCTCCTGAAGCAGGCGCACAGGGCAGTCGGATGCTGCAAAGCCCCTGGCCATGGTGGATTGTACTCAGACACAGGAGCACTTGCCTAGCATGCTTGCGGCCCCAGAGTTAGTTTCCTGCACAGCCGAAGGAAAGAAGCAGGAGGACAGAGGCATAGATTAAGCCTGGCCTACGTAGAGAGTTCCGGCCAACCTGGGCTACATGTGGAGACCCTGTCCTGTGAGGAGCAGGCTAGAAGCAGCAGCTGTGAGTTCTCATAATGAGCCCTGTGCTGTCTTTGTCCTAACAGAGTCACCCAGCACAGCAGGAGCAGGAGCCACAGGCGGCATCATCGGAGGCATCATCGCCACCATCATCGCCACTGCAGTGGCCGCCACAGGCATCCTCATCTGCCGGCAGCAGAGGAAGGAGCAGCGGCTTCAGGGGGCTGATGAAGAAGAGGAGTGAGTGACGGGCCCGAGGAGTGGGCGGGAGGAGAGGGGTGAGTGACAGGGTCCTGAGGAGTGGGCGGGAGGAGAGGAGTGAGTGACGGGCCCGAGGAGTGGGCGGGAGGAGAGGGGTGAGTGACGGCCCCCGAGGAGTGGGCGGGAGGAGAGGGGTGAGTGACGGGGCTCTGAGGAGTGGGCGGGAGGAGAGGGGTGAGTGACGGCCCCCGAGGAGTGGGCGGGAGGAGAGGGGTGAGTGACAGGGTCCTGAGGAGTGGGCGGGAGGAGAGGGGTGAGTGACGGCCCCCGAGGAGTGGGCGGGAGGAGAGCGGTGTCACAGTCCGGGAGCACAGGGAGGGGGCTGAAATCTCTGAGATGTCATCAGAGCCCAGGCCCCAACTCTCTTGTTACCCCACCTTCCCCTGAGCGTCCGCTCTCAAGGGCTGCTAAGTGTGGGTTCTCGGCACTCGGGTAGAAGTAAGGATCAGAAGTTCAACTTCATGCTCCCGCTATCACACGACGCTCTTGTCTCAAAATGGCGTATACCTTTAGTCCCAGCACTAGGGAGGCAGAGGCAGGCAGGTCTCTATGAGTTCGAACCTGGTCTACAGACTGAGTTCCAGGACAGGCTCCAAAGCAATACAGAGAAACTCTGTCTCGAAAAACCAGAAAAAGAAAAAGGTTCTACAGGAGCCAGGGAAATGAGTTAGTAAGAACTTGAGTTCTAGCTCTACAGCATTCGTTAAAAACAAATAATAAACCAGCCAGGTGTGGTGGTGCACACTTTTCATCCCAGCACTCGGAGGCATAGGCAGGCAGATGTCTGAATTTGAGGACAGCCTGGTCTATAGAGCAAGTTCCAGGACAGCTAGGGCTACACAGAGAAACATCATGAAAACAAGAAAAAGAGAGAGAAAAAAAAAGGTTTATTTTCTTCTTATTTATGTGTCTGTCTGTCTATCTCTGTGTATGTATGTGTATGTCTGTGTAACTATGTGTGTGCCCCCTCAGAGGCCAGAGGACCTTGAACCTGGGAGCTTGGGTTACTGACCATTGTGAACTTCCCCGTGGTGCTGGGAACAAAATAACACAGACAGGTTCTTTGGAAAGACACCAGTGCTCTTACACACTGAGCCATCGTTCTAGTATGCACGTGTGCGCGCGCATGCATGTATGTGTGTGTGTGTGTGTACAAGCATAATCAAGTATGTGTTACTGAACACATGTTTATACATAGAGCGGGCAGAGGACAACCTTGGGTAGCATTCCCCAGGCTCCATCCACCTCGGATTGTTTGTTTTTGGTACAGGATCCCACTATGTAGCACTGGTTGGCCTAGAACTCATCACTCAGATAGGGCTGACCTTAAACACAGAGCCCCTCCTTAGTCCTGGGATTGGCGGTGTGTGGCACATGCCTGACTCACTGCATGAGAATTCTTTGAATTCTTCCCAGAGGGGCCTGGGATGCCAGGACTGTGTATCACTCAGATTCCTCCCTCACTGGGGTGGGGGCAGAGATGTTGCTGAAAAACAGAGAAGAAAAGAAAAGAAAGCATTTTGACACTTACCAAGCGACCAGGGGGAGCAGATGAGGACAGGGTGGCTTACATTCCTTGATCTGACTCCTACCCCTGACCCTGCAGACTGGAAGGACCTCCCTCCTATAAGCCACCAACCCCCAAGGCCAAGCTGGAGGAGCCAGAGATGGTGAGATGTTAGCCCGAGCTACCCTGCCTCTCTTCCCACTTTTCCTCCCTGGGGCTGGGCCGGGATGGCTGTTGGGGCTGGGACAGGGCTGGCTGGGAGAGGTCACCATGACGGGTCCTGACTTAACCCTTATGTCATGCCACAGCCCTCCCAACTCTTCACTCTGGGGGCCTCGGAGCACAGCCCCGTGAAGACGCCATATTTCGACTCGGGTGTCTCTTGTGTTGATCAGGTGAGACTTTCCGGGTAAACCAGGGTGCGTTTAGGGCTGGGTTTAGGATCAAGGGTCAAGGCTGGGTAGAGTAGAATCTGAGTTGGCCAGGGGCTGTGCCTGCAGCAGAGATAACACCATGAAGCCATTGCTTTGGAGTCCCCTCTATGATGGAGACATCCCCCTGCGGGCCCCTGGATGGTCAGCTGTCAGGTAAGGACGACAAAGCATATTGAGGTTTGAGGACCTGACTGGCACTCAAGGTTAAATAATGATTGAGGTCAGAGCTTGGTAGCTCCTGTCTGTGATCCCAACAGTTGGGAATCTGAGGCAGGAGGATCACCATGAATTAAAATTGTGGTGGGTTCAACCAACCTGGGCTACATAGTGAGTTCAAGGCTAGCATGAGTTAGAGTGAGACTTTGTTTCAAAACAGCCAAGAGCCCTAGGATTGATGACGTGGTTTTGGACCAGAGCTGGAGTCTGAGGATGGAGTCACATACTAGGCATCCTCAAATACCTGTGACTCCAGCTGGGAGGGTCAAATACCCTCTTTAGGCCTTTGTGCTCACATGCATGTGTAAGTGCATCCACACACACACACACACACACACACACACACACACACACAGAGTTGGGAAATATTTTCAACAATCAAGAGAAGAGACTGAAGCCAAGCCTGGAGTGGGAATATACACCTGCAACCTCAGTACTTGGGAGACTGAGGCAGGATTACCACTGTTGGAACCCAGCCTAGGCTGCATAGTGAGACCCTGTGTTAAAAGAAAAAAGTCGCCGGGCGGTGGTGGCACACTCCTTTGATCCCAGTGCTCGGGAGGCAGAGCCAGGCCAATCTCTATGAGTTCGAGGCCAGCCAGATCTACAGAGTGTGTGCCAGGACAGCCAGAGATACACAGAGAAACCTTGTCTCAAAAAAAACAAAAAACAAAAAAAAAAAAAGAAAAAGAAAGAAAGAAAGAAGTCAAGTTGATGGCAAGAGTGCACATTTGTCCCAGCACTGAGGAAATGTAGGCAGGATGATGAAGAGTTCAAGGTCATCCCTGGCTACAAAGTGAATTTAAGGAGACCATATGCTATTTGAGACCTTGTCTCCAAACAAACCAAATGATTGAGGTCAGGCTAGGTTATAACTCAATTGGCACAGTTTTGCCTAGCATGCACAATGCCCTGAGTTCAATCCACAGGATTTTGTAATTGTGGTTCCAGACCTGTGCTTCTAACACTCAGGAGGCAGAAGCAGGCAGATAGATCTCTGTGAGTTCCACTCCAACCTAATCCACAACAGTCAGGGCTACATAGAGACTGGGAAATCAGAAGTTCAAGATCAACCTGGATACATAGTATGTTCAAGGTCAGTCTTCTATACAGGACACCTGGTCTTCAAAAAAAAAAGAAAGAAAGAAAGAAAGTCAGGTGGTGATGGCATATGCCTTTAATCTCAGCCCTGGGGAGGCAGAGGCAGGTGTTTCTGTGAGTTCAAGGCCAGCCTGATCTACAGATTTTGAGTTCCAGGACAGCCAGGATTGTTACCCAGAAAAACCCTGTCTCAAAAAAAAAAAAAAAAAAAAAAAAAAAAAAAAAAAAAAGGACTAGGAAATAAACCAGGTTTGATGGTTATGCCTTTAATCCCAGCACTTAGAGACAGAGGCAGGTGAATCTCTATGGTGTCTGTGAAGGCTGTGCTACTTATTGGTCAGTCAGGACTACACAATAAGACCCTAACTGAAGCAAAACAAGCCAACTATGCTGGCATATGCCTTTAGGTTCAGCACTCAGGAGGCAGATCTGAGTTCAAGGCCAACATGGTCTACATAGTGAATTTCAGATCAGCCAGAGCTACATAGTGAGACCCAGTCTCGGAAGGAATTAAGGAAGGAAGGAAGCAAGCAAACATACCACAGTAGAAGTCAAATGTTCTTGTGTAAGGATTTGGGATCAGGGAAGAAGATGGACAGGGTGAGGAAATCAAGCTGGGTAAAGGTGGCCATAGGGAGTGGGCTAGTTGGGTCTGTTTGGCACAGGACAAGGAGAGCCAGGAATCTTGGACCAAGGAGCAGATAGGGGAATACCATCCTGAGACTCGGGTGACCTAGAATTCCTTCTCGCTCTCCACTTCTAGGACATGCCTCGGTATCACGAGCTGCCCACCCTGGAAGAGCGGTCAGGGACCCTGCTTTTGGGGGCCACGGGCCTGGGACCTTCTCTTCTGGTACCTCCAGGACCCCCTGTTGTGGAGGGGGTTTCCCTGGGTCTGGAAGATGAGGATGAAGATGAGGAGGAGGAAGACTTCCTGGATAAAATCAACCCTATTTATGATGCCCTGTCCTACCCCAGCCCCTCTGATTCCTACCAAGGCAAAGACTTTTTTGTGTCACGAGCCATGTATGTGTGAGGCACAGGGGCTCTGACCTTTCACCCTTGGCCCCTCAGCTCTCCACCAGCGATCTAGGATGCTCTGACTTCCAGCCAAGCCAGGCTCAGCTATCAACCCTGCAATCCACCTGTGTGTGACTTCTTAGTAGTTCCACTATGACCTCCGACCCTGAAAAACCTGCATGACTGGGAACCTGGGAGGGAGCTGAGAGGAGCCTTCTGCATCACCTCTGACCCCTCAAGGACTCTTGAGGCTCCTAAGACTGCCACCCTCTAATCATGCCACTCACTACCAAAAAAAAAAAAAAAAAAAAAAAAAAGAAAAACAAACAAAAAAACCCAAAGAAGAAGGGACCTCGGACTTGTCCTCAGACAATAGAGTCCGCACAGGTCTGCAAGAACAGGGTCAGGGGCTACCTGCTGCTCAGACCTGAGCCCTCCAGGCAGCAGAAGCTCACCTGATCCCTCCCCACCCTCCTCCCCAAAGGTGAAAAGGAGAGGACTCCCCTGTGTCAGGTAGGACCTCCCCATCTCCACCCACTCCTGCAGGCAGGAAACTCAGGGTTCACACCCTCTCCTTATCACCCGGTACCCCAGTTCCTGTCTCCAGAGCATGAAGCCTAGGCCCAGTGCTGGAGGGGAGAGCCTAATGCAAGTGTGCCTTGCCACCCCGTGTTTGAGAGATTTGCTCTTATCTTGAAGACTACTGAATCCTTTTAACCCCTGCCCAGTGGGAGGAGAATTATACGACCCTCTTTAGGGGGTGGAGGGGGGTTGTGTGAGATGGAGCATTTGGGCATCTGGGTTGGGAATTTGGGCGATGTTATTTTGTAAGCATTTCCTACAAAATATGAGTTTATACTTTGATAAAGTCTTGTGTTTTCTGTGAGGAATTAAGGGATTGGGGTAGGACATGAAGGAAAATGAGTAAGGGCTGGAGCTTTAAGTACCCAAAGACTAAAGATACCCCAGAAATTGATAATAGGAATAAGCAAAACCACATCAACTAAAACAAAACGACAGGGATGCAAGAAGCGGTCTAACAAGCACGCTGCATTTAAAGCTTTATTGAAAGAACGGTTGCAACAGCTGCCAAATGGTTAACAGCTCAAAGTAATGGAATCAGAGACAAACACACCAGTAACCAGTCAAGAGGGGCTTAGGTTTAGTAAGTCAATGGCAATTAACAGGTGCTTGGAGAGGCTGTGGCAGAAAGATCACTCACAATTCAAGACCAGCCTGGAATAATTACACAGCGAGTTGGGAGCGAGGGTCATTAAAAAAAAAAAAAAACATCATGGGGAAAATATTTTCAAAGAAGCCCCCAAGGCGCGATGGGTAAGGTAGCTAAATGAATGAGCCAGAGATAAAGAAGAGACAAGGGCTGGGGTAATGGGAAGTAGCCAGGAGGTAAAAGATTGCAGGACGAGACGGTTGATCAGAGAAAGGCGGGAGGATGACGGTGGAAACGAACTGGCAGAGATGCGCTAAACCGAGCCGAGAAGAAGTGGCGCAATGAATGGGGGCGAAGAATGCTGGGTAATGGGAAAGGAATGAATGGGCCAGAGACGGAAGCCGCCGTGACGCGGGGCAGACGGCATCATGGGTAACGGAGGGGGTGGGCTCGAGGCAGCGGCGGCGTTAAGCGGGCATTGTGGGTAAGTCGGAGCGGGGCACTGTGGGAAGGGGCGGCCCTTCCGGCCTGGCAGTGGGCGACCCAGCCCCTCCAGCGCGGTGCCTGGTGGGGCGCGAGGCCTGACCTTGCTGCCTAGCAGCGCCTGCAGCGCAACGCACCTCTACCCACGTCCTTCGACCCCGGCACCTCAGCCAATGAGACGGCTACCAGCAACGTCACCGGGGCCGGCCAATCAGAGCGCGAGGGGGAATCGAAGCGCACCAATGGTCGGCGCGTTCGCCGGGGCGGGGCTCCGCTCCTCCAGGCGGGTGGGCGGGGCGATGGGCAGGTAGGCGTTGCAAAGCCGGCGGGGTCGACGAATAGCGAGGCAGTTCCAGACCCGCGGCGTCGTGAGCCAATTGGCTCGCACATCCCGAGCCAATGGGAAAGGCGGGGACGCCGCACGGCCCGGCCGCGAATAAGGACCAATAGAAATGGCTGTTTCAATGAGATGGGTGGTACTTCCTGCCAGGACTCCAATAAAATGCGTGTCTTCTTGGGCTGGTGGGCGGGGCCCGGAGGACAATTGACCAATGGACTCCACGGGGCGGGGAGACGGCCGCGGCGGCGGCGACAGTGGGTTCGGTTGCGCGTAGCGCACGGGGTAAGAGCGCAGCCCAGGCCGGGAAGAGGGGCCGCCGCCGCCGGTGAGGATCGAGGCTGAGCTGGGTGGGAGGTGGCCGGGGCCGCATCCGGGGCCGCGCGTGTGAGTGGCCCCTGACCTCCGCACTCTGACCTCGCCCCTCGCAGATACCATGGGGAACGTGTTGGCCGCCAGCTCTCCGCCCGCGGGGCCGCCGCCGCCTCCGACGCCGTCGCTCGTGGGGCTGCCGCCGCCGCCGCCTTCCCCGCCGGGCTTCACGCTGCCGCCGCTCGGGGGCGGCCTGGGCAGCGGGTCCAGCGCGGGCCGCGGCTCGGAGCGGACTCCCGGGGCTGCGGCCAGCGGCGCCGCGGGGGCCTCGGACGATGGGGGCTGCGGCTGCCTGCCCAACCCGGGCACGTTCGAGGAGTGCCACCGGAAGTGCAAGGGTAAGGGGCGCCGGGCCGAGGGCCCAGGGCGGGGAGGGACCCCCGAGGATTGGCGCGCATCGGTGCAACCATGGGACAGGACGTTAGGACGGGGCGGGCGGGCGGGACGGACGGACGGCGGGGCCGTGGACTTGGGCTCAGAACTGCATCAGATGGTGAACTCTCTGGGGAAGAATGCCGCAGCAGGGCCGAGAAGTCTTGGGCACTGAGAGCCCCGGGACCAAGCCAGCCACACTTAGTGTGATCAGGAAAGGAATTACGTGTGGCCCAAGGTCACAGTGTCGGCAAGGTGTGCCCCAGTGGTTTGTGAGGGGTGCAACCCAAGGGGTCTGGATCCTGGCCTAGGACCGTTTTGGTCATAAGAGAGGTACATTCTTATCTTTGGTATTCAAATATGTGCTGATTTATTGACTACTTGGAACAGTTCTGGATGGTGAGGACCATTGTAGAGACGAGAAATTTGACAAGCAAGTTTCCTACATCCAGGGGGTTGCACTGGGTTTTACAAACAGCCAAAGGGCCTAGCTCCATTCACTCAGACAGTATTTCCTCTAGTGGTGGTTTGTTTTGTTAGATGTAGGTCTCTGGAGACAGCTGGGGACGGGAGGGAAGGAGGGGGGAGGGCTTGAGGTTTGACAGGATCTCTCTCTTGCAGAGCTGTTTCCAGTTCAGATGGAGGGTGTCAAACTTACAGTTAACAAAGGGTTGAGTAACAGGTTCCAGGTGAGTCTGAGCCCTGACCCTCCAGAGGTCATTAACAGCTATCCGCTTCCATGCGTACAAATCCCCTCACTCTCTTAAAGGCATGGGCTTTTTGGTCGGTAACAAGACTTAGATAACATTCCAGTAGCATACAGACTCCTGGTCCTCGCATTGGCGGGGGATGAAGCAGCAAGATCTTATGCCTCAGACCATCCTGGGACGATGCATAGCAAGACCCTGTATCCAAACATAAAAGGGAAATGAACCATAAGACTCATACATTCCAGGATGACTCCAGGGGGAGTGGGAAGTTTGGGTTTAGGGGCCCAGAATTCAGAAGAGCCTCTTACCCTGCAGCCTCAAGCAGAGGTGCAGTAGTGGGTGTGTAGCCCACCCTAGCTTCACATCTGATCTCGTCAATATTGCCCGATGTTTACTTTATCTCCTGGGTTGGAACCCTGAGCTTTGATGCTTAGCATGGCTTGCCGCCCAGTGTTCACTCCCCAACCCCACACCCCTGGTTTCCATCCCTTGCCGAGCCCAGAAGCTCTGTCTGCATCCTCAAGTGGATAAGCCAGCCTTGCCAAGACCCCCGCAACTCACTCTCTTCTCCCAGGTGACCCACACAGTAGCCCTCGGCACAATTGGAGAGTCCAATTACCACTTTGGGGTCACGTACGTGGGGACAAAGCAGCTGAGTCCTACGGAGGTAAGATTCCTTTGGTCATTCTTACATTAAGGGAACCGGTGGACGAGTGACAGGCTCGGAGCCCTTGGAGGGAAGCAGGTGTTGGTGCACAGGTGATTCCTTCCTATGCAACATCACAGACATACTGTCCATTGTCTGGCCCTGGGCTGGGTCATGGAGGGTAGGGTGGGGTGGGGGAGAGGGGACCATGGGTGGAGGGAATCACACAGTGGTAACCCAGATGCTGGGAGCCAGTATAGGGCCTAGAATGTCAGACTCTGTGCTGGGGTATCCTCTAGGGGGTGCTGGAGAGCCACGGAAAGATTTGACAAGGGAGGAATGGCAGGTCAGGTGAGGGCTTCCGGTGTGTTCTCATGCTGCCCTAGCAGGGTTGGATACTGGGATGGGGAGGTTTCGGAGGGGTGGGAACCGGTCTGAGTCTGCTTTTGTTACCTGTTCTGGTTTTTTGTTTCTGGAGACAGACTCTCATGCGCGGCTGGGCTAGAGCTGTGCCTGGGGATGATCTTGGCCCTTCAGTCCTCCTGCCTTTACCTCCCCAAGGGCTGGAGTTTCAGGTCATCATGTGTAGTTTTACTGGGGCTGGGGATCGAACCCAGGGCTTGGGAGACAAACACTCTTTCCAACTGAACTACGTACATCCTGTGCACCTTTTACTTAAAGTATGTGTCTGCAGGCACCTATTCCCACCTTTGCATTTGCAAAGGCCAAAACAGGGCCTGTGATGTGGAAGCTCATCATTTAGGCTAGACTGACCCACCAGCCACCGTCTGCAGTGTTGGAGCAATGGGCATGAGCAGCCATACCTGGTGCTTATGCAAGCACTTTGTGATTTGAACTTGGGGGCTCATGCTTGAGTGTAGGAGAGCTCAGAGCACTGGCTGGACTGGAACACTATGTAAACCAGGCTGGCATCCAACTCAGAGACCTTCTTGCCCACCTGCCTCTGTTTCCCAGGAGCTGGGATTAAAGGGGTACACCGATGTGCCTAATACTTTTTTCTTTTTGTAAAATCTATGCTGTCTGCCTCGAGCAGGTCAGCAAGGTCCCGATGCTGACACGTATGATTGCCTCCTACAACTGCTTTGCAGTAGCAAGGGGACCCTTCTTGGCAGCACCCATCTGTAGGAGGCTCCTGGCGTCGTGAGGCAGAAAGGGTGTAGGCTGCACTCTGACTTAATGTTGATTTGTGTCAGGAGGGCCTGTGGGGGCCAGAGGACAACTTTCCAGTGTGTTCTGGGGATTGAACTCCTGCCCTCAGGCTTGGTGACAAGTGCCTTGACTTTCCTACTCAGCTATCTGGTTGGCCCCTTGAGGTGTGTTTTCAAGAGGGGAGGAGGGTAGTTAACCCAAAGTCAAAGCTGAACTGTGGCAGTTTGGAGATTGTGAAGTCCCCAGGTGTGGGGCACGTGGCCTGTAACAGTTGGAGAGGAAGTATACCATCCTGGTAGAGAAGACATGGAAGGCCCCCATGAAGGTCAAGTTGTCAGTCCACAAGTAGAGGCTGCCTACAAAAAATGAATTCAAGCTCAGCTGGGTGTCCTGGCACATGCTTGTCACCCTAGCGCGTGGGGAGGCTGTGGCAGAAGGAAGAGGAGTTGCAGGACAGCCCAGGCCACATGGCAAGACCTGCTGCCATAAATAAGCAAGCAAACATACAATGACCTGTAATCCAGGCCACGGCACCCTGTGCCACATAGCTGGTGTGCTGGCTGGTTTCGGTCAGCTTGACGTAAAGTCCGGTCATCTGGGAAGAGGAACTTCAGTTGGGAATGTCCTGAGTGGTGATGGATATGAAAGGCCAGCTCGCTGTGAGTGCTACCCCTGGGCGCTGTGAGCAAGGACGTGAGTGTCACCTTCCGGGTCCATCTCACTTCCCCAGTTAGGGTTCGGGCTGGTGTTCATCTCAGCAATGTGTTCCTTTGAGACTCCTCAGACCTACATGATATCCTGTCTCTCAAGAGGAGCAGTAGCCAGGCAGTGGTAATCTCAGCAGCACTCAGGAGGCAGGGGCAAGCAAGACTCTTGAGTTCAAAGCCAGCCTGGACTACAGAGAGTGCCAGGGCAGCCAAGGCTACAGGGGAAACTCTGTGTTGAAAAACTTGGCTCGTCTGCCTTGCAGTGTGCAGTGGTAGTCAGGGGCAGCTGTGTCACTCAAGTGACAGATGGGCACAGGAGAAGCACTGGGAAGGCTTCCTGGGACATGGGTGCCGGCATGGTGCTCCAGGCTTCTTGCTGAGGCCTACTGCTGTGTCTCACTCCAGCTCTGGCCTCTCAACTGCCCTCTGCCCCACAGGCCTTCCCCGTGCTGGTGGGTGACATGGACAACAGCGGCAGCCTCAACGCACAGATCATCCATCAGCTGAGCCCAGGCCTCAGGTCCAAGATGGCCATCCAGGTGAGCCATGCGTGGGTGTGGCCTGTCAGCCTCACGGGAGCGCCCTCATCCCTGGCCCTAACCCTGCCCCTTGCCCACAGACCCAGCAGTCGAAGTTTGTGAACTGGCAGGTGGATGGGGAATACCGGGGCTCCGATTTCACGGCGGCTGTCACCCTGGGCAACCCAGATGTCTTGGTGGGTTCAGGTAAGAGGTGGAGGGGGGCTCAGGTGTTCGAGAGGCCTTGATCCAGCTTCCCTTTCCCCACAGGGCACGGGCTTTGTCTCGGGGTCTTCCATGCTTATCTGAGAGGTGGCAGGGTAGGAAGGACGTGCGACCCTCAGGCGTCCACAAGCTTGTGATCCCCACGCTTGCCAGGCTAAGGCAGGGCGGTCATGAGTTTCCGGCAGCCTGAGCTAATTCCCTTCCTCAAAAAAAAGAAAAACGATACAAAACAAAAGGCCAGGTGTGGTTACACCTGTAATCCCAGGACGGGGGAGGATCAAAGATCAGGCTGGAGCCCTTTTAGGGAGGGTGCGTGCCTTTTTCTTTTAAACTTTGATATGTGTGTGTGTGTCTATGCACTTGAAGTGTGCCTGTTGCCCTAAGAGGCCAGAACAGTGTCCAGTCCCTTGAGCTGGAATTACGGACCACTGTGAGTAAACTTGTGGTGATGGACATAGATCTGGGTCCTCTGAAAGAGCTCTTAACCACTGAGCCGTCCCCCTAGCCTGGTGGCGCAGGCCTTTAAGCCCAGCACTAGGGAGACTGAGGCAGTGAAGGCCAGCCTGGGCTACATAGTGAGACTATCTTTGAAACAAAGCGAAGGAAAAAATGTGGGAGAGGGCCAGGCAGCGGTGGTGCACGCCTTCAATCCCAGCACTTGGGAGGCAGAGGCAGGCGGATCTCTGTTGAGTTCCAGGCTGAGGGGCTCCAAAGCGACAAAGAATCCCTGTCTCCAAAAACAAACAAGCGAAAAATGGGGTGTGGTGATAGAAACCTGTTCTCGGTCAGAAAGATCGGTGGGGCTGGAGATGAGCCTTGTGTGTTGTCGTTCAGTTGCTGTGATAGAAACACCATGACTAAAGCAATAGGGTTTACTCAGGCTTACCGGCCCAGACGGTTTGTCATGAGGCAACCGCAGAAGCAGGAAGCAGAGAGACCCCCGGAAATGGCATGAGGCTTTGAAACTTCGGGGCTGTCCCCAGTGACATATGTCCTCAAGCAAGGCCAAGCCTCCTGGGCCTCTCCAAACTGCACCACCAATTGGGGTGCAAGTGTTGGAATGCCTCAGACCGTAGGGGTGTTCTCTCTTTCAACTGCCACACCTGTGTACGCGGTGAAACCCAGGATCCCCAGAGAAGTGATCTGGGGAGCGCATGTAGAGCACCGATTCACAGCCTTGATTCTGTCTCCATGGAGCAAAACGATTTATCATTAGACAGTGACCATGGTGATGGGTGCATCATCCAGCCTGTACTGCTGGGCACCAGGAGATAAAACTTCTCAGTGTGGGACTTGGGGAAGTGGCACGAGATGGGGCACATGGTGGCCATGTCCAGGCGAGGTAAGACAAGGCAGAGGCCAGGGTAGGTCCTAATGAGTCTTGATGTCTGGCCCCTTCTGCTCTCTCTGCGTTCCTTCTTGGTTGCAGGCAGGGTTGCTGCTCACCTGTGTGCCTGCCCATCGGTTGCCAGGGTGCTGAGCCTGCCCCGTGTTTTTACTCACTGGTGATGCCATAGTGAACAGAACTGAGTGCATCCCAGCACGGACCTCCAGATAAAGAGGACAGAGAGATGGCAGGCGTAGACAGATGTGGCTTAACACCTGCCTAAATCCGGCAGTGAGGAGTTCAGAGCATGGCTTGGTGATGGAGCACTTGCAAGGTCCTGGGTTTTAGTCCCAGCACCATAAAAAAAGTGTTTTGTTCTTGTTGGCTGGCCTGGAATTCTTGCCTGTCTCCTGAGTGGTAGGATTGGTGGCCACTCTACCTGGCAAATAAGTAATTTACCCCTAAACATTTGCACAGTGTTTGTTACCGTCAGGATGAGTCCCACTGGAGTGAGCTCTGATGACTGATGGGTCCTTTCTTTTTCTTGTGTGTGAGTGCGTGCCGTGGGTACAGTTGGAAGTCAGGACAACTTGAGCTGATTGTCCTTCCACTGGGGAACCACGGATGGTAACCGAGAGGCTCGGGCCTTCCGGACCATCTGGCTGGCCCAGCTGTGATGGCTTCTGACATGGGGCCTCGTTTTTTGCTGGAGTGTCCCAGACAGCTTCTCCAGTGCCAGAGCCTCAGCCCAGAAGCGGGGAGAGGAGGGGGGAACCTGTGAGGGAAGGGTGGTTTCCTGGCAGGCCAGGAATGAGGAGGTCAGGCTGGATGGAACACAGCTGCCAGCCCTCCAGACATCCCGCCTGTGCAGAGTGACTGTCAGTGGGGCACACACCTTTAATCCCAGCACTCTGGTACCAGACAAAGGCCGATATCTGAGTTCGAGGACAGCCAGGGCGGCACAGAGACTCTCAAAATAAACAACTGTCAGCTCTGATCAGATTGGGACCTGGTGGGACCTTACGACTGGCCTTCCTCCACAGGGACCCTGTCTGCCTTCCTGAGGCCTGCTCTTACTAATCCTGTTGTCTCCCTTGGGACCACTTGGGTTCGTCCACTTGCTTGACGTAGGTGATTTTGTTGATCACTTCTGACATGCCAGGCTCCATGTTACTCGTTATCTATCTGCTGCTAAAGATGGGAGCCAAGGCCTCAGATGCTAGGCGGGTTCCCCACCCCCTATGGGGGATCTAGGCTGGGTTCTACTTCAGGGCGTTCATCCTCAGGGTGGGACTTTAGCCAGGCTGTTCTTGGATGGGTTGGTGTCGCTTGACAGGCCCTCCAAGTTGTGCCCATCATGAATACCCTTACACATTGCAGAAGGCCCTCAAAACTCTGTCCCGATGGGATTGCTACAGTGGGACCATTGCACACAAGCATGGTAGGAAACGCAGGGTCTCCTAGGCAACCCCAGTGGATAGCAAGAATCTGGATTAGGGTGTGGCTTGGGGTCATTGCACATACTTGATGGCAGAGCACCTGCCTGCTGATCTGAGTGCTTGCCTGGCGTGTACAGAGCCCTGCGTTCTGTCCCCAACCATCATACTAACCACTCACTAACCAGAGCGGGGAGCAGGGACACCCCAAACCCCAGCACTCTTACCCAGTCCCTAGAAAGGCTTTTGTCTCAGCCTGGCTGAGCTGTGTGGGTCACCACTATGATCCTAGCATTTGTTTGGGAGGCTGGGACAGAACACCAGAAAGTTCTAGGTCGTCCAGGGTTACACAAGTCATAACAATGGCTAAGAACAGGGTGAGACCAACAGGCTGTCTTAGCAGGGAAAGGCACTTGCTGCTGTCCCTGGCTTCTTCCTCCTGAGTTTGATCACTGGGCCAAACACGGCAGGAAACCAGCTCCACAAATTGCCCTCTGACCTATGCACACGTGCACACTTGCATGAGCACCTACACATGCTTGCACAGCTCCTGCTGGGGGTGAAGTCTTCGTAGAGTGTACTGGCACACACCTGTAATCCAGTTACTCGGGAGGCCAAGGCAGAAGGATCACAAGTTTGAAGCTAGCCAGGGCTACATAGCAAGACCCTCTGTTAAATCGGTGTCTCTATGTAGACTAGGTTTGGGATTAGGGTCACACCTGGTGTGGGACCCTATTCTTTTTTGCTTGTTTGTTGGAGACAGGGTTTCTCTGTGGCTTTGGAGGCTGTTGTGTAACTAGCTCTTGTAAACCAGGCTGGTCTCAAACTCAAGAGATCCGCCTGCCTCTGCCTCCTGAATGCTGGGACTAAAGGTGTGCGTCAGCACTGGTTTGTTTTTTCAGAGAGCCCAGGTCAAATTCTCAGAATCTAAATGTCAGTTCATAAGCACCTGTAACTCCAGTTCCAGGCATGTGTGTCACAGAGACATACGTGCAGGCAAAACACACATGCACGTAAAATCTGCAAAAAATGTTTTTACCTCAGTTAAGGCCTAAGCTGGGCTATGGTGGTGCCTATAACCTGGCTGTATATTAGGCAAAAGGACCACGTGTTCAAGGCATGCCTGGGCTACATGTTGGGACCCTGGCTGGAGGAAAAGAGTAAAAAGAGATACAAGCCCCTAAGAGGCAGTACTGTAATTCTGAGACTTTGGATTCACCCATTAGGAGAGGGCTGGGTGGGACAGGTTGGCAGGTGTCCCATGGCACAAAAGAGGGTCAGATCTGGGGCACACCTTGTAGGTGTTTAGCCAGCTGGCTGGAGGGAAGCTTCAATGACTGGCTATGTCAGAGTACAAAGCTCTATTTTGAAGCTGGAGCCAACCCATAGATTATTGTGAGCCTCCCCGATCTTCCCAGGGTCCTGGGGAGCTATGGCAGGTTCTCAGGAGAGAACAGTCAGGTTTATGATTTGGGATCTGGAGAGGCTGTGGGTAGAGAAATGACTTAGGGGTTGATGATGCCTCGGAAATTAAGGATTGTTAGAGAGAGGCAGCTTAGGGGTGGGTCAGTCCTTACTCCTCCTTCCTATAGCTATGGGGGAGGGGGTTCTACCCTGAGGTTGCTGTCTGTACATGGCCACTCATAGGACAGTGGCTCTCAGTTACTTATTATGGTGATGGGAGGTGAGCTGGGACAGTGTTGATGTGTCTGGAACCTGATGGTCCCCTGCCTGCTGAGGGAACACTCACGCTGGCTCCTGAGCCCTGGTACCTGCGTCTGTCCTAGCCGTGGTCACACTTCCCCAGAACACACCCAGGCCCCAGCGCGGACTCTGGGCCCTACCTCACACATCCTGGGCCAGGGGCTTAGCCCCTGCACAGGCTGTCCTTCACAGTTCTGCCACTGTACTGCCAGATGCTGGAGCAAAGATGGCTTTTTGACACAGGCCACTGTGTGCCTCCCTGGCCTGGATCTCCCTCTCTCCCCCAAGGACTGGGATGAAAGGTGTGCATGCTCCCGTCCGCGGGACTGCACCCCTGCTCGCTTAGGTTAGGAACATGCTTGCTGCTTGTACAGGGTCACAGGCCAGCAGAGACCGGGCAAGGGGAGCGCCTCAGAGTGGCAGAAACTGTCTAAGGGTTAGCAGGAAGATCCCCAGAGCCTGACCACCCTCTCCTCCTGCAGGAATCCTGGTGGCCCACTATCTCCAGAGCATCACGCCATGTCTAGCCCTGGGCGGGGAGCTCGTCTACCACCGGCGGCCTGGAGAAGAGGGCACTGTCATGTCTCTAGCTGGGAAATACACACGTGAGCCTGGGACATGTTTGTGGTCCGAATGGGGAGGCTGTGGGTTTCTTGATGCTGCGTCCCCTTGACACCCAGCCCTCGCCTACCTCTGCTCTCCTAGTGAACAACTGGTTGGCAACAGTAACACTGGGCCAGGCAGGCATGCACGCCACATATTACCACAAAGCCAGTGATCAGGTGAGTTGGAGGGGGTGCCAGGCTTTGCTGGTGCCCTTGGTATACCCAGGAGCCCCATTGGGCTCACACGTGTGCCCGACCCTCCCTCCTCCAGCTGCAAGTGGGCGTGGAGTTCGAGGCTAGCACCAGGATGCAGGACACCAGCGCCTCCTTCGGGTACCAGCTGGACCTGCCCAAGGCCAACTTCCTCTTCAAGGGTAAGGAAGGCCTCGGTTTCCCTCCTGGAAAACAGGCCAGGGCTGACCTGTGTGGTGGGGGCCTTTGTACACCTCTAAATTACTCAGGGAGGCTGTCAAACAGTGGGGACCCCAACCTGGCACATCTGGTGGGTGTGAGGAGCCACACTTCAAACTCTTCTCCCTTTTGCGCTTAATGAAAGGCAGCGTGGGGAGGAGCTTCTGGCCTCCCGTTCATTCTTGCTGCGATCAAACACCAGGACCGTAGACAACTTGGAGGAAAGAGTTTATTTTGGCTCACAACTCCCAGGCCCCGCTCCTGCCACTGAGAGAAGTCAGGGCAGGCCCTGAAGGGGCAGACGGGAAGTGCTGTTTACTGTTGCCCCCCCCCCCCCCCCGCCCGTGGCCCAGGACTCCCGCCCCTGCCCTCAGCACCCTGAGTGGGGTACTCTCAGCCAATCACTAATTAAGGAAATACCCTGCTTGCTTGCCTACAGCCATGTCTTAGGAAGAAGACATTTCAAATGAGGTTCCCTCAAGTGACTAGCTTGTATCAATCTAAGACTGTTGGAGTCTCAGTGGTGACTGACAGATCCAGAAGCAGCTCTAGGCAGTGACCCGGTCTTTTCAAACCTGCCTGGTGCTGAGGCTTAGTAAGCTGACTACATTGCACTTTGGGACCCATGATGCTGATATGGGGTCTACTTGTGACAACACCACAGTCCCCTTCAGTTAGGGGACAGCTGAGCTGGCACCCAACCCCTGAGGCTCACATGCACCTGTGTATTCAGGAAATTGACATTCCCAGAAATCAGGGCTATAGAGGCCTGTGCTTGACATGCAACAGGGCATGTACTTAAAGATCTGGTGTGTGCAGGGCGTTGGTGGTGCACACCTTTAATCCCGGCACTCGGGAGGCAGAGGCAGGTAGATCTCTGAGTCAAGGCCAGCTTGGTCTATAGAGCTAGTTCCAGGAGAGCCTCCAAAGCTACAGAGAAACCCTGTCTCAAAAAACCAACAAAACAAAACCAAAAAGAGGTCTGGTGTGACCTGCCACCCTCCCCACTCTGACCCGCAGGCTCTGTGAACAGTAACTGGATCGTGGGCGCCACGCTGGAGAAGAAGCTGCCTCCCCTTCCCCTGACCCTGTCCCTCTGCGCCTTCCTGAACCACCGCAAGAATAAGTTCCTGTGCGGCTTTGGCCTCACCATCGGCTGAGCCCTCTCGCCCTTGCCCTTCCTCTGCAGACCACCACTGGGCCGGCCGCCCTCCCCTCCTCTCCCTCCCTCCTGGGGTCAGGGCAGCGGGAAGGAGGGGACCCACCTCATGCCAGAGGATCCCCAGCGCCAGGGGACAGTGTCCAAGGAGCCTGGGGTCCCGGAGGGAGTTCTGGAATTTGAAGGGCACTCGATTATGAGCGCCCTGGTAGAGGTGGCTGGACAGGCTCAGGGACGAAAGACGTGACGTGACGTCCCTGTCCTCCTGAGGGCGGCAGAGGAGCGCCCGGCCGCCCGTCACTTTTCCCCTCCACCCTCCATAGAAATCATGTTTATAAGTTATGGAAGAACGGGACATTTTACAGAAAAAACATAAAAAACAAAAAATGCACAAGGAAAAAAACTGATCTGAGGCATTGGTTTTCTGCACTTGCAGAGCGCGGCCGCCAGCAGGGGGCGCCGAGGGTCGTGGTTGCATGGAGGCAGGGTGTGGACAGCCTGGCCAGCCTCACACCCTCCACCGGCGGGGACATCACAGGCCTGGCCTCACCGGGAGGGTGGCTCCAGGTCACTGGTCCCTGTGCCGCCTCGCCCGGAGAGGTGGCAGAGGACTTTGTCTCTGCAAACAGGGTGGGGGCAGGGAGATGGGGCTCCAGAGCCTCCCTGATCCAAAAAAGGGCTGAGGTGGTAGCTTGTGGCGACTTTCTCCTGGTGGGAAGGTCAGAGGTCTCCGAAACTTCAGGAAGAAACCAAGTTCCTGGAAGAAATTCAGCACAATAAAGTTAGCTCTCGGGAAGGAAGGGGCCCTTGGACCTTCCCAGATGGGAACAAAGGAAGTGTCCTGTTTTATTTTCTGCTGGTTGAAGTAGTAACTGGGCCTCCCGAGTCAGGCAGGTGCTGGGTCGCCAAACTGCGTTTCCACAGGTCTACATTCCACCCCCTGCTCTGATGCAGGGTGTAGTAACAGCCTCAAACTGGAGCCTGCCTGGGTGGCTGGGCCCAGTCGCTTCCCATGGCACCCTGCTGGGAAGTGTGGGATTTTGCAATGCGACGACTCATAAACTGATTGATGTCCCTGTAGACAGCAGCAGCCCTGCGTGGTCTGGGGATGTCAGCTGGCCAATGGGGCTGACCCTTAGTAACCCACGGGAATCATCTCACCACACCCTACTCCTTGCCAGTGTTCTCTGAAGCCAAAGTTAACAGGCCTGGGCCTGGCCAGGCACCCTGCACCCTTCTTGGAATAAGGTGTTCCCCTGTTGCCATCCTGTAGTCATGTGCCTGCTCAGTCCGGTGCCAAACCTTACTGTGTGGCTTCCCCTCCTACGGCCACCCTCTCTGGGCAACAGCTGGGAATGGGAACTTCGGTGTTCCTGGCAGGGACTCCAGCAAGCTTGCTAGTGTGGGAGCCCTTGGCGCAACCTGACAGCCCAGGTGCACTGTCTCCTCCCCACTGTTTGTTGTTAGCTTGAGGCTTCCTTTGTTCTGTTGTCTAAGCTCCCCCTGACATCCTCCTGCCTCAGCTTCCCAAGTGGCTGGCACTACAGGCACACATAAGCAAAGAAACGGCTCAGGAAAGCCAAGTGTGGGTGCAGTGACACACACCGGCAAATCCCAGCTTGCAGCAGCGGAGGCAGAAGATTCTCTGAGGCCAGCTGAGGATCCTGTCTCAAAAAACACAAAACACACATCGGGCAACTGTCGGGACTAAAGTACCGAAATTTGGTACTTTACATCCCTTGATGTATTGCTTCAAACCCAGTGGCAGACTCCACGCAAACACCTGGAAGAGCAGTTTTCCCAGCCCAGGGACAGGGGAGTTCACCTTGTTTGTACGTAAGGAATGCACAAAGGGGGGGGGGGGGCAAGGTTAAAACTCAGCCCAGAAGCCTAGCCTCCTAACAGACAGAGACATGGTCCCCCACAGGGAAAAGTGGAGGAAGGCTCCAGCACCCCCTACGGAGAAAGATGCCAGGATTATTCGACAGTGTCAGCTCCCTTGTTGGGGGATAGGGGTCACAAGGCCTCCAAACTCCACCTCTTTCCTCTGCCCTGCTGTGAAGGGGGGTAGAGAACAACCCACCTCGTGACAGGGGGCTGGCTCAACCCGCCCCAGCCCTGAGGAGGGGGCGGGACAGGGGGAGCCCTATAATTGGACAAGTCTGACATCCACTGCCCTGCTCAGCCCCGGAAGGCTAAGGACTCTGAAGGCGCTGGTAAGGCACGCTGGGCTGGGGACTCAGCCAGGGACCTTGGGAAGATGTAGGCTGGAGACCTTGGGATCTCCTGGCGTCCAGGAGACGGGCAAGAATTGGAAAAGCAGGAAGCATGATAGAGGCATTTGGGGACAAACTAAGGACACAAAGTGACTAGCCATTGCCAGGGACACATGGAGGAGATGGAGGGGCCACCTGCAGTAACGTGGTGCGTGGCATCCCAGCACACCTGGTGGGACCATCCTCTAGAGAAAGAATCGGGGATGAGCCTTAGGCTGTATTTAATATAAATACCCACTGGTTCCCATCACAGTCCCCAAGTAGCCCGGACTGCCCTCAAATTGATGGTCCTCACGCCTCAGCGTCCTGAGTACTGGGGTTATGTGAGGGTACCACCTCCATGGGCTGCAGGATGATTAAAAACGGGTTAAATTGGCATCCAAATGGAAAGCAGGGCTTAGCCGGGAAGGTAGGAAGGAATGTAAATGGGACTACCCGCTGTGGCTTGGTGAAGTGGAATCTGAACCCTGGGAGAGGGAGCTCGAATTTTTGGCAGTGAATCCACCCAGGGATGCAGATAGCGAACTCAGGAGGGGGAGTAATCAGGCCTTTGGGAAGTGCTGTGCTCTCAGACCTGAGAAAGGAGGCAGGGTGGAGCTCTCTGGGTGGGCTGGGTGGAGTACCCTTCCCCCATCTGTTCAAAGACCATTTCTCCCTCTCCCAGACTGGCCACTCACATTCGGGAAGATGAAGGCTCTGTGGGCCGTGCTGGTGGTCACATTGCTGGCAGGTATGGGGACAAGGGCTTGCTCCGGTGGCTCTCCCTCTGCTCCTCTCTGGACCCCTTCCTAGCCCCGGGTCTCTCCTGCTGCCCGCTGGTGGGATGGAGGCAGTTCTGAGGTCCCTCTGAGACTCAAAAGCCTGGAGCGGCTGTTTTATTTACTCTTCAGGCCTTGATTCGATTCTTTCCCCCTATTATAAAATGAGAAGATGGCTCAGGGGGTAAAGGTGCTGGCCACCAAGCCTGAACACCTGGCATCTCCAGGACCAATATGGTGGAAAGAAGGAAGGAGAGAGCCGATTCCCTCTAGCTGTCTTTTGACTTCCGAGCTCTCTCTCTCTCTCTCTCTCTCTCTCTCTCTCTCTCTCTCTCTCTCTCTCACACACACACACACACACACACACACACACGCACCTGTTTTAAAGGGGAGGTATATTTTTCTAACTCTACCCCTGCCTGGTCTGTGCTCTGTACTATATCGGATACCAAAGCAATATATGCTTGTAGTAACGGAACAGACTCCAACCCCTCCCGACCCACTGTCGCTCCAAAGAGACCCAAGAGCACTGTAGGTCCCGACCCAGCCTTGAACTTACCCTGCACAGGATGCCTGGTCGAGGGAGAGCCCGAGCTCGAGCCGGAGGTGACTGAGCAGCTGGCATGGCAGAGCAGCCAACCCTGGGAGCTGGCCATGAGCCGCTTCTGGGACTACCTACGCTGGGTGCAGACACTGTCTGATCAGGTCCAGGAAGAGCTGCAGACTTCACAAGTCACCCAGGAACTGACGTGAGTGCCCAGCCCCGTCCCTTCATCCTCTGCACCCACTGAACATCCAGGCCAGGGGGTCCCCACTCTCTGGGCACCTACCCCAGGCTGGCCTTGAACTCTCAAGCTGCCGTCAACGGCTCTGCAATTCTCCTGCTTCACCTTCTCAACTTCTGGGAGTACAAGCAGGTGGCCACCACACCTGTCTTGCTTTCTTGCCCACCTCACCTCTCTCTTTGGGTCCTTCTTTCTTGGTCTTCATCTCCCTTGTGTGTTTCCTCGGGCCTGCAGGGTACTGATGGAGGACACCATGACGGAAGTGAAGGCTTACAAAAAGGAGCTGGAAGAACAGCTGGGCCCGATGGCGGAGGAGACCCGGGCCAGGCTGTCCAAGGAGGTGCAGGCCGCACAGGCCCGGCTCGGGGCGGACATGGAGGACCTCCGCAACCGGCTGGGGCAGTACCGCAACGAGGTGCAGACCATGCTGGGCCAGAGCACAGAGGAGCTGCGGGCACGCTTCACCACACACCTGCGCAAGTTGCGCAAGCGCCTGATGCGGGATGCCGAGGATCTGCAGAAGCGCCTGGCGGTATACAAGGCCGGGGCCCGCGAGGGTGCGGAGCGTGGCGTGGGCGCCATCCGTGAGCGCCTGGGGCCACTGGTGGAGCAGGGTCGCCAGCGCACAGCCAACCTAGGCGCTGGGGCTGCCCAGCCTCTGCGCGATCGTGCCCAGGCTTTGGGTGAGCGCATCCGAGGGCGGCTGCAGGAGGTGGGCAACCAGGCCCGTGACCGCCTGGAAGAGGTGCGTGAGCAGATGGAGGAGGTCCGCGCCAAGGTGGAGGAGCAGACCCAGCAGATGCGCCTGCAGGCTGAGATCTTCCAGGCCCGCCTCAAGGGCTGGTTCGAGCCGCTGGTGGAAGACATGCAGCGCCAGTGGGCAAACCTGGTGGAGAAGATACAGGCCTCCGTGGCTACCAACCCCGTCCCTGCCTCCTCAGTGCCACAGGAGAGTCAATGAGTGTCCCTCTCCCACCCGCTGCAGTGACACCCATGGCCAGCAGGTGGCCCTGTCCCCAGTACCACTCTGGCCCTCTGGCGGCCCTTGCTTAATAAAGATTGTCCAAGCACCTGTTGGGTCTCCTGTGAGTGATTCCACACAGCTTCAGTCTCGGTTTATCTATTCCTTCTCACATTAGTCATACATCCCGCGACACTGTCGCTGCTTGTAGGGCGGAGGGAAGCTATGTGCTTTTGTTTCAGCTCTAGTTTGGTTTGATAGCTTCTGCAGCAATAGAGATTAAGCCTAGGACCTAGCAATTTACAGGACAAGTGTTCTACCACCGAGCCCCACACCCAGCCTCTCACTGGGGGATTCGAGGCACTGGGGGCTTTTACTTGTCGATATTACTGCCCTTCTTTTTATTCTGAGATAGGACCTCAACTGAGTTTCCTTGACCTCTAAAAGTTTCTACACCCCAATAAGCTTCTCGGCCAAACCAAATTAGAAAAAGCCCACGTTTGGCGCACGCCTTTAATCCCAGCACTCCGGAGGCAGAGGCAGCCTGTGAGTGAGTTTGAGGCCAGCCTGATTTACAGAGCGAGTTCCAGGACAGTCAAGGCTACACAGAGAAACCCTGTCTCAAAAAAACCAAAAAAAGAAACAGCCCACGTTTAATGGATACAAGGCTCCCGGATGGCCTTCCAACCCCCCCCCCCACCCCCCAGAGAGGAGACCAAAGGGAAACTGGAAAAACCACAGTCTAGTTTCTTCTGGGAGGCAGTTCAAATACCCTGTGGGAGTGGTCTTGAGCATCTCTGGGGGAGGGGCCGTCATTTGGCGGCTTTCTGAGACGCAGCAGGGTTTGGAGGGAGATAGTGGAGGGGGCTTGGGTGGGACTTGCAGCGGAACATCCCAGACTCTTGGGGTGTATGGGTGCCAGGGGCTGGGGCGAAGCTTCCACCTTAACAACCTCCAGCCCAGGCAGGCCTTGAATATTTGGAACTTTGTCCCAGCCTCCGCCGGTCCTGAGAAAACAGGTGTGCACCACCCTCTCCTTGCTGGGCTACTTTTCCCAACTTACACACCTGCTACACAGTGACGCTGAGAGCCCACATGTGGGAGACCGGAGGGTGCCGGCGGTGTTTACCGGTGTCCCAGATGGTCCCTCCCCCGCTGTAGTCTTATCTGATTCCCTCTCCTGGCTTTGTCTCCTCTCTGTTCCCTCCTAGGCTTCCTTTTCTGGCTTCCTGTTTTCCTCTTATCTCGCCCTCCTGCAGTTTCTTTTGCTCTGGGTCTTTGGTTGTTTTGTTCCCTCTCCTTTCTCCTTTACTCTGAAGGTAGCTAGGTCTTCGCTTCCTCTGGGTCCGGCTTCAGGCTGCACCTAACCAGCCCTTCCCCCACACACACACACGCATTCACCTTGTGCCTATAGGGAGGGAATGAGTTAAGGCTTGGGACACAAAGATGTTTTCTCTGTGTCCCTACAGGCGTCTGTTCAGGTTGGGAGCTGGCACTTAGAGGGGTCAGGGTAGGAGCTGGAGAACCCCTGGCTAGCTTTCCCTCCCGCCCCCTCAGTTCTCAAGAATCTAGCAGGGCTCCCACCAACAGGGGCAGGCCAGGGCTTGAGCTGTCTCTCTTGGGTCAGGCCAGCACTTCAGTCCCCCACCGCCTCTGGCACACCCCGAGCCTGGAGCTTGTCCTGGCACCAAATTCAGCATTATCTGGAGGCGGGCACCACCACTCCCACAATGATTCACGGGGCCCAGTGACAGGAAGGGTCAATGGGCTGAGTGGCAGGGTTCAGGGCAGCCACACTACACGTCCATGGGGCATGAACCACACTCTCGGAGCCTCGGGAGACCCTGTCAGGCGTGTCTCCGACTAAAGATGTGAATTGTTCTGGCATTATTTGAGCCACGTTGGCCTTGAACTCTGAATCCTCCTGCCTAAGCCCCAAATGCTGGAAATGCTGGAAATACAGGTTTGTGCCACCAGATCTAGCTGAGAGCTCAATTTTGAGTTCCACAGAGAGATTTTGTTTTTGTTTGCTTGACACGAGGCCTCTATGTACCCAGAGCTATACTCTGTATAGCCAAGGATGACCTTGAACCCCTGATCTTCCTGCCTCCGATGCCTGGGTGCTGGATAGATTTGTACTGGTCTATGTAGAGCGACGGACAGCATCCAGGCTTTCCCTCGTGCCAGGCAAGTGTTCAGCCAACGGAGCCACGGTCCCCTCCGCCCTCTGTTGTTGTTTATGCATCAGGAGCTCACCTAGCCCAGGCTGGCCTCAAGCTCACTGTATAACCAATGCTATGCTTGAAGTCCTGATGTTCCTGCCTCTGCCTTCCAAGGGACGGGATTACAGGAATGTACTAGCAAGGGCAGAGAGTTGTAAGCAATGGAGGAGCCCCACCTCTCCATCACACAGGTCAGACCCAGAGGTGGGGTAGGGGCCACAGGAAGACATAACAGAACAAGGTTTGTAGGGGAAACCATGGCGTCAGTTATCTTGGAGTGTAAGAATCAGCGCTGAGCCAGGTGGTGGTGGTGCACGCCTTTAATCCCAGCACTCGGGAGGCAGAGGCAGGCGGATCTCTGTGAGTTCAAGGCCAGCCTGGTCTGTGCAATGAGTACCAGGACAGCAGGGTTACACAGCAAAAACCTTGTGTCAGAAAACAAACAACAACAAAAACCTCAGAGTCGATGACTAGTAGCTTAAAGTCGAGGCTCCTGTTGCTAAGGAGAAGATGAAATTGGAAGCCCCCCGGGGTGGAGTAGGGGGAAATCTGTCTGTTACATTATTCAGCCGGCTTCAGGGTTGAGCTGTGCTTAGTTCAGGAAACAAGAGGGTCGGGCCTGGCATCCACAGGGACTGGACACTGTGAGCTGGCCCCAGAGATGTTGCAACCAGCCAGGGTAGTCTGCCCCACCCCCTTCTTACCCCCTCCGGTCACACCCCCCTCCCTAGAGCTGACACGTGGGCTGCAAGGGGGGGGGGGGCAACGGGCCAGCCAACCTAGAGTCTGGGGCCCACAGCCACCAGCTGCCAAGGGGTCACTGGCGGTCAACAACAGTTCTGGGGGAGGGAAAGGCCTTGGACTCCAGCCTCGGAGAAAGGATGTGGTGAAGGGAGGGGGCGGGCAGGCAGACTTGGGGCCAGGATGGGCCTGGAAGGCCCAACAAGGCTAATAGTGTCTTGGGGACAGGGGGTGGGGGTTGTGCCAGTTGGGGGCCACTGTGGAGCTTTGCAAGCCCCGAGGCTCTGCAGTTTTGCTGTAGAGGCAACTCCTAAAGAAGGGACATTAGGGAATGGCAAATTAAGACCCCCGAGAGGGCATCAAAGGGGGCTTGGGTACCCAGATACAAAGGCATTGGAGGTGAAGGGAGGCAGAAGCAGGCCCCCAGCACCCGACAGAGACCCTAAGCTGAGGTTCCTGGACAGAGCAGAACTAACCTGAGCATACAGTTTGGGCTGGGGGGGGTGAGATTCGGAAGGGGGGGGAGTTGTTTCTAAGACTCCTAAAGTGAAGCCTCAGACCGAGTGAGGGTGCTAATCAGTGACAAGTCTTAGGCCTAAATGATGGGCCTGGGTGGGGCCTGGCTCCCAAAAGCCAACAGAATGGCAGAAGCAGATGTGCTGGTTTTGGTCGGCATGCCTGTAATCTCAGCACTCACTAGAGAGGCAGAGGCAGGAGGGTCACAACTCCCGGGCCAGCCAAAGAGCCTATGTCAAAGAAAAAAAAAAAAAAGTAGGTGGGCACAGAGGCCAAGGGGAGGCTCAGGAGGAGGGCGATGAGCCTGCTCCGCCCCCGCCCCAACCTGTTAAACTCCTGTGCAGGATCGTCCCACCCCTGCGCTACTCCTGACAGGTCCTCAGATCCAGGTTGGTGCCGGGGAAAGTGCCCCCCACTTCCTGCAGCCAAGCGGTTGGGGCGATGGGATCATGGTGGGAGGTGGGGAGTGCTAGTAATCGCCCCCGCCCCCGTCTGCCTCCAGGGTGCTCCTCCAGCCACCATGAGGCTCTTCATCTCTCTTCCTGTCCTGATAGTGGTCCTGGCCATGGCTTTGGAAGGTAAGAAAGGGGCTTGCAAGTGTGGAGCTGCTCGTGGGCCCGGGGACCACGAGACTTAGAGGACCCTCGAGGGAGCTCTGAGGTCCCTTTCCTTAGCGCGTTCCACCACCGCCCTCGGATGGTGCCGCACCCCACCTGCCAGACGGCTTAGTTTCTGTCAAGGTGGTACAGCGGGAGGCAAGTCTGTCCAGAGGAGCCCTAGCTACCGATGACGTAGGCTCTCCCCGCTCTGGGATTGGCGGATCTTCCTAGAAGGGATGGAGTATGGATGGTGCAGGTGGGCAGTGCATTGGACGACCAGTGTCCCTACACCCCGAGTCCAGCCGGTCACTGCGAAACCCTCCCCCATGCTAACAGGTTTGCTTGCAACCCTCTCGCCGCCCCTCTCGCCGCAGGCCCAGCCCCCGCCCAGGCAACCCCTGACTTGTCCAGCGCATTTGAGAATTTCCCGGAAAAGCTGAAGGAGTTTGGGAACACTTTGGAAGACAAGGCCCGGGCAGCCATTGAACACATCAAACAGAAGGAAATTCTGACCAAGACTCGGTTAGGCCCTCCCTTTCATGGCACGGGGGTTATGGATGGGGGCGTGTCTGTGTAAAATCCCTAGTGGGGAAGTGATTGACACCTGCCCCTCAGGTCTTAGAGCTAGGTCTCCAGATGCTTGGAGTCGGGAGCAGGCCCTGTAACTCCTAGCCACATGTTAGAGGGTTTTCCAGATGGTAGTGAAGGGTCCACGCTAGGGAGCTAGCAGGCTGCCTTAGACCCTGAGCTTTCTCTGTGTGTTCCTGAGACAGGACATGACCACGAGTGTTGGGGACAGGGACAGAAATTAGGAGAGCTAGGATGGGAGTCACAGTGGGGGCTGTGCAGGCCAGTGGCTTTGCGATTCAGACTAGCTAAAAAAAGGAGGTTAGGGATGCTGGGGTAAGACCTCAACAACTAGCTGGGCGACGGTGGCACAGGTCTGTAATCCCAGCTCCCGGGGGCAGAGGCAGGCGGATCTCTGTGAGTTCGAGGCCAGCCTGGTCTACAGCGTGAATTCTAGGCCAAAGCTACACAGAGAAACCCTGTCTTGTGGGGGAGGGGGACGACAAAAACAAAAAGACCCAAGAAACTTAGGAGGCTGGAGGAAGACAGTCAGGAGTTTGAGACCAGCCTGGGCCACAGGGCAAGCCTCAAAACAGAAACAGAAGGAAAAAACTGGAAGAGGGGGCGATTTTGAGGAGGAAATGAAGGGGTCTTTGAGAGGCGTCTGGTATGGTGTAACCAGGCCGGTTAGCCAATCTCTGCTCGTTTTGGCAAGTAGACAGAGCATTCGTTTGGAGAGGTCTGAGTCTGATTACGAATACCCAGCCAGGCCTAAACTTGGCAGGAAATCGTCGTGTGGAGAGGAAGTGCAAAGGCCCTGGGTAGGAAGATCCACAGACAGGCGAGCACGGCCTGCTAGACAAGGGGAATAACTTGGGCCCAGCAGGGAGGCAAGGAAGAGGACGTGAATGCTTAGGCAAGCACAGGCTAGAGAAGGGGTAGGCCTAGAGCAGGAGATGGCAGGCCCTGACGGGTGTGGTAGCATGTGTTTTAATCCCTGCCAAAAAAAAAAAGCAAAAGCTATCACGGAAAGCAAGATGGAGGAAGGGCTGAGGGAAGATCATTCATTCAGTGTGTAAAATGCCCGTGAGGACCTGAATTTGATACCCAGAATCCACATTTTTAAGAAGTCAGTCATGAGGCCCGGCAGCGAAGAACCCTTGTCTCAGCCCTCTCGGTACCCACGCCAGGTGGCTCACAACAGCCTCAGTCCAGCTCCAGGGGATGAAGCGCCTCCTCCTGGCCTCTGCATGCAAGCAAGCACACGCATTCATGTGTAAAATAAAGCCTAAAAACATGCACACGTGAAGCCCGGCGGTGGTGGCTCACAGCACTCGGGAGGCAGAGGCAGGCGGATCTCTGTGAGTCCGAGAACAGAGCGAGTTCTGGGACAGCCGGGGCCACACAGAGAAACCCTGTCTTCAAAAACTAAACCAAAAACAAACGAAGGAATTGTAAGTGAAGTATGGCTGCTCCTTCTTCCAACCCCATTGGTGGGGCTGTAGAGATAGGCAGATCCGTGGGGCTAGCTGGCCAGCTGAGCCTACATCAGGGGGATGTGGCCTGAGGGGCAACACCTGAAGGTGTCCCTTGTCCTGTGTACACTCCTGCTCTCCACCTCTCACACAGCCGCTGGCTTTGAAAGAGGAGTTCTTTTGCTGTTTTGTTTGTTGAAACAGGGTTTCCCTAGCTGTCCTGGAACTGGCTCTGTAGACCAGGCTGGCATCGAACTCACAGAGATCCGCCTGCCTCTGCCTCCCGAATGCTGGGTGTAAAGGTGTGCCGCCCCACTGAAAAGAGGAAGTTCTTTGACTTCTGATTTCATGATGCTCAAACTGGGCAGATGATGTGGCTTGCCTCGCACACAGGAAGCCCAGATTAGTCCCTGGCACCACATAAAACTAGGCATAAAGGTACACACCTGTCATCCCAGCATCCGGGAGATGGAGGCAGGAGGATCAGAAGTTCAATGTCATCCTTAGCTACCTATCAAGGTTGATGCTAGCCTGGGCTACATGAGACTCAAAACACACACACACACACACACACACACAGAGCTTTGGTCTATGTGAGAAAACAGGCAGAGAACTGAAATCCCCCCCTACTCCCAGGATTTTCATCCTACAGTGTGGGTGGGGACTCAGGGAAGGGACGCTAAGGGAATAGGAAGCAGGGATCTGGGCCCCTCGGAGGGCTCAGGAAACAGTGACCCTGTCCTCATCTCTCTCCAAAGGTCCTGGTTTTCAGAGACATTCGGCAAATTGAAGGAGAAGCTCAAAACTACGTTTGACTGAGTGCCCTGCGGCCTACCCCACACAGCAAGGGGTCCCTCCTCATCCCATACCAATAAAGAGATTACAGTGAACAAATGCTCCCTGGAGTGCCTGAGTGGTGTTGGGGGAGGGGTGCTGAGGGACAGTACCGAGAGTGGGTCCACGTGTTTGTTTAGCTGTTTATCTTTACATGTGTGGGTGTTGTGCCTGCATGGATGCATATATGCAGGGCCCACAGAAGCCAGATGAAGGCGTCACCACCCCTCAAGCTGGAGAAAGTGATGAGCCACCATGTAGTTGCTGGGAATTGAACCCAGGTCCTCTGGAAGAGCAGCCAGCGCTCTTAACCTCTGAGCCATCTCTCCAGCTCCCTACCCCTGTCTGCATTGCATTAATTTAATTTTATGATTCCCCTAAAGAATCTTCATAAGAACCCTATTCATTGTAACTCAGAGAGGTAAAGTTACCAGGGCAAGGTCACACAGCAGGGAATTGGGCTGAGTGTACAGCTTGGCATGATTACGGGTTTGCACTTTTCTGGTTTGGTTTAACCCTGCACGGAGTAGGTGCTCATTAAACTGTCAGTGGATAGTGAAGGGAAATAGGAAGCAGATTAGCAGGGACTGGGAAGGGTATAAGAGAGAGCCAGAAAGACAGACGCAGTACTCAGTTACCAGGCTTTAGTACCTGTGCCCCCTCCTCCAGGAAGCCCTCCCAGACTCCAGGCCGGGCCAGGCTTCTCCATTGCAGCTCTGCCAACTCTAGCTGGCTACCTCCTGGGAACTATTACCATGAGCCCCCCAGGAACAGAGCCAAGACCATTCATTGTTGCCAATGGGTCCACAGTCATTGCCCACCTAGAGCAGACCGCAGTGCCAGCGTTTAATAATATTTGGTTGAAACAATGATTGCTTAATTTAGACACATCATTTTTTTGGCTTTGGGTTTTTTTGGTTTTTTTTTTTTTGTTTGTTTGTTTTGTTTTGGTTTTTTTTTTTTTTTTTTTTTTGCTTTGGTTTTTTGAGGGGGTTACAAGACATGGCTCAAGAAGGTTTGTAGACCAGTCAGACCTCACTCAATAGCATCCTGCCTCAGCCTCCTGAGTGTTTAGGTGTGTGCCATCATGCTAGGCTTGTCTTAATACACGGCATTCCCATAAAACTTAGGGCCTGACACACGCTGTGCAGGGGCTCTAACACAGAGCCACACCCCAGCCCCTCACTGGGGGATTCTAGGCAGGGGCTCTACCACTGAGCCACACCCCAGCCCCTCACTGGGGGATTCTAGGCAGGGGCTCTAACACAGAGCCACGCCCCAGCCCCTCACTGGGGGATTCTCTAGCTTCCTTGTCGGGTTTGGGAGAGCAAGCCCCAGGGGAGGGGGGTTGTCGGGGAACCCCAGACCTAACCTTCCCTGTCACCTCCACACCTTTGCCCATACCCAAATGGGCGTGGTCAGCGCAACAGGTTCGGGTGGGGTGGATATCTCACTACAGAGAGGAGAGTCTGGGCCTGGGAGGTTCCCGCAGGAGGGTCACCAAGAGCTTGAGACCAATCTGGCTTTGGTGTGACCCTGTCTCAAAAACCAAAAAGAAGATTAAAGGAGTTTCTGTTTGCTGGCACGCCTGGTGACGCGAAGGACAGTTTGGGTCTCAGGGTTGCCGCCTGGTGACGCGAAGGACAGTTTGGGTCTCAGGGTTGCCGCCTGGTGACGCGAAGGACAGTTTGGGTCTCAGGGTTGCCGCCTGGTGACGCGAAGGACAGTTTGGGTCTCAGGGTTGCCGCCTGGTGACGCGAAGGACAGTTTGGGTCTCAGGGTTGCCTCTAAGTCCTCAGACGTACACCGCTGTATTAGGGTCACCAGCCTGCCGCGTTCCCTTCACCATCCCGTTCCCCCCCCCCCCATCTCCTCCCTGGGGCATTTGTTTTTTAGTTGCCCCTGATATCCACCCTGGACGACCTTCAGTCTGTTCCTGTCCCCAGGATGAGCAAACATTGCAGGCACCAAATAGCAAACAGCCCACAGCCACCCTGCGTGCTGACTTTGGACTAAGGGCAGAGGGCAGAGACCTTCCCCAACCCCAGCCCCACTGCCTTAGCTTCCCTCTTGGGCTGTAGGGTTTGTATGGGGACAATCATAGATTGTCCCAGTGTGGTGAACTAGATTCAGAACCAAGCAACAACTACAGTCTCAGTTTCCACATGTGTGAAAAAAGAACATGGCTCAGTGGTAGAGCCCCTGCCTAGAATCCCCCAGTGAGGGGCTGGGGTGTGGCTCAGAGGTAGAGCCCCTGCCTAGAATCCCCCAGTGAGGGGCTGGGGTGTGGCTCAGTGGTAGAGCCCCTACCTAGAATCCCCCAGTGAGGGGCTGGGGGTGTGGCTCAGTGGTAGAGCCCCTGCCTAGAATCCCCCAGTGAGGGGCTGGGGCGTGGCTCAGTGGTAGAGACCCTGTCTAGGCAAATAACGCCCTGGGTTCAATTTTCAACAATGGAGAGGGAAAGTACCTAACCTCTGGGGAACAGCAAAGCCACTCCCTCTGGGCCTGACACACAGTGTGTGAAAGGAAATCTGGGCTAAATAAAGAGGATCACACTGGACTCAGCTGGTAGAGCACACTTACCTAGCATCCTCTTGGCCCTGCATTCGATCCCCAGGCCTGCACAGAAGTAGGCATGGTGGCACCAGTCTATGATCTGAGCACGTGGAAGGCATACACAGGGTGATCACAGCTCCAGGCACCCAGTGCTACATCGGAAGAACCTTTATTCAAAAACAGTCAAAGCCTGGCCCGGGGCTGGTGGTGCACGCCTTTGATTCCCGCCTTCTCAGTGTAGAGGCGGCAAAGGCAGCCTGGTCCACATAGAGAGTTCCAGGCCAGCCAGAACTACACAGTGAGTGATAGTGTCAAAACAAACAAACAAACTAACCAATAAAAATAAATGGTGTGGTGACTTAAAGCTATCGTCCCGCCTCTGCTTTCCGAATGCGGGATTGTAGGCCTGCACCACCGTGCCTGACTGTCAAATCTGGTTTTGTTTTTGTCTTTTTATTTCAACAATGAATAAATAAGTAGCAACCGACTTAGTCGCACAGTGGGGCTGCCCATCTCCTGCTGCCCGGTCCTGTCTGAGGCCAGCCTAGCAGCCAGGAAATTAACCCATCGTCCATCAGTGTGAAGCAATCAGCCCACACAGCTTCAACAACGAGCTCCAGGCCTCAGTGCTGAAGAGAGCTGGGCTTGGCTATTAACCTGCACAGCTCAGGCTCAACAATCCTCCTGCCTCAGCTTCTCAAGCTCCTGGGTGCCAGCCATGCACCGCCACGGCCATGTCTGGCAAGAGGTCCTTTGTCGTAACAAGACATGGGGATCTGTGGTGGCTTAGTTTGTGCTTCAGTTTTCTTTCTTCTGTTGTGGAAAGAAAAAAAAAATACAACAAAACCACAGAACACACAATTTACCGTTTCAGCTACTCTCAATTGTTTAGGTCAGCAGTGTTGGGTCTGTCCATTACAGTGTTGCGCAACCAGCCCCAAAGTCTATTCCTTAAATGTTTGCATCGCGGCAAACAGCAGCTCTGCCTGATTTTTTTTTTTTTTTTTAACTGACATGTGACACATGTGACGGACGGGTCAGCCCTCAGCAGGCGTCTGGGTCAGGGTTGCTCTGCTCGCTCAGGCTGCAGCGGAGACGCCATGTGGAGATTGGCTGTGCGGAAACAGTGTGCTGGGCATGTGATCGCGGGTCAACCCGGCACTGGGAAGGTAGAGCAGGAGATGGAGAAGTACAAGGCCAGTCAAGGTTGCCCGCCAGAACCTGACTCAATAAACAATGAACAAACAAATGAGCAGGAGGCCAGAGTGTTCGGTTTCCACTTCAGATGAATGGGCAATGTTTGAAGACTGACTTGGTGAAATCCCCAGATCTGGCAACATTTAAGTTAGTTTTCCCGCTGGTGTGGTTTACTCCTGAAACCATAGAACTCGAGAGCCGAGGCAAAGCGGTCAAACAAGATCTTGTCTTATTCAGAGAGAGAGAGAGGAGGAAGAGGGTGAGGGGAGAGAACCCACTCCTTAAAGCTGAAGTTGTCCTGTGACACACACACACACACCACATACACACACACACACACACCACATACACACACACACCCCACATACACACACACACCCCACATACACACACACCCCCACATACACACACACACCCCACATACACACACACACACACACCCCACATACACACACACCCCACATACACACACACACCCCACATACACACACACACCCCACATACACACACACACACCCCACATACACACACACACACATACATACACATACACACATATATACACACACACCCCACATACACACACACACACACATATACACACCCACAGACACACACACCACATAAATACAAACACACATACAAACATAGACACACACACCCCACATACATACACAGCCATAGACACACACACACACCACATACATACACACCCACAGATAGACACATACCAACACCACGTACATACACATCCACAGACACACACACCATGTATATAAACACACAAAGGAATAAACATAGCTAAAAACAGTTAAGGATTACTGGAAAGGCTTAGACATTACAATTATCCTCCAGAGGGCTTGAATTCGATTCCAGCACCCATATCAGCTGGGTCACAGCCAACTCTAGGGGAGTCTGACACCTTTGTGGGCACTGTACTCACACGCTCAACGTGCACACACCCCAACACAGACACACACACACACACACACACACACACACACACACATAAGTAAAAATACACTTTAAAAATATTCCCGAATAGCCAGGGCTATGCAGAAAAACCCTGTCTGGAAAAACCAAATATATATATATAAGTTAACTAAAAGAACTCAAAAGCCACACATTGATAAAAGCCTTTAATCATGGCTACTCCAGACACTGAGCAGGACGACCACTATTCATTGCAAGGCCTGCTTGGGATGCTTAGTGAGACCTCATTACAAAATAAAAATTACACCGGGCGTTGGTAATGCACGCCTTTAACCCCAGCACTAGGAAGGCAGAGGCAGGCGGATCTCTGTGAGTTCGAGGCCAACCTGGTCTACAGAGCGAGTTCCAGGACAGGCTCCAAAGCCACACAGAGAAACCTGTGTCGAAAAACCAAATAAATAAAATAAAGACTACAAAGGAGGGGGCTCAGTGATTAAGAGCACTGGCTGCTCCTCCAGAGGATCTGGGTTCTATTCCCAGCACCTGCATGGCAGCTCACAGCTGTCTCTTACTCCAGGTCTAAGGGATCTGGCATCCTCACACCAATGCACATAAAATAAATTATTTTTTGAAAAAGTACATAAGAGAACCATGGTGGCACAGGCCTGTAACCCCAACATCTGGGAGGTGGAGGCCGGATAATAAGGATCCTACATCATTCTTGGTGATGTATTGAGTTCCAGGCCAGCCTGGGTACATGAGACCCTGTCTCAAAATAAAACCGAATGAACCACCTCCCCCAACACACACACACACACACACACACACACACCAATTGATATCGTGGTCTCAATTCCAAAGGGAGAAACTGAGTCCAGGAAAAGTCTGGTGGAGACAGGATTTTAATCCAGTCTTCTGTCAGGCCAGGGCAGCACCCTGGGAGGGCAGGCAAGGGTGGAGGTGGCCTTTGACTGTCAATGTCACCAGGCCCACCTCTTTGAAGCTCTGCCAAGAGGAGGAACTGTGGCAGAGGGAGGTCTCTTTCCAGTGCTGCCTGTCCCCTGTCCCTTCCCAGTGTGGAGTGGAGGACACCGGGACAAAGCGGTCACGTCCCCAGAAATGGCCCTCCTGGGATGCAGGATGCAGGCCCTGCCCGCACTCTGCCTCTCTGTGATGCTCCTGGCCTGCCTTGTAGGTGAGGAGCTGGGCGCTTGCTGGAGATGGGGTTCTCTGGGTGGGCTGTGACTGGCTTCAAGTGGGTCAGTAGCCATGTAAGACGAGTCCCTCTCTCTCTCTCTCTCTCTCTCTCTCTCTCTCTCTCTCACTCACACACACACACACACACACACACACACACACACACACACACACGGAACACAGGGCCTTCAGATGCCAGGCAAATATTCTACCACGGGCTGCTCTGTTTTCTTCTTTGGTGACACGGACTCATGTAGTTCTGGCTGGCTGTGAATTCCAGCTACAGCTAGGGATGATCTTAAATTCCCAGTTCTGCCTCCATCCCGAAGTGCTCAGACTGTAGGCATGTCCCTACCACACCTGCTTCATGTGGTGCTCGGCCTCAAACCCAGGGCCCTGTGCATGCAGGACAAGAACCCTCCCAGCAGAGCCTTATCCTTAGCGGCTCCGTCCCAGCTGAGCTGCAGTTGTGACAAATGTACAAGTCCCACAACGGGCGCCACCCGTACGCTTTTCATTGTTGCTGTTTAATAATGTTTATTTGAGATTTTTTTTGTTGTTGTTGTCAAGTTTTTTTTTTGTTTTGAGACAGGGTCGTCTCAGATTGCCCAGGCTGGCCTTGAACTCCCGATTCTCTTGATTCTACCTCCCAAGCACTAGAGTCACAGGTATGCAATGCTCCCAAGGTGGGCATGTCTGTGTTTGTGGCTCTCTGTAGGGTACATGTATGCAAAGTTCTAAGTGTGTGGACACTGCTTCTGTGTGCTCACACGTAGCCTTTTATTTCGTGCAGGCATTCAAAATTGTATCTCATGAGCAGAGTATGTTGGTGCAGGTCTGTAATCCCAATTACTCAAAGACTGAGGCAGGGGGATTGAAGGTTGGGGTCCTCCTGACAGTTTATCAATACTCAGCCTTAAAAAAAAATACAGAAAATGGGGACTTCCGGGCGGTGATGGCACAAGTCTTTAATCCCAGCACCCGAGAGACAGAAACAGGTGGATCTCTGTGAGTTTGAGGCCAGCCTGGTCTACACTGTGAGTTCCATGTGAGTGAAGGTTATACAGTGAGACCCTGTCTTAAAATATACATGCTTCAGGGCTGGAGAGATGGTTCGGCACTTAAGAGTCCTGACTGCTCTTCTAGAGGTCCTGGGTTCAATTCCCAGCACCCACATGGCGGCTCACAACTGTCTATATCGCCAAGATCTGACACCCTCACACAGACATACATGCACATAAGATAAAAATAAATATACACACTTCTCCCATAGTTAGTGCTGATGGCTGCCAGGTTCCTTCCCATGTGCTCCTCACATGCTAGGCTCAGTGTCCCCTTCACAGCATGGGAGGACGGTGTCTTAGAGTGGTGAAGTCATAGGTGAAGCTCATGACAGCAGGTGACAGAACTGTCTCGGTACTAGAGTGCATGTGTGGTCTGGGTATGGCGGCACGTGCCTGGGACCCCAGCACTTGGGAGGTGGAGGCAGGGGGATCAGGAGTTCGAGGCTAGCCTCAGATACACAGGAAGATGCAGGGCAAGCTGAGGATGTGATTTAGTTGGTAGAGGCTTAGCTAGCACACAGGAGGTCCCGGGGTCCAGCCCTAGCCCTGCATGAACCAGGACGGGAACACAAACCTATCAAGCCACTGCTTTGGAGGTGGGGTCAAGAGGCTCAGCAGGTTTTGGAATTCTGATCAGCAGACCAGAAGTTATCAACAGCTCCAGGAGACAAAAGACCTGTCTTAAAAAACAAACAAATAAACACATCAGAGGCTGAAGGGATGGCTCAGTGGTTAAAGACACATACTGCTCTTGCGCAGAGGACTGGAGTTCCGTTCCCAGGCTCACAACTGCTTGGAACCCCAGCTCCAGGGGATGCATACTCATACAGACAGGAGCATATACACATAATAAAAATACATCTTCAAAAAGTGTTAAAACAGGTCAGGCGTGTTGGCACACATCTTTAATCCCAGCCCTCGGGAGGCAGAGGCAGGAGGATCTGTGTGAGTTTGGGGTCAGCCTGGTCTACAAAGCGAGTTCCAGGACAGCTGGGGCTACACAGAGAAACCCTGTCTCGAAAACAAAACAAAAAAGTTAAAACAACAAAAGACTCACAACATGTGTGTGCTCCTATACTGTATGAGTCCCTATCTAGGTGTGTGGGTGCTAAACCAAGAGGTGTGTGTGAGAGAGACAGACAGACAGACAGATGGACATACACACACACACACAGGAAAGGAACGGTGACTCACTCAGCGGGACTCCAGAGGGACTTAAAGCAAAGCTGAGGGACGATGGACATCTACCATTGTCCTTGGCAGCTGACGGGTTAAAGTGAGCGTTTCCTTCTGTGTGCATGGAGGCTGCAGCTGCTGGTTTTGGGGGGAAGAATTGAGAGGCAGGGGCTGTTCTGGGTCAGGGGCCACTCTTGGGCGATCAGAGAGCGTTACCACATGGGAAGGTGTGGACTGAGCAAGGGAGGGGCCAGTGGCGGGGAAGGGGAGATGAGCAAATGGGCAGGTGAAGGCAATGGCGTCAGGGGTCGATAACGGAGCTGGTGGACAGGGATGCGCAAGGGCGTGCAAGACACAAGGCAGTTTCCTGTTCCTTTTGCTTCTAGGTGGCAAGGTAGCCCTCAGACGGGAAGTCATTGTGTCCCTTCCTACGGGATGGGAAACTGAGTCTAGGGCAGGGGAAGTCAGGTGTGGCCTAGCATGATGGGTGACAGGGGTGTCTGGGAACAAAGGTGAGTCACACGTAGGCAGAGAGGAAGGGGGCTCTGGGATCCTGGCCCACTCAAGCTCCGCTGTGATTTTCCCCAGCATCCGTGACTACAGAAAGCCTGATCCCCACGCCTAGTCCTGAGAGCAGCCGTTGGAGCCTAGTAAGGGCCAGGGTGATGGAGATGGTGAAGCCGCTGGTGACCAGGACCAGGGACAGATGGCAGTGGCTCTGGTGAGAGAGTTCTGGTACACAGCTGGGAGGGAACACCAGAGTTAGGGGGAAGAGAGCCTGGGTCCCAGGGAGGAGGCTGGGCCTGGACCCCTGGGTCTGAGGGAGGAGGGTCAAGAGTCTTGAGTCTGATGATGAGAAGTAAATGGGCCAAACCCCTGTGGCTTCTATGGCTTCAACTCAGATGTCCCCTTTACACAGGGGCCCCGGGGCTGTCCAGGGCTTTGTGCAGACCTACTATGAAGACCATTTGAAAGACCTGGGTCCCCGCACTCAGGCCTGGCTGGAAAGCTCCAGAGACCAGTTCCTGAACAAGACCCAGAGCCTCTGTCCTAGGCTGCTCTGCGGGGACCGGACTCAGGGTTAAAGTGCCACACACCTCCCCTGAGCACCTGCAATAAAGCTGTTTGTTCTTAATCTGTGTCACCAGCTGAGTAGCTCCTCTCGGGGCCAGAGGTCACTCCTCGTCATATCCAGGAGTTAATAAGTGGAAAAGTCATCACCTGTCACCTGGCAGGGGAGGACACTGGGAAAGCATTAGGGGAAGGGGACAAAGTGACAGCCCCCACCCCCAAAGAAAACAGTTCTGGCTGGAAGTCAACAGGAGACTTCCAGGTGCCTGATCAGATCCAGGAGGCGAAGTCTCGAAGGTCGAAATGGGTCAGAGGAAACATCCCCTTGCTTCCTAGACCGGGAAGATCTTAAACCCTGATCTAAGGGATTCGACAAATCCAAAATCCCCTCTACAATGCCCAACCATCTCTCTCTCTCTCTCAGGATTCAGGGGGTTGTCTCTCTTTCTTATGGGGGAGGTTCTAGGAATTGAACCTGGGGGCTCACATGTGCTGGGTAAGTGCCCAATCACCCAGCCACATCCCCAGCCCACTTTTAAAACTTACATTTATGCTGGGTGGTGGTGTCCCACGCCTTTAATTCCGGCATTCATGAGGCAGAGACAGGCAGATTCTCTGTGAGTTCCAGGCCAGCCAAGGCTACACAGAGAAACCCTGTCTCAAAAAACAAAACAAAATTACATTTATTTAGGAGACATTCACGTAGCTGAGTAAGGCGATGGTCTGCTAAGAATTACATTTATTTGTGAGTGTGTGTGTGAGTGTGTGTGTGAGTGGTGTGTGAGTGTATGTGTGAGTGTGAGTGTGTGAGTGTGTAGGTTGTGTGTGTGAGTGTGTGAGTATATTGTGAGTGTGTGTATGAGTTGTGTGTGAGTGTGTGAGTATATTGTGAGTGTGTGTATGAGTTGTGTGTGAGTGTGTGAGTGTGTGTGAGTTATGTGTGAGTGTGTGTGTGAGTAGGTGTGAGTGTATTGTGAGTGTGTGTGAGTGTGTGAGTATATTGTGAGTGTGTGTATGAGTTGTGTGTGAGTTATGTGTGAGTGTGTGTGTGAGTAGGTGTGAGTGTATTGTGAGTGTGTGTGTGAGTGTGTGAGTGTATTGTGTGTGTAGGTGTGAGTGTATTGTGAGTGTGAGTGTGTGTGAGTTGTGTGTGAGTGTGTAGGTGTGTGAGTGTGTGTCAGTTGTGTGTGTGAGTAGGTGTGAGTGTATTGTGAGTGTGTGTGTGAGTTGTGTGTGAGTGTGTAGGTGTGTGTGAGTAGGTGTGAGTGTATTGTGAGTGTGTGTGTGAGTTGTGTGTGAGTGTGTGTGTGAGTAGGTGTGAGTGTATTGTGAGTGTGTGTGTGTGTGTGTGAGTGTGTGTGTGTGCTCAGTCCAGTGCCGTTTGTATATGTAGAGGTCAGAAGACAACTTTCAGGAGCTGCTCTCTCCCTTCTCTTGGGGACTGAACTCAGGTCGTTGGTCTTGGTGGCAACCTCCTTCCCATGATGGGCCAGCTTCCCAGAATTCTTTTTACCTTCATTCATACATACCTTGTGTGAACAAAACCCAAACAGAGCCTTTCTGTTTTCAGATAAAACCTTGGTACGGTGTCCAGTGATTCTTTGTTTTGTTTTGTTTTGTTTTTTGCTTTGTTTTTCGAGACACGGTTTCTTTGTAGCTCTGGAGGCTGTCCTGGAACTCCCTCTGTAGACCAGGCTGGCCTCGAACTCACAGAGCTCCTCCTGCCTCTGCCTGCCGAGTGCTGGGGTTAAAGATGTGTGCCCTTCCCTGCCAGCTTGCCCAATGGTTCTTGCACTCACTCTGAATTCATGATCCTCCTGCTCAGCCTTCTGAGGGAGCTTGGGGTCACAGCTCTGCCCAGTTTATGGGTAGATTTTTCAAAACGGGGCTTCCCTGTGCTTTGGCCTGGCAGGGAGCGTCACTGGCCACTGCCCGTGCAGCCCTGCCCCCCCCCCTCGGTGGCTCTGTTGGCTAGGACTTTGGCCTAGGACAGAGGAGCTGATATGGAGGGAGGGGGCCCTCCAAACCTATAAAGCCTGCCAGCCCACTGGAGCAAGCAAGGACAGTCCCAACCTGCCCGTTACATTCAGGTAAGAGAGGGACAGGGCGGGTGGGTGGGGACTTCAGGGGGGGGCAAAGACGCCTAAATCAGAAATGACAGGCATCACCTTGTTAGAGGTCCGTCTCAGAATCAGGGAATGGAAGGATTTCTATCTTATGTGAGACAAGGTCTCTCTATGTAGCCCAGGCTAGCCTTGAACTTTTGACCCTCCTGCTTCAGCCTGGTCAGGCATGTTCTGTTGTGCTTGAGTAAAACCATGGAGTTGAGATTTGGCAGTCTGTCTGTTTAGTATGGCTCTTCTCCTGGGCTTCACCTCTACCTTTTGTAAAAAGAGCATCTCTTATTTACCTATGTGTTTGGATGCTTTGTGCACACTTAAGTCCATGCACCACGTGTAGGGTTGGCTCCCGAAGAAGAGAACATTGGATCCCCTGGAACTGGATTTACAGACAGTTGAGAGCCACTGGGTGGGTGCTGGGAATTGAACTTGGGTCTTCGGGAAGGGCAGCCAGTGCTCTTAACCACTGAGCCATCTCTCCAGCCCTGGCTTCAGGCTGTTGCTGTCTCAGTTTTCCATTTCCAAAGTGTGGGTCATGACTGTGTGCCTTGGTCATGCACAACCCTTAGGAAGTAGACAAGGACTGGTAAGAAAAGCCGGCAGCAAGCTCCAGGAAGTAAGGACATTCGAGTCACAAGTGCTGGTGTGAACTCTGTCCCAGGAGGCCTTGAGGCCTTTCCACACTGTGCCCTCTCTTTCCTTCCTTCCTTCTTTTTTTTTTTTTTTTTTTTTCAGAGACAGGGTTTCTCTGTGTAGCTTTGGAGGCTGTCCTGGAACTCACTTTATAGACTAGGCTGGCTTTGAACTCACAGAGCTGCCTGCTTCTGCCTCCAGAGTGCTGGGACTAAAGGTGTGCGCCATGCCCAACTAATTTCCTTATATCTTATTGTTTCCTGTGTATGTGTGTGTGTGTGTGCGCGTGTGTGTGTGCGTGTGTGTGCCTCGAGGCACACATGTAGAGGCCAGAGGACCATATGCAGGAGTTGGTTCTTGCCCCCTACCATGTGATGTGAGTTCCAGGGACTGAACTCCGGTCCTCAGGCTTAGCGGCACACGCCCTTACCCACGGAACCATCTGCACAGAATGCCCAGCCTCATCCTCCAGGTTTCAGCAAATGGGTTTGTTTTAAAACGGTTTGTTTATATTTCCTACTAATCCAGACCTTTCCTGACACTCATCACCTCCCGACTGCTTTCCTGTGTGTGTGAATTAGCGAATGGAGAGGTTTCTCAGTTTCCTTGTCTGGGCTTCACTAGCGTATAGAAGGCTCTGAGTGGCAACCCTGCTACTTAAAAAAATATGCCCTGACACTGTGGTACACGACAGTAATCTCAGCCCTGCAGAAGCAGGGGATTATTGTGAGTTCAATGTCAACATGCTCTACTTAGAAATATCCTGGTTTTTTTGTTTGTTTTCTTTTCTTTTCCTTTTTTCTTCTCTCTTTGTGTGTGTGTGTGTTTGAGGCAAGTTTTTCTGTGTAGTTTTGGAGCCTGTTCTTGTTCTGGAACTCACTCTGTAGACCAGGCTGGCCTTGAACTCACAGAGATGCCTCTGTCTCTGCTCCAGAGTGCTGGGATTAAAGGCGTGCGCCACTATTGCCCGGATTTACTTTTGTTTTCTTCTTAGAAAAGGAAGAAACAAGCCAGGCGTTGGTGGCACATGCCTTTAGGCCCTACACTCTGGAGGCAGAAGCAGGCAGATCTTTGTGAGTTCAAGGCCAGCCTGGTCTACAGAGCTAGTTCCAGGACAGGCTCCAAAGCCACAGAGAAACCCTGTCTTGAAAAACCAAAAAAAAAAAAAAAAAAAAAAAAAAAAGAGAGAGAGAGAGAGAGAGATCTACCTGCTCCTGCCTGTCAAGTGTTGGAATTAAAGTCATATGCCACCATGTCTAGCTACACGCACGCGCGTGCACACACACACACACACACACACACACACACACACACAGGCTTGGTGGCACACACCATCAATATCAGCACTTGAGAGGCCAAGGCAGGTGGCTGTCCGAGTTCAAGGCCAGCCTGGTCTACACAGTGAGCACCGGACCAGCCAGAGCTGGTATCTCTTCTAATAGACACCTCATCTGAGTTATTAACAGGTTAAAAGTCCTTGTGGGGCAGGCGTAGGGACAGAGCAGGGTCCCAGCCCACCCCCAGAGAACAGGACCTAGTGACACACTACCCACTCCTGTCTCACACGACAACTGCCCTCAGTACCCCAGGTCACAGACGGCAGGCATGAGCTCTCGGTTCCTCCTGGCTCTGTTCCTTGTCCTGCTGGTGCTGGGATTCGGTGAGTGGGGCTGCAGGGTGGTGGTGAGGGGGTCGCTGAGGAACGGGCGGGGTCATCTTCCCACCTTCCTCTGTCAGTCCTCTTCTTCCTCACACGCCTCAAATCTGACCATCACCTCTTGTGTCCCAGCAGAGGTCCAGGGGGCCCCGCAGCTCCAGCAAGATGACCCAGGCAGCCAAGCTCTGTTTGGCAAGGTGCAGGAGTCCATTTCCAGTTACTGGGACTCAGCTAAGGCGGTTGCCCAAGAACTGTACCAGAAAGCATACCTGAGCAGTGTGGATGAGAAGCTCAGGTGCGCCCTGCCCAGAGGGGACACATCCCGGCCTCCTCCCTCAGTCACTGGAGTCTAGGCTGATCCCTCTGGATACACCCCGGAGCCCCAGCTCTGCCCCTCCCACCCAGACCCAGCAAGGCAGACTCCAGCCTCCCGCCTCGGATGCTTGGGTCCCTGCCTAAGCCTTGCTCTCTAGGGCCTGCCTTAACTCTCTTTCCTGAGTCCCAGAAGGAAAGAACTCTGTCTTCTGTAGACTCCGGACCATGCCCTTCTCCCTCACACCAAGAGGGTCCGTCCCATCCCTCAGACCTAGGGCTCCGGTTTCCAGACCGTTCCTCCAATCTCCCTGTGCTTTCTCTCCAGGGACATGTACAGCAAGAGCTCAGCGGCCATGAGCACTTACGCGGGCATTTTCACCGACCAGCTTTTCACTCTCCTAAAGGGCGAGTAATGCCCTGCAAACGCCAAGTTAGGGAACGACGGGAGAACGGGCCTTCAACCTCTTTGTTCCCATCACCTGACCAGGATGGTCCTCCGTCCCCGTCCCAGTGTCTCCCCCCCCCCCCAACTCTGGACTGGATTCTTTCAGTGAGCGAATAAATCAGTTCCAGTTCATTGACTTTGGTGTGGTTTTTATTGTTTCCTGAGGCTCCCAGAGCCGGGATGGAGGGCCTATGGAATCTCGCCATTATTTGGTTGAGTGTGGTTTTATGGTTAGCACCCTCCGTGAACCCCTGCATGTCTGGGGCTTTACTCCGAACCTGGTCCGTTGGAATGAAGGGGTGAAGACAAGCCAGGCATCTGGATTTGAACCTGGAATCCTAGCACCTGAGACCTGAGGCAGGAGGGTCATAGCAATTCTAAATCCTGGGCTGCATAGTGAATTTTAGTTTTCTTTTTAAACTACATTTATTTATTTAGTTTTTTCAGACAGGGTCTCTTTACATAGCTCTGACCATCCTAAAGCTCACTCTGTAGACCAGGCTGCCTTGAACTCACGGAGATCCTCCTGCCTCTGAGGAACAAGTACTAGGATTAAAGGCCTGTGCCACCACACCTTGCTTTTTCCTTTTTTTTTTTTTTTTTTCTTTCTGTCTTTTTTTTTATACACAGCAGGATTTTTGAGGCCAGCCTAGGTGGCAGTGTAAGATCTCTCTGTCTCAAAACAAACATACAAACAACACACACAGAGACACATACATGCACACATATACAGATAGCCACACACAATTAAAAAAAAAATAACAATTCTAACCTCCCCTGCGCCCCCTCCCTGCAATCCAGATGTAGCAGTTGGAGCCTTTATTTACAACACTCCCAAAGTCCCGGGGTCTCAGCAGGGAAGTCAGGACCCCAAGATCATTCTTCGCTGTATAGTGAGTTTCAAACCTGCCTGGGGTACATGAGACCCTGTTTCAAAACCAAACAAAACCAAATAGGCAAAGGAAAGCAGGGGGGATTAGGTGGCTCAGAGATTTCAGGTGTAATCCCCAGAATCCACATCAAGTTGGGAGAGGAGAATCACTCCACAGAGTTGCCTTCTGGCCCCCACAGGCTTGCTGAAGTGGTACATGCACACTGGCACACATTCGTATACACACAATAATAATAGCTCAGGGCTAGTCAGGCAGTGATGGCGCATGCCTTTAATCCCAGCACTCAGCGGGCAGAGACTCTGTGAGTTCGAGGCCAGCCTGATCTATACAGAACGAGTTCCAGGACAGCTAGGGCTGTTACACAGAGAAAGCCTGTCTTGAAGAACATAACAACACAAAACAAGCCAATAGTTGAAACCATTTTGATGGTTATAACTTTGTCATATGTTTCATTTGTTTCTCCACGCGAGGGTCTTACATGTAGCCTAGGTCCTTCGGCCTCACCCTTGTGTGAGGTCTATGCTCCTCATGCCTGTGCCCCACGGAGGACCCATGGCCTGGATTTCTCTTAATCTGTTCGGTAGTAACCTACAGCCAGTCTTTCGATTCTCCCCGGGGCAATTTTCCCAGGTCCTGAGGCTGGGAGTCCAGTAGAAAACGGGGACTGGGAAGGAGGGGCGGTGGAAGGCTCCCAAGTCCCCAGGGCCTGGGAAGAACTGAGGCTGCCAAGCTCTGGGGGTGCCTAGGAGGGGGAGACACGCAGGGGGAACAATTCCCACTTTGTGCAGTGTTTCCCACGGACTCAAGCCAAAGGGAACCACAGCCCAGGCCAGTTCTGCTCTCAGCCAATCCCGGCGCCACCCCCAAATTCCTTTCTTTTTCAGATCCCCACCACCTCCTTTTAGGACCCCACTGTCCAGGCTCCCAGATTCTGTCTCTCGAAGAACTGAGTGATTGCAACCCTAGATTTCTCCTCTCTCAGACTTAGGACTCAGGATCTTGAGTCCTGTCTCCTGAAGACTTAGGAGATGGGGAGGGCCAGGCTCCAGTCTTGAGAATCTGAAAACACAGTTCCCGGTGGAGTTGGGTGCCCCCTAATGGTGGACAGAGTGAGTCATTCTGTGATCCACTTAAAGTTAACAAATCGAATGGGCGCTGAATGCAGGCAGAGACCTGTAATCTCAGTTTGGGACAATTCCTGGCCAGCCTCCACAACACAGTGAGAACTTGTCTCGACAACAAAAGCCTAGTTGCTTATTTGTTTGTTTGTTTTTTGGAGGCAGGGTTTCTCTGCATAGTCCTGGCTGTCCTGGAAATTTGTGCTGTAGACCAGACTGGCTTTGAACCCACAGAGATTCATCCACATGCTTCTGCCTGGGATTAAAAGTGTTAAAAAAGCCTGGTTTTATGCAATGCTGGATATTGAACCCACGCATGCCTGCTAGGCCAGCTCTCTACCAACTACACCCTTAGTTCTCACTGCAACATTACAAAATTTTAAATTTAATTTTATGTGTTTGAGTGTTTTGCCTGCATGTATGTGAACCCAATTTGGTCAGAGAGAACATCAGGTCCTCCAGAACCGTCATTATTGATATTATTGAACTGCCATGTGGGTTTTGAGAACAGAACCTGGATTCTCTTACAGAGAAGCATCCAATGCTCTTGACTACTGAGCCAGCCAATGCTCCAGCCCTCATGGGCCTGCCTCTGCCTCTCAAGTGTTGGGACTAAAGGCATGTGCCACAGCCACCACCACCATCCAGTTCCATCTGTACACTGTACAGTGTCTCCTTTCATTGTGGTGACCCTTAAGTATGCTACCTTCTGCACACAGAGAGCTTTTTTTTTTTTTTTTTTTTAAATTCATTGATCATCCCTAAGTCAGTGCTGGGGACAACATCAGTGACCACAGTAATCCCAGTCTGGCCTGTGCAATGCAGACAGACACACTCAATAGTGGGAATATTGACAGTCAGTAGGCATAAGTGATCAGTGGGGGAACAGGAACTAGAGAGCCTGGAGCACTTCCTGGAGGAAGAGGTACTACCACAAAGATAAAGGAGAAGAGGGCAAGTAGGGTATAAAATGGTAGATGCTTACTTTTTTTATTTTTTATATTTTCAAGACAGGGGTTCTCAGTATAACATCCTGGAAGTCACTATGTGGACCACGCTGGCCTTGAACTCACAAAGATCTGCCTCCTGAGTGGTGGGATTAGAGGTGTGCACCTAATTTATCTTTACTTTATGTACATTGGTGTTTCACTTGCATGTAAGGGTGTCATATCCCCTGGAACTGGTGTTGTAGACATAAGCTGCCATGTTGGCGCTGGGAAATAAACCTGGTCCTCTGGAAGAGCAGCCAGTGATCTTAACCTCTGAGCCATCTTTCCAGCCCCTTACAGTAAAGATATTTTGGTTGGGACTGCGGAGATGGCTCAGCTGCTTTCCCAGAGCACCTGGGTTCTATTCCCAGCATCCACCGGGCCACTCACCGGCGTCTGTAACTCCAGTCTCAGGGGACCTGACGTCCTCCTCTGGCCTTCAAAGGCACTAGGTACATACATGCTTCACATCCATATGTGAAGACATAAAATAATCTTTAAAAATTTTTAAAGAATTTTTTTTTTCAAGACAGGATTTCTCTGTGGCTTCTGGAGCCTGTCCTGGAACTAGCTCTTGTAGATGAGGGTGGTCTCGAACTCACAGAGATCCGCCTGCCTCTGCTTCCCGAGTATTGGGGTTAAAGGCGTGCTCCACCACTGCCCGGCAAAAGTCTTAAAGAATTTTTAGTGAGGCCGGAGAGATGTCTCAGAAATTAAGACGAGTGTTCAGTTCCCAGCCCTCCAGTTGGGCACAATTCCTTGTAATAAGGTGTAGTAGCTATGTAGTGCCAACACATCCAGTCCTTGATTGTGGTCTAACGGTCCTTTGGGAGATATTGTAGCTAATCCAAAATTTGAGAGATTTTTGTAGCTAATTTGCTAACTTTGTAGCTAATTACAATCATGTCGTTCTAGTTTAGTGTGCTGAGATACAAACCTGTAATCCCATTAGCACTCGGGAGGGTGATGCTGGAAGATGTCGAAATTTCTATACCCACACAGCCAGGGCTTAATTTCAAGACCGTTCCATTTCCCCTTACTCATCAAAACAAACAAATATAAAACAGGGAGGGTTAAGCTCATGGGTCATGTCTGTATCCGCGGCACTCCGGAGCCTGAGGCAGGAGGACGACGAGTTGAGGCTAGCCTGGGCTTCAGTATCTGATCCTGTCTTAAAAACAGTAATTCGTGGCGCACACCTTTAACCCCAGCACTGGGGAGGGAGAGGCCAGCCTGGGCTACAGAGCGAGTTCCAGGGCAGCCAGGGCTACAGAGAGAGCCTGTGTATCGAAAAACATACAGGAAACAAGAAACCCTGTCTCTGGGGAAAAAGCAAAATCAACCGAGCAGCCTCGAAACACACACATTCGTTTGCGCCCACGGGGTGGTGAGCGGCTGCAAAGCACAGACCCCTAGGGGGGCGCACGTCAGGCTCAGCTTCCTCCAAGGGTGGCGTCGGTAAGACGCCTGACAGCGGGCTTCTCAATGCACCCAGAGCCCACCACCCTGGGGGTTTGACGGCGACGGCTAGCACGAGGGAAAACGCAGCAGAGCCCGCCAGCACAAGCGAGCGACCTCCCACCCCGAGGCTCGGAGAGCGGCTTCGCGCCCGGAGGGGCGTGGCTCCAGGGGGTTGTTTTTGAACCCTACGGTGGCCGCACGGGGTCAAGAACCACCATCGGCTGTAAAACGCGCGAGCCTGAGTGGAACAGGATTGCTCGGAGCGACCCGACAGTCCGAAAAGACCAGCCCACTTGGCCCAGGGTAAAACGTAGAACACGTTAGACTTAGAAAGTTAAAGCGCTTCAGAGCACTCATTCCTGCTAGATCAAAAAGACAAAAAAACAAAAAACATTCTGCGGCGAAATAGTAGGGCGGAAGCGGAGTACGGTGGCCCTGACGGGCCATCCAAGGGGGGGAGGGGCGTGGCTTCGGGCGCTCTCTGTTCGGGTACGGTGGCCTGGCGGGGCGGGCGAAGGGCGAAATCTCGCGCGATCGCGCTG